AAGCTCAATCTGAAAAAAAATACCAGTGGGAGGGACTGGCCCAGCTCCAAGGCCCGCGCGCCCCGGCGGCCGAGAGAGGGGGGCCGGGGCCCCGCCCACGCCCACGCCCGGCGAGGAGGCGCGTCCAGCGGGGCTGGGCGCAGGGGCCGAGGGGGGCCCCCGGGGTCCCTGGGCGCACGCAGGCCCGCCGGGGCCCCGCACGGCGAGGACACGCTCAGCGAGGGGGCGGCCACCGCCGAGCCCCGGCCGCGGGAGGCGCTGGCGACCGCCCAGGCGGCCCCGCCGGCCCGCGCTGGCCCCCAGGCCCGGGGGCGCCCGCCCGAAGCCGAAGCCGCGAGATGCGCCCGGGCGCAGCCCTTGCCCGCGCCGCCTCCCGCGCCCGCCGAGGGCCAGGAGGGCCGGAGCCGGGGCCGCCAGCCGCGTGGCAGAGCCAGACGCCCAGACGCCCTGCACAGGACGCCCCAAAACAGCAGACTGTGGGCGGCGGGCAGGAGCCGGCCCTCCCCGCGCCCTCCCCACCCCCCCCACGCGCCCCCCCCACGCGCCCCCCCCACGCGCCCTCCCCAAGCCCTCCCCGTGCCCCCACGTGCCCTCCCCGCGCCACCCCCCCCCCCCGCAGGCCGGCCTTGGGGTCCCAAGGAACAAAGCCCCAGGCCTGACCCGGCTTGGCAGAGCGCCCCGCGGGGAGGATCCCAGCCGCAGCGGCGCTCTGCGGGCTCCGTTCTCAGGCTGCGGGGCGCCGGCTCCGTGCTCGGCCCTGGCCCTGCCGCTCGCCCCGCCCTGCCCACTGGCGCCGGGCCTGGCTTCTCCGGGGAGGAGGTGACCCTGCACCCGCTTCTCAGGCCCAGGAGGTCCTGCCCGCCCGGCCCGCCGGCCCCTGCGTGGGCAGCCGCCCGGAGGCGTGAGCAGGGCCGCGGTCAGGGGCCGGGGAGGGAGGCCCCATTTCAGCCGCGCCCCAACACTCTGGCCTCGCAGCCGGCCGCGGGGACGAGCCCTCTGCAGAGGGGCATGGCCGGGCGTGGGGCCAGCCGGGAGCTGGGGGCTGTGGGCAGGGAGGACACACAGGGCCCTGCCCGCTCCCCCTCTGCCGTCCAGGCAGCAGCTTCGCTCTGGCTTAGTAACACGCGAGGGGGGCGCTCTCCCCCACAGCGACTGTCAGCTCTCAGCTCCGCGCTCCCCAGTGTGAAATGGGGGTGGTGAGGGGAGCAGCCTGCGATGAGAGGGAAGGGAGGTTCCAGCCACCCAGCCAGCTCGGCACAGCACCCCTTCCCCCATGAAGCTGGGGGCGCTGCCGGGGTTCCCCTGATTCCACCTCCAAGGCTTCCCAGCTCACGTAGGTGTCACTGCCCACCCCGCCTCCCAGCCCGGCCCTCCCCAGCCGCCCACTGCCGACCCCAGGGCCAGCCTCCCCACCACACCATGAGCCCCAAGACCAGGGCCCGCACCCCCCGACACCCCCACCACGCACAGGAGCCCCAGGACCAGGGCAGCATCCAGCACAGCTGAGCTCCAGGTCTGAGGGTGGGTGAGTTGGGACTGAAGTTGAGGGTGCTCGGCCTCAGCCCTGCCCCCCACGTGAGGGAGATCAGCAGGCAGGAAGGACCTGGCTATGGCTCCCTCCCCCATTCCCCCCAAAAGAGTAAAAAGAATCCTAAGACCAAGGAAGGGGGAAACAGGAGAGCAGGACACCCCCGGCAGCCACCCCTCCCTCCAGTCACCCAGTCTAGCGGGGGGCCAGGAGGCAGGAGGCCCGCAGCCACACGCCCCCCGCCCCCCACCCTGGTGGCTGAACTCACATGGCCCAGCTCTGCCCCGCGGCGGCGAGCCAGTGTCTCCACACGGCACATGGACAGCCCCACGGGCAGTCTGCGCCCTCGGTGATGCCCCAGCCTCAGAGCCCCAATCATGGGGCCGCCAGAGCCTCCCAGTCCCTCCCCTGTCCCCTCCTCCCTGGCCCAGGCAATGCTGAGGCCACTTCCAGGCCTGGGATGAGAGAGGAACCCTCAACCCTGTGGCACTGAGCCCCCAGAACCCCCAATCCAATGGCACAGACCCCAGAACTCCCAGCCCGACAGCACTGACTCCCTAGAGCCCCCAACCTGACAGCACAGACCCCCAGAACGCCCAACCCAATGGCACAGACACCCCTGGGGCCTCCAACCCGATGGCATTGGCCCCCCCAGAACCTCTAATCGGACGGCACTGATGCCCCAGGACCCCCAACCAGAGGGCACAAGCCCCAGGCCCCCAGGAGGAGTAGCCAGCCGGCCCCAGCCCCGCCCCAGCCCCTGCGTGCGCGCAGCCCCCCTCCCCGGGCGTCCCGGGGCGGCGGCTCTAATTACAGTCCTGGAGAGAAATCCCAGTTTAATTTGGAGCCACAGGAGCTGCAGTCGGAGAGTCCCCGGGGCCCTGCCGGCCGCGCTGGAGCCGGTGGTGACGGGAGCTGGGCCGGCGGGACACGGCTTCACGGTTCTGGGGCGCTGCCCGGGGCTGAAGGACCCTGACCCCGACTCCCCTCAGGACCGCAGAGGGGGCGCCCGGGGGCTGGGGTGCGGGACTCGGGAGGGTCCTGAGGGAACCCTGGGCCGGGGACCCTTCCCGCCGAGCGATGTCAGAGGGTTCCTGGGGCGCGGCCAGACCCCCGCCTCCCCCCGGCAGCAGGCCCCACTGCCCTCCGGTCACCGCCTCTGCCCCCTCCCCGCCGGGCTCCGCTGCCCGCACCTCAGGGAGGGACGCCGGTTCCCGACCGCGCCGCCCCCGACTGTCCCACAGCTCAGCACGGCGGTCAGCGCGGGAGGGCAGCCGGAGGGCGGGGGGGGGGGGGGGGGGGCTGGGTGTGGCCGGGGCTGTTCACAGGCCCCACCCCGCCCCCTCCCCTCGGGCGCCTGCGCTGCGGGCTCCTCCCCTGCAACTGGGGCACAGGCCTGGACTGCACCTCCCCTCGCCCGCCAGGACCCTCTCCAGCCCGGGTGCACCCCAGCCCCGCTGCCCAGACCCTGGCCAGCTCCTGCCCCGGCTCTCATCTGCTTTGCTGCAAAACCCCCAAAGGTAGCCCAGGCCACCCACACGGCCGCCTCCAGCCCCAGACGTCTTTCGGGACCCCCGCCCGGAGGGGCCAGTGCGGGCTCTGCCCCTGACGTTCCCCCGCCCCACCCGGACTCTCTGGCGTGCTGGGGGGCACAGGCGTGCCTGGGGGCTCTGCCTGGTCCCACCCTGTCCTGGGCCGACCCCTCCGGCCAGAGACGCTCCCAGATACCCGACCCCGGACGAGAAGAGGGAGCGGGCACTGCGGGCGGCACTGCAGCCTTGCGCCGGACACGGCCGGGCCCTGTGAAAGCAGAACAGGGCGGGGCCGAGCCCCAGGGCAGCCCCAGCTCCCCACGGGCGGCCAGCCCCCCAGACCTCCCCGCCAGCCGGGGCAGAGGGGACCCCACGGCCTCTGGGACGAGGAGCTTCCCGGCAACGGGGCTCCCAGCCAGCGCCGCCCCCCAGGCCCCAGAGCACCAATTACTGGGTCCTAATTAAAACAGCGGCGGGACAACCGGCAGCCCCCGCGCCTGCGGAAGGCGGCTCAGCCTCACCCCAGCAGACCCCGCTGTCCACAGACCCCACCCCCCACGCGGGACCAGCTCTCGCCCGGCAAAGGGCCCCGGAGTGAGCGCCCTCCCTGCCTGGGGGTGCCCCAGCCCAGCAGCACTCTGGGGGAGGCCAGGGGCAGGGACGCCACGGGGCTGACTCCCTGGGGCGCAGCCGCTGGGGCCGGCCGCGATGCGCAAGGAGGGACGAGAGGAGACGAGACGGGGTGAGGAGCGGCAGAGCGCGCCGGGGAGAGGCAGACGGACAGACGCCCAGCCCAGACAGAGGCGGGGCGGGGTCCCGCAGGCTCCTGGTCCCTGACCCCATGCACGCCCCGGGCCCCTTTGGCCCATGCACAGGGCACCCACGGCCCATTAACGCGGCAGACGCCCCGGCCCCCAGGGGCCGCCCCCAGCGAGGCTCTGGGGACACCCTGAAAAATAAGCCGCCTCTCATCCTTGGGGACCCCGGCGCGAGGGAGGTGCGGTAAACAGCTAGAGCAGCGCCCCGCCCACCCGGGGCCACCCAGTGCAGGGCCCAGCTCTGGGACCAGGGCCACGGCAGCCCCGGACCAGGGCCACGGCAGCCCCGGGAGGGTCTGTCTGCGCCTGCACAACCTCGGGACCCGGCGGGCACTGCCCACTGCCCACCCTCCCCATCGTGAACAGCCGGAGCCGCCCGGGGAAACAGTCCAGGCTCCTGCCCCCCAGCACTGCACAGACGGGCAAGCCAGACCCCCGGAGCTGCAGGAAGTCCCAGGCCAGCCATGATGCCCCAGGGAGGGACAGGCCAGGCAGAGGCGGCCCCGACACCCAGGGCCACAGCGACCCCGCAGGTGGCCGTGTGCAGGGAGGAGGCAGCCGCGGCAGCCGACCCCACACGCAAGAACCACATGGCCGCCCGGCCCGGCCCAGGGGCACATGTCCTCGCCTGCCGAGGGACGAGGCTGGACACCCTGCCCCCGCCCTGCCCGGTCCTGCCTCCTCCGCCCGGGCTCTAAGTCTGGGGCAGCACAGGCTTCAGCCCTGGCCCCGGCACGGCCCCTGGACTTGGGGCGGGCAGTTGTGTGGGCAAATCCCCCGCCGCCCCCACCAGAGCGGCCTCAACCCCTGGCCAGGGCGCAGAGCCCACCCAGCCGGGCAGGTGGGAAGGCCAAGCTGGGGCTACGCCGGGTGCACATCACGGAGCTGGCCTGCACCCCCAACTCACTTCCCAGATGCCCGGCTGCCCTGGAGTCATGGCTGGGGTCGTCCGAGGGCAGTGGTGGGTACCCCAAGGGCAGGGACTGGACACACCCAGGCTCGCCCGGCGGGGGCCAGGCAGGGGCTGGTGCCCGTGTGTGCTCCAGCCACGGCAGCAGCCCTTCCCGCCAGCCCCGCCCCCATCACCCGGCCACCGCCAGGTTCCAGGCTGTGGGCACCTACCCCGTGAGCACCACCACGAAGTCCATGACATTCCAGCCGTTGCGCAGGTAGGAGCCCTTGTGGAAGGCGAAGCCCAGCGCAATGATCTTGATGCCCGCCTCGAAGCAGAAGATGCCGATGAAGTAGGGCTCCGTGTCGTCCTGCGGGCACAGGGCCAGTGAGCCGCTGTCCGCTCGCCGCCCACCACATGCCACCCAGCACCGAGGCTGTGCAAGCAGGGTGCCAGGCGACCCCTGCAGCCCCGCAGCCAGAGGCAGGGGGGACACGTGGGCCCCCCTCACGTCTAGGGCTGGACACCGGGGCTGAGGCTAAGGGCAGGCCTGGGGGAGCCCGGCGTCCAGCCGCAACAGGGGCCCCTGGTGCAGGGCAGGTGTGACCCCAGGGTGAAGGGCGGGCAGTGCCATGCCCCCAGCTGCACCTCCACTCAGACAGGCCTGGGTCTGAACAGGGGACCCCAACCTGTAGCCCGGGGAGGCAGCGCCACGTGGGGCCCTCCAGGTGCTGTGGAAGTGGCCAAGGCAGTGCTGGGGCCAGGGCAGGAGCCCAGGGAAACTGACCACAGAGGGGGCAAGGAGCCGGCCCACGCCCAGCCCTCCCCCGCAGCAGGCCTGACAGGCCTGACCCAGAGGTTCTTGTCCAGCTGACACAGGGGTCCTCTCCTAGGAGGCTGCCAAGGCCCGATGCAGCCGGGCCAGCAAACAGGCCCCGCAAGAGCGGCTGGAGCAGCAGGAGCAGCCACCAGGAGCGGGGGGGGGGGGGGGGGGGGGGGGTCTGCCTGGGCACAAAGCACCCCCGCGGGCTGGCCTGGGGCAGGTGGGTGGCGGCCACAACCTGGCCTGGGGGCTTGGGGGCCTGCTGGAGCAGGCGGGTGGTGGCGGGGCAGGTGGGAAGCGGAGTCCCGAGATGGGGAGCTGGAGAGGCCCTGCCTGACCGGGTCGCCCAGACAGAACCAGCCCCGACCCGCTCCCGCCTGGCCCCGGCAGCGCCACCTCCTCCCAGCCCGCCTCCGGCTCTGTCTGCCCTGCCGCTGCCAAGGCCGGTGTCCGCACGCGGCGCTGGGGTCAGCCAAGGGCTCCTCCGGCCTCCGGGCCAGGCTAGTGTGTCCCCTGGAAGTGTCTGCCCCATCATCACACGGAGGCTCTCGCCTCTGAGGCAGGAGCCCAGACCTGGCTGCAGACCCACTCAAGCCAGCGGGAGCACCGGCCTCCCTGCCCCCCATCTGCCGTCTGGGTCCCGCCGGCCCTGCTCCCTGGGCTTTCTCGGAAACGTGAGGACAGCCTGCGGGCGCCGGCCAAGCCCTCACTCCCAGGCTCTCCTCCGGCTCCCACAGGCACGTTCTCTGCACGGCAGGCGCCGGGCCCTGGGGACGGCCACTCTGCTGCGCCGCGCCCGGGTCAGTCCCAATGGAGGCCACAAGGCAGCGCGGCCTCACTCTGCACCCCACACCTGCCCGTGCCCCGGCTACCCCCCGGTGCCCTGCACAGCGCTTCCCATGGCCTGTCCCTCCCTCACTGCAGCCGGCACGGAACCTGGACCTGCAGGCGGCGTGTCTACACTGAGGCCAGGGGTGAGCCACTGGCCAGGGTGTGGGGAAGACCATGGGCTCCAGGCACCAGCGCCCCAAGACACTGCCCGCGGAGGCCTTGGCCCTGCCCAAGGCCGGCACCCTCTGGCGACCCAGCGCCAGCCCCGTCCTCCAGGTGTCCAGAGCCGCCGGGCCCGGGCTGAGGCTCAGGGGGTGGGCAGGGCCGAGGGCCCCGCGCCTGAGCAGGGCTCAACCCCCAGGCCCCAGCATCCCTCTGCTCTGTCCCGCCAGAGCCCCAGCTGGCCCCCGCCGCCCCCCCCCCGCCCGCCCAAGCGCCCGCGAAGCCTTGGCAGGACCAGGTGAAACAGCAGGTGCTGGGGGGGGCGGCTCCCGGGGCCGACGACTCCCTGGGCCCCGCGGCCAGTGTGGTCTCCCGGGCCGGCCGCGCCCCCCACCCGGCCGGCCGCGCCCACGCCCCCTCCCCAGGCGCAGACGAGGGTTCCCGGTCAGGCGGGGGCGGTCCGCGCTGGGGCCGGGGCTGCTGTGGGGGCGCGGCCGCCGCGATCACCGCGCCGCCCGCCCCGCCCGGCCGCCCAGTCACCGCCCCGGTGGCGCCTCCGGCCCTTTCCTCGCCGAGGGCGGCGCCGCGCAGGCCGCCCCGCTGCCGGCGCCCCGCCAGCGCCCCGCCGCCCCCGCGCGCTCACCAGCCGCTCGGACATGGGCGTCTTGTCGCCGTCAGGCAGGTGCTGCTCCAGCGCCAGCACGATGCAGTTGGCGATGATGGTGGCCAGGATCATGTACTCGAACGGAGTGCGCGCGTCAAGGACTGGCCGGAGCGCGCGGGCAGCCGCCGCCCCGGGGCCGCCAGGGGCCCGGCCCAGCCCTCCCGCGGGGCCGCCGCCCGCCCCGCCCGCCCCGCCGGCCCGGCCCGGCCCGCGCGCCGCCAGGCGGGGCCTCCGCAGCCGCGACCGCCGGCCCCTCGGCCGTCAGCACCGCGGACAGCGCCCGGCGCCGGCCCGGGGGGGGGGGACCCGCGCAGGCGCACAGCCCCCCGCCGCGCGCCCCGCGCCGACTCGGCGCGTGAACACACATGTCGGGCCCGCGGGCCACGCACGCGCAGCCGGGCCCGGGCGCGGGGCCGGGTCCCCCGGGGCGGGGGCTCCGCCCAGGCCCGGCCCGCGCGCGCCCGCACCCGCGCTCGCGGCGCCCGGAGAGGGGCCCGCGCCCCGCGCCCCGCCGCGCCCCGCCCGCGCCCCGCCCCGCCCGCCGCGCCCCCGCCCGCGCCCCGCGCCCCGCCCGCCCGCCCGCCGCGGAGGATATGGCCACTCGGTGATGCGCTTGGCGTATTTGCGGACGACGTTGTCCTCGCTGAAGACGAAGAGCGAGCGGTTGACGGTGAGGCAGTTCTGCTTGACCGGGATCGGGTTGTACAGCGCCATGGTGCGCGCGCGCTGCGCGATCGACTGCTTGTACAGCCCGCGCGCGCCCGGCGGGGCCCCCGCGCCCCCCGCGCCCCCGCCGCGCCCCGCGGCCGCTCCCCGCCGCCGGCGCCGCCATAGCGGCCGCCCAGCTCGTCCCCGAAGCGCACCATGGCCCCGGGGCGCCGCGCGCCTCCCCGGCCGCCGCCCGCAGGGAGGGCGCGGGCGCCGAGCTCCGCGCAGCCGCCGCCGACCCGCGACTCCGGCCGCGCCGCCGCACCCGGCGCCGCCCGCACCGCGCCTATAAGGGGCCGGTCACGTGGCGCCGCCGGCCAATCGGCGCGCGCCCCGCCCCGCCGCCCCGCCCCGCCCCGCCCGCCGCCCCCGCGGCGCCCCGGCCGCGCCCGCCGCGCCCGCCGCGCCCGGAGCCCGCGGGCGTCCTCGACGGCAGCGCTCGCCCGCCGGGCCCCCGACCCCCGCCGGCCCCGCCCCCGCCGACCGGCGCGGGCCGCGCGAGGGGACGCGGGCGCCCCAGCCTCGGGCGCGCTCCCCGCCGCCCGCCCCGCTCCGGCCCGGCCCGGCCCGGCCCGGCCCGGCCCGCGCGCCCCCCGGCGGGCCCCGTGCGTCCCGCGCCGCGGGAATTGGAGGCGCGCGGGCCGGCGCGGGCGGCCAGCGCCGCCCCCGGGGCGGCCTGTCCTGCGCGGCTCGCCGGCCCGGGCGGGAGGCGCGGGCACGGGCCGCGGGGCCCCAGGCCGAGGCCGCCCCTTCCCGGGCCGGGCGGGGGCCAGGCGGGGCGCGGGCACCCCGGGAGGGCACCGCCGCCCGCTCAGGACACGCCCGCGGCCCGCGGCCAGCACGTGCCCGGCCCCCGCGCCGGCGAGGCGGGCGGGCGGGGTCCGCAGTGAACGTGGCGTCCCCCCCCCCCGTGAGGGAGCCGGGGACACCCTCCCGACGGGCAGCCGGGACGGCAGGGCGGGCCGCGCCGGGGGCGGTCCAGGGGGCGTGGGTGGCGGCGCTGCGGGGCCGGCGGGACCAGCGCGGCCCCGGCGAGGACACCCCCTGACGTCCGGGCCACACGGGGCGTCCGCCGCTGAGCTGCAGCCCCGGGGCCGGTGGGCTCCCCCGCCCGACCCCACGCCCTGGCCGCTGGGGCCGCGCCCGGTGGCCCTGGAGTCAGAGTCCGAGGACCGCAGGGCCAGGTCGGCCAGAGCTCAGTCCCTGCCCCAGGCCAGGGCGTGGCCGCCCCTTCCCCGCGGAGCCCTCGCGGGCAGTCCGTCGCACAGAGCCCGCGGCCAGCCGCAGGCCCCTGGCCCTCTGGGGCGGGCGGCACCGGCGCATGGGGCCGCAGAGGCCTGGGCATCTGGACTGCGTGCGCTGCTGCACGGGGCACCACCCCCCTCAGGCCCCAGGGCACAGCCTGTACAGCTGGGGGGCAGCACCGCACTGGGGTGCCCCCTTCTCAAGCCCATCCTGGAGTTTGTTTTCACGTGTCCCTGGTGTTTAGCTCAAAGCAGAGCAGGTGAAGAGGGCATGGTGCCTGCCCCGGCCCCTGCCCCCCACACCCTCAGACCACACCCCCCCCTGGCTCCTTTAATTCACACTGGGGGCTCCCTGGGCCACAGGGCTTAGTCTCAGCACGGTGAGGCTGCTCGGCCCTGGCCAGGGAGCGACCCACAGGGCGCAGCAGCCCTCTCCTGTCTCCCCGCTGCTCCCCTCAGCAGTGGGTGTCAGTGGATCCACCTGTTCTGCTCCCCACTCTGTCTCTGGGGAGTCCTCCCACCCCCACCACTGGCCTGCACCCCAGCTCTTGTGTGCGTAAATACATAAATCTTTTTTAAAAAGTCTGTCTTGGGCCTCCCTGGTGGCGCAGCGGGTTGAGCGCCGCACTGTGAAGCTGCCTGCAAGCCTCTGCAGCGCGGGTTCAATTCCTGCCAGCCAGGGAGCTACCCACATGGCACCTCTCCTGCTCTCCCGCTGCTCCCCTCAGCAGTGTATTTCGTCAGTCTGCCTGTTCTGCTCCCCACTCTGGCTCTGGTGAACCCTCTCACCCTCCCGCACATCTGGCCTGTGCCCCGGTTCTTGTATAAATAAATAAATCTTTAATATATATATATATATATATATATATATATATATATATATATAAAGTCTGTCTTGTGTTTTACATCTTAAACTACCTGCACCCACTGTCCGCGTGCCGGGGGTCAGAAGCCCACGTCCAGTTGTTGGGCATCCATCTGGGGCCCCCTTCACAACTCCCCACCCTGCAGAGCTCGGTCCTGCCACCCCACCCCACACCCCCTGGCATCAGGCTGGCCCCAGGTTTCAGAGTCCGCATCACCCCACACTCGCGACAGTACTGTGGGGCGAGCGCTGGGGACCCCCTGGCTGTGCTGCCGAGACTCCCACTGTCCTTGAGCAGATGGGCTGTGTCTGTCCTTCGGGGCCTCTGGCTGCCCTCAGTGATGTTCTGTGGTCCAGGCGGCGCCTCCCATGGTTTGTCCCCAGAGGTTTCGCATCCTCGCTCGCGGCGAGGCCCCTCGCTCTCCCGTCCCTATCCAGGCCTGACCACAGTCTCTGGCTCCTCCGCTACAGCTGAGAGTCCTGCCCCACGACACGTGTCCTGGCTGGACGTGCTGCCTTCATCAGCGGCAGCAGCTCTGCCCAGCAGGGGCCACCGGGTCCTTCAGCTCTGGGCTGCCAGATGCCCACCACTTGCCACGAGGGCCTGCCCAGTGCCCAGCTGTGAGCCCCAGGAGCACGGTGCCTGTTTCTCAAGCACCCCATTTCCACGACTTCCCCACAGATTGTAGAGAAGGGACATTCAAAAGGGACAGCCACTAGAAAGTGAAACAAGGTCAGGGCGACCTGCAGTTCCCTCTGGCAAAATGCAGACCGCGTGTCCCCTTGTCATGGCTAAAGTGACCCCCACATGGGGGCCCTCTGGGCAGTGCCCGGCCCCTGTGTACCGCCAGACTCACCTGTCCATTGGCGGCTGCTCCTCCCGTCAGCGTCCTCCTGGGTTGAGCTGCTGGCCGGGGGCACGTCCAGCGTCTGCCTGCGTCCCTGGCTCCGCGCACGGGTCCGGTGCCGTGTGCGCTGCTGCGAGGAGGGGCCGGGGCCTGGTCTCTGCTGGGCAGCCCCTGCGTTTCCAGTGCTGGTGTTTGAAGGCAAATCTAGGCTGCCCCAAAATGTCTGTGCCGCGCCCCACACGCCCCTCCTCTGGGCGGCGGGAGGTGCTGCTGCGCCGGGTGGGGCGCAGGGCTCCCCCAGGAACCCCCGGGACGCGCAGCCGGACGCTCGGGCCGGCTGGTCTCTGACTTCACTCCTCGTTCTGTCCCCGTGGAACACCCCGGGTGTCCCTCGCGCTCGGGTCGCGCTGGGCCAGCCATACTCTGGAAATGTGTCCCCTAAGGGCTTATGTTATCCGGGGCCCGCGGGGCTGGGCGCAGGCCGTGCGAGCGGCGGGGACGGGCGTCTCCGCGGGCCCCCCGGGACGGCCGAGCCTGCAGGGCCGGCGGGGAGGGCGGCGGGCGGGCGGCGCCGACAGGCGGGAGCCGGCGGGCACCCGGGGCCGGGACAGGGCAGAGGCGCCCACGACGGGCTCCAGACTCCCCACGGCGACGGCCGCTCGCGGGAGAGACCGCGAGGGGGGGGGGGGACGCTGCGGCCAGCGCGTCACGCAGGCCGGGCGGCCGGACAGCGGCGCGGGGGCGGGGCCGGGCGCGGGGGGCGGGGCTAGACGCGGGCTCCGTGGAGGGGGCGGGGCCGGGCGCGGGCTCGCGTGGAGGGGCGGAGTCAGGCGGGGCGGACGTGGCCTCTGCGGGCTGGGGGCGGGGCCAGGCCTGGAGGGGCGGGGCCAGGCCTGGGCTCTGCGTGGGGGGCGGGGCTCTGCAGGGCGGGGCCCCTGGGGGTCCCTGCAAGGGCGGCGGTGACCAGGGGCCGCTCCCGGGCCGTGAACCCCGGTGATCGCGCGCTGTCGTCCCCGAGCGGCCCTGCCTCTTCTCCAGTGCCGTCTGGCGTCTGGGGGGCCGCCCCGGAGCGCGGCTTGGGGGGGGGCGCCAGGCGCGCGCGGGGAAAACAGGCCGGGACGAGCCCCGCGGGCCGCGCGACCCGCAGAGCCAGGCCGGTCCCGAGTGGAGCTGCTTGGCCAGCCCTGGCAGCCGGGCAGGGTTACGGGCCTCGCCCGGACACAGCCCGAGCTTTCCCCGGGGAGGCCCGGCACCAGCACTGGGCCCTGAAGCCGGAGAGACGCGGACCGAAGCCGCCGGCCGGCCGCAGAGGCCGCCCCGTCCAGGAGAGGGATGCGCAGAGGGGCGCGGCTGGGGGGCGCCCACGGGCCCCGCGGCGCCGTGCCTGCCCCACCCACCGCAGAGGGTGCCCCCGCAGCTGGCCCACCCCTGAAGATAAAGGGGAATGTGAACCCCTGGAACAAACAAGACAAGATGGGTCGTGCCAGAAAACCTGCTCTGATGGAAATATTTTAAAATTCGAGAACTTTAGAGAAAAACTATAGCAGTTGGAAACCTGGACCCACGGAAAGGGGCCCAGAGGCCGCCAGTCTGTGCCCAGCTGTGCCCGTCCTGCCTCTCCTGCCCGAGCTGCATTCTCAGCCCGAGCTCAGGCCTCAGGCCCTCAGGCCAGCGTCACAGCAAGAAAAACACTCGACAAGCTGCAAGCGGGTTGCTCATCGGACTGGCCGGAGAACTGGGGTCACGGAAAACCCCCAGGCTGCCCAGGGCTCTCGCCTGCAACCCCAGGCCCCTCCCCCAGACACTGCACCCCTGGGGACCGCACACCCAGGATGCCCCCCGAGTTGTTCTCAGCAGCTTGAAAGGACCCGTGAATCAATGCAGCAAAGAGGCAAGAAGAGTAAGAGAAGCTGAGGGAATGGCCGCCTCCCCCACAGACCACGCACTTGGGCTCCAAAACGGGGGATGCTAGCCAGGGTCGAAGGAAGCCCAAGAGGGCACCTGGAGATGGCACGTGCGGGCGGCTGACCGTCCACCCTCCAGAGTGCCCGGGCAGGAGTAGCCCCTGCGTCTCGCACATGCGGGTCACACCACCCCACTGAAACCCCTCATTTGTCGTTACCGTGGACCCGACGCCAGCGGGACCCCCCCCAGATCCCAGGGCTGGGCCGGCGGCTGGACAGCCAAGAGCGCTGAGGCAACACGGCCACCTGGGCGGGAGGGGCTGGGGACAGCCGGAAGTCACAAGGCGTGTCTCCCCACATCAAAAGCTTAAGGGGGGGGCCTCCCCGGTGGCGCAGCGGTTGAGCGCTGGGTTGCGAAGCTGCCCGCGGCCTCCGCGGTGCCAGTTCGATTCCCGGCTGCTCCCCGGCCACCGGAGGAGGGTCCCACATGGCGCGCGGACCTCTCCTGCCGCCCGCTGCTCCCCTCAGCAGTGTCCTTCGGTCCTTCTGCCTGCTCTGCTCCCCGCTCTGGCTCTGGTGAATTCTCTCACCCTCCCGCGCTTCTGACTGTACCCAGTGCTTGTGTAAATAAATAAATCTTTTAAAAAAAAAAAAAGCTTAAGGGGCCTCCCTGGGGGCACAGGGGTCAGTCTCAGCGCTGCCACGCTGTCAGCAGCCTCTGCGCCTGAAGGCCATCCCCGGCCAGGGAGCTGCCCACAGGGCGCAGCAGACCTCTCCTCTCTCCCGCTGCCCCCTCAGCAGGGGGTTTCAGTGGATCCACCTCTTCTACCCCCCACTCTGTCTCTGGGGAGTCCTCTCAGCCCTTACACCTCTGGCCTGCACCCCAGCTCTTGGACATGCAAATAAACCTTTAAAAAACAAAAAATTTAAGTCCGAGCGCATCAAGCCGCGGTGCGGAAAGGGCTCGCACAAATCAGCAGGAAAACAGGAGCGTCCCTGGGCACAGCCACAGCTCGCCCAGAAGGCCACTCTGCAACCCACAGACAGGCCACGGCCGGGGAGGCCAGGACGCACGGGGGGCGCGGCCAGTAGGCGCTGCGGTGGACCTCAAGGTCTCCCCAGCACCGTGGGAAGGGGGACACCTGCAGGCCCCACCACACGGTCCGTCAGCCTGTCGGGTCCTCTGGCTTTGGTGCATAGTCCAGATGCCCAGGGTGGGGGCACAAGAGTGGCAAGGGAGTGGCTGGCTACCCGGGCAGGAAGGGCTCTTCGGGGGTGGCCAGGGCCCACCGGCACCCTGCGCAACCTCCCTCCACACCCTTGCGCTGTCCACCCCAACGGTCAGAGTTTGCTGCTGGTGCCTATAGTTGCCACTCCAGCGCACATGACTGGTTTGCGGCTCAGACCCCGGCCCTCGGCACCGGCAGGCCGGCCACCAGCACAGCAGTGTGGGTGATGCTCATGGGGCCCCGCGGGCGGGCCAAGGGCCATAGGTGCCCGAGACAAAGCCACGCCCCACGCTGACCACCTGCCAGCGCCCTGCGGCCCCCAGGACAGGGCCACCTGCTGGGGCCAAGCGCCCCCTTTCCCATGGCACAGCCCACCCTGTGTTCCCAGCAGGCCCGGAGGAGGGGGCAGCCGCAAGGGTGCAGGCCCAAGCGCAGACCAGCCATAGGTCGCGAGAGCAGCACGCAACCAGGAGGGAGGCGCCTCCCAGCGCCCAGCCACCCTGACATGGCCGCGCTGCACAGGCGTGCCCAGAACCGCGCGGCAGCGTGTGGAGGAAAGCCTCCAGGAAAGGGCTTTTTATTGATTTCATTGAAAACAGAAGGAGAAGGGGTCTGAGCCAAAAGACTGCTCTTGGGACCGTCAAAAACGCTTGAACAGAAAAAATAAACGTAACTGCATCGTGAATGTTTTAGAAGAGTCGCACAAAACCCACGATTACTGCACTAATTACAGTATTTAAAAAAGTATATGCCAAAAAAAAGTACGTGACCGGCAGGCCGCGGCCAAGAGAGGGCACGGCGGCCGCGCGAGACCACAGCCGGGGACGCCCCCGCAGCCCGGAGCCCGCGCTGGGCAGGGCTCCGGGGTCAGCACCGTCGCGTGTATTAATTTCTGTCCTAATGTTCAACGATGGTAGAAAATAAATCAGTTTTCATCATCATAGCATGTGGCTTAAAAATCAAGAGGTGGGGGGCCCTCTGGGCCGCACAGCGCCCGGCCCACATGGGGAGGAGGCGTCCTCAGGCGCGGGCCACACTCCCTTCACCTCGGCCGGCCTCGTGGGGTGGCGTCCGGGGTCGGCACGGCCAGTGACCTCGAGGGTGCCCGTGGGTCCACTGCCTGGCGCCGGGCTGCAGTCACGGAGCGCGGAGGGTACAGACGCGCGGCCACCGTCGGCCAGGCGCCAGGACGTGGGGCCCAGAGTCCAGGGACTGCCCGGCCGGGCACGGCCGCTGCTTCATAACGGGTCCGTGGAGGAGCTGGTGTCCGGCAGGCCGTTCTCCGGGGCCTGCTGCGCGGCGCTGGCCTGCCGCTGGGCCAGGGCAGAGCTGGAGTGCCGGCACTTGGGGGAGCCGCAGCGGCAGCTGAAGAGCTTGCCCTTGATGTCCCAGAAGCGCTCCCCGTAGTCGAACCTGGGGACCAGCAGCGCTCAGGGGAAGCAGGCGTGCCCGCCCCCCGTCCCCCAACGGCGCTTGCCACCTGCCCCGCTGGCCCCACCCCCCGCCTGGCCTACCCCAGCGGCTCCCCGGCGGCGATGAGGCGGGTGCTGAAGAAGGCGATGCGGGGGAAGCGCAGGTCCTGGTGGGCCATGAACACGCGCACCGGCACCAGGTTGGGCTCGCAGTGGTGGTTGATGAAGCGGCTAACGTTGCCGTAGAAACGTGCGTCGATGCAGTACACCTCCCCGTCCTGCAGGAGGCGGGCCTGAGCAGGGAACCCCAGGGAAGGCCTGGGCGCCTCCAGGGCACGGCCTCCCACCACATGCCCCAGTGCCCAGCCTGCCGGCCGGCCCACACAAAACAAACCCTAGCCCTAGGGCAGGTCCTCCGCAGAGGCCAGGAACGGCTGCAGCCCTGGACCCCATCTCGGCCAAGCTGAGCAGAGGGCTGGCCGCAGGGTCACCTGACCACCCACCCGGCCACCATGCAGGGCCCACAGCACCGGGGACGGCCCCAGGGGACAGCCAGCCAGGAGCAGCAACGGCACCGCCCGGCGGTGCCGAGTCAACCCAGCTGAGCACAGCAGACGCAGCCAAGCACTGTTGCCAGAGAGGGCCTGAGGCCAGCGGGCACGCGCCTGAAGCCCGTGCCGGCTGCGGCCAGAAGGCCCAGGTCAAGTCCCGGCGCCTGGGACTGGCTGAGGGGAAGCAGGTCCTGGGCTACCACGCCAGGTGGGGCAGCTGCTCCCAGAAGTGACATCTCACAGCCCAAAACTCGGGCGTGGGCGCCCACCTGCGGGGGCCTTTGGGGCAGCCCCGACAAGCCCTAGGCCCCCACCAGGGAATTGCCAAAGCAGAGGAGGGCAGCCACTGCCCACTAGTGGACACATCGGGGCCACTAAAACCCCATCGACGGTCACTAAGCAGGAGCAACGTGAGCGACCTAAGGGAGTGTTTACACGTGGCGGGACCGGGAGGCTACATGGAAGACCGTGAGCGCGCAGGGCTGACATCGGCGCGGCCCTCCCGCAACAGGACAGCCAAGGGGACGCCACGCCCAGAGCCAGGACCCCCAAGCTGGAGCCGCGGAGACGGGGCAGGGCCTCTCCACAGAGGGGCCAGGCCCGACTCAGGCTGAGGCCCCGCCGGGCACCCTCCAGCATCCTCACGGCAGGGCAGGCGCTCCAGGAGGCGCTCAGACAGGAAGTCAACGGTCAAGGCGGCCTGAGATGGCCTCGAAGTCCCCTGCAAGCTCCCGTGACAAGCTGCTGACACCAGGCTCCTCGGGATGGGGGTCCTGTGTACTGGGGGCAAGCCCAGGCCCGGGGCTGCCCCTGCCCCGACTCCCGCGGCTCAGGCACCAGGCGCTTGGAAAGGTCACCTTGTTGTCCAGGTCGAAGAGGTAAGAGTCCTCCTCCCGCACGTCCGCTTCAGAGTCAGAGATGAGCTCCCCGACGTACCTGTGGGCGGGCAGGGGTGAGGATTGGGCCTTGGAGGCCAGAGCAAGGCCCCTACAGGGGTCTCCCGAGCCCCAGGCCCCCAGGAGAACAGCAGCGCCACCGCGCCAGCTGGGCACACTCACTCGCAGACAAAGGTGCCGGCGGGGATGTCCTGCAGGGGCCGGACGCCCCAACCCATGCTCTGCGTCCGGTAGAGCTGCAGCCGTGCCCTAGAAGGCAGAGCCTGGCCTCAGCCCCAACGGCACTGGCAGGGGCAGCAGGACGGTGGAGTGGCCAGGAGACTGGGGCGGGAGGGATCAGCCTTCTCTGTGACCGGGACAGCCTGGGCCAAGGCGCGTGGCAACCAGGGCACCGTCCCGCAGCCACAGCTGCCCCGGCCTCCACTGACTCCCGCCAGGGGAACGCCAGGCAGTGTGGCCGAGTCCCCATCGCCTAGTGCGCACCCGCAGCCGGTGGTGGCCAGCGTGGGCCAGAACCAGGCTGGCCGTGGGGCCAGGCTAGGCAGGGACCCCACCCCGCCAGAGAAGGGGGCCAGCCAGGCTCGCAGGCACCAGAGACGCAGAAACCAGGAGTCTCAGACTAGAACTCGCCACACCAAGCTGCAGGGGCTCGGGGGCGCGCAGGCGGGGGACCAGCGGGCAGCGCCCAGGACGCAGCAGGGAATGGGCTGCCATGGCCCAGCATGGCGGGGTCTGTGTCTGGTGCTGCCGCCCGCCCGGCGCACACCTGAGCCCGTTCTGCACCACGCGGTTGCGGCAGCTTCTCCAGCAGGCGCAGGCATGGTTGCACTCGAACAGCAGCGGGGGCTCGGCCATGTTGAACTCGGGCAGCAGCCGGCCATCCTGCGGGAAGGGGCCGTGAGGACCACGTGCCTGCAGCGCTAACACCCACGCGGACAAGCTGGGGTTGGACACGGGCAGCGGGGAGGCCCCACACCCACCCAGCCTGGCCACCCACTGGACATTCTCCCGAGCCCCGCCCACCCAGGCGGCACCAGCAGAGAGGGTGCCCTCCCTCGAGCAGGATGGCCGCGTCCTGGCTCTAGCAGGGCCTGCGGCCCCCGTCAACAGCCACTGGCCTCGGGGCCCCACCCACTCGCCCCCGCATCCGGGAGCGGCAAAGGTGGCGGCGCTGGCGTTGTGGGGCCGCGGACCGCCCGCAGCCGCCCGCACAGCCCCAGCACTCCCCCTGCAGCCACAAGCAGGGCGCTGCCTCCTCCCCACCCGGCCTGCGACTGCCCACACCCAGACGCCAAGCACAGCCAGCTCACCTGGCCGTACCAGCAGCGCACGCTGAGCTGGCCGCACATGCAGTTGCTGGAGGAGCAGTCGTCCACGCACACGCAGTACTGAGGGGAAAGGCTAGTTGAGCCCACGTCCCCCCCGCCACACCCACGGCCCCCCACGGCCCGCCCCCCCACGCCCAGGTGCTCTCAGGAGGGAGGGTGTGCGGGCAGAGGAGCGCATCCCCCCGGAGCCACTGAGGTGGGCGTGAGGGCCCCCCAGCCCTGCCATCCCCGCTCAGCCCTGCCCCCGCCCACCTGCAGGTGTGTGATGTTCCTGTCGATGTCCATGGGGGACGTCACGCAACTCTGTGACACATACTTGTAGTTGCTAGGGCAGGGCTCGCTGTCCACAGCATTCACGCAGGGGATGGGGGTACGCTCGTAGCCCCGGGCGATGTCTCTGCCGCAGGAGGGGGCGCCCCATCGTCGCTGGGCTAGCCCCACCCAGGGACCATGCCCATCTGTCCTGCCCCGCCGGGGTGCAGCCGCTCACCTGCTCACCGTCCTCTCCACGGGGCCTGTCCTGTCCGGAGCGGCGTCCCGCAGGGCCTTGCTGGTCTGCAGGGCATGCCACACCTGGGAGTGGAGGCTGGCGCACTGCAGGGGCGTCTCCCCCTCCTTGTTCTTCAAGGTAACATCTGAATCCCGAGAAAGAAAGAGGCTAAAAGGAAAAACGCAAGCCGACAAGACGAGCGGCCCTTAGCGCAGAGGCCAGCGCTGCCCACGCTGCAGCCACACGCCTCCCACGGCCCCCGCCAGTCCCTTGGCACGCAGCGGACCACAGGGGACGGGGCACAGGCTGACCTGGCTGCCAAGGTGCCCTCGGGTGAGCAGGCGGCAATGCAGCAGGCAAGCTGCGCTGCCAGGCGCCCAGATGTCCCGCGCCCAGCCACCCAGGTGCTCCACCGAGGCCACAGCACCGCGGGCATTGCCCCCAGCCACCGTTGGGTGATGCGCCCGGCCCCAGTGGGGCCAGGGTGGGGGCGGGGCCACGGCAGGGGGAGAGGCTATGCTGGGGTGGTGGGAGCGGGGCCAAGCCTGGTGGGGACGGGGCAGGCAGGGGCCAGGCAGGGGCGGACAGGGCCCCGTGGGCCGCACTCACACCACACAGGCGTAGCGGTCCTCCCGGGCAGCAATGTGCAGGGGCGAGTCCCCGTGCACGTTCACGGCATGCAAGTCACACCGGGCGGCCAGCAGGATCTCGGCTATGTCCACGCAGCCCGAGAAGGCTGCCCAGTGCAGGCAGATGTTTTCCTCCTACAGAGAGACAAACGCAGGGTCGCGGCAGCGCAGGCACACCCAGAAGAGGCGCCTTGTGAGCCCCAGAGTCTCATTGTGGGTCCCCATCAGACAGGACACAGCACAGCATGAGGGTGGGGCTGGAGGCCAGCTGAGGGCAGGGCCTGGTCGGCGCACAAACACCTCAAGGGCTCGGCCGGCTAGCGCAGCAGGGAGCTTGCTGGGCACTGCAGCCCTCCTCCACCCGCCTTGCTCCTCCCCGCGGGTGGCCCCTTGACCTTAGTGTGCCCAACATAGTGCGCTAGGGTGACCAGGCCCACCCGGAGCAATGTGAGACACACCCAGAGCAGCGCCACGGGGCAAGAGCCTCCTGAGAAGCCCTCGGGTCATCAGACTCGCCTGCTCTGGGGAAACGGACCAGACAGAGGCCCGAGCGCCTTGACCAGCCCAAGCCCAGCCCACACTGACTGCTGGGCAGAGACGCCCTCAAGCCCTCCACAGGGCAGCTCAGCCACAGGGTGGGGCCCACAGGGCCGGGTGGACGAGGGGCTGGGCCGCCCAGGCTCGAAGGGCTGAGGACAGGGAGGCTCACATTGTCCCGGATGTTGATGTCGGACCCCTTGGACAGCAGCAGCCGCACCAGGTCCACGTGCTTGTACTCGGTGGCCCAAATCATGGGCGTCCAGCCGCCGTCGTCCTGGCATCAGAGGAGACAGCAGCAGTGAGCTGTGGTGCCCAGGGGCTGGCTGGGCACCCATGAGGGCTAAGGGGGAAACCAAGGGCAGAGCTGCCCAGGGGAGGCCGGGAGCACAGGAGCAGACCAGGTGGGCAGCACAGCCTCAGGGACTAGATGCCCAGCACACATCAAGAGCTCCCTGCACACCTGCCCGCAGCCGCCAGGAGGGGGCCCAAGAGGGGGTGCGGGGGCCAATGCTCTTGCCACCAGGGTCACTCTCAGGCGTGTGGCTCTGGTGGTGGGTGGGGACAGAGGTGGACAGCCGGCAGATGCAAAGGGAGGAACTGGCCAGTGTGGAGAGAAGACAGGACGTGGGGATGGGGACCCCAGGAGAAGCGCCCGTGGGCAGCAGCCTGCAGAGCGGCTATGAGTCACCGGGCTGTGGTGACCGGGCCTGAGGGGATGCCCACAGGGGAGCTGGGCCTGCTGTCCAGGCTGCCTTGAGGGGACAGGCAGGGCGCTACCTGGCAGTTGACGTCCATCTGTCCGTTTGAAAGCAGATACTGGACCACATCATAGTGGCCTTTCTTGGCAGCCAGGTGCAAGCATGTGGAGCCCTCTGCGTCCTGCAAGGCCAAGGCCACCAGTCAGAGGCTCGCTAGAGGCTCTGGGCACCCCCAGGCCTGGGGCAGAGCCGCCTCCCGAGCCCTGGCTGGGACCCGTGTGTCTGGGCTCGGGCCTTCCCTGCTCACAGGGCGCCGGGCAGGTGCCAGGTGCTCCAAGGGCAGAGCCCGGGCAAGGCTGGGACGGGGCTGCAATGATGCTGGAACCAGGGACAGCACCACCCACCCACCCGCCGCCGCCACCACGCCGGCGCCCGGCCCCCCACGCGACATGAGACACGACGCGGACGGACGTCTTGGACCCACGCATGAGACCCACCCCAGAGCCGGAGAGCCAGGTGCCGGGGCCTGGCTGGGGCTGCGGGAGCACAGCACACACCCACCTGTTCCCCAGCACCCCCTATCCATGCGCCTCCCGGCTCGTGGCCCGTTGCTGACTAGAAGGCCCAGTCCTGACCCACAGACCGGCCCCCGCAGCACCGACCGGTGTCCCCAGGGATGCGGAAAGGCCTCAGACCACCACGGGCTCAGGTGCTGCCCATCGGGACGGCTGGCATCCCGCCATGGCCACCTTCGGGGCGCCACGTCCACTCTCCGCGTCCCCTCGCTCCACTCCCGCATCGTCAGGGCCTCATGAGTGTCCCGTTGGGCTTGCAGCCCTGGCTCTAAAGAGAGTTCCCGAGCTCACAGCTGCTGCTCGCCTGGAGCCACCCGCCGCGGGCTCTTCTCTCTGAGAACAGCTCTGACGGGCTGGCAGGTCTGATAGGGCTATAGCGGCTCCACCAAAGGCCCGGGCATCCTGACCATCCGGTGGTGCTGGCCCTTCCAACCTGGGCACAGTGTCCTCCCCGTGCTCGGCGCGCGGCTCCTGTGTGAGGCTCAGCTGTGCATCCTCACTGCTCCGCCTCTCGCCCTGAATCAAGTTTTTCTCCCAAATATTTTACTCCCTTTGATGCCCTGTTCACAAGACATCGCCATAACGTCCTCCAGGTGGCTGGTCGTGCATGTGAAGATACGGCTGGTCGTTTGCGTGGCACTGGGCCTTGCCGCCTCAGGGCACGCTGACTAGCCCGGCGCCCCTTTCGGTGGGTACTGGGGCTTCCGCGTGCGAGGCCGCAGCTTCCGGGAACAGAGATCACTTCGCTTCTCCCTTCGGGTGTGCACGCCTCACACCTTCCTAGCTGGCCACTCTGGGTGGAGGAGAGGAGGCCCCGCCGAGGCGCCTGCCCTGCTCAGTGCCCCTGCATGCACAGCAATGCCACGTGGGAGCGCAGCGCTCGGGACAGTGGGTGGAGGCTGAGGGCACCCGCCCCGAGGACCCTGCCAGGACCAGGGCCAGCCGTGCGTACCTTGGGGTCCACCAGGGCACCGGCCTTGATGAGGTACTTGACGGCGTCCAGGTGGTTGTTCTCTGCCGCCTCCATCAGGGGCGTCCTCTGGTCCTCCGAGCAGGTGTCGATGTTGGCGCCGGCCTGGAGAGACAAGGGCCACTCAGGGCGGGCGGGGCGGGCGCTGCTCACGAGCGACGCGATGGCTGCTGCTGGGCAGGCGGCCGGGGCCCAGCAGGCGCGACGGGACTGGTCTGTCACAGTCAGTGCCTGGTCTGGGTGGAACGACCGTGGCATCAGGGAAGGCCCACGGCAGCCGCCCCTCTAGGAGCGTGGGCCGCAGCCCAGGGACTGAGCCGCCAGCCAGGACAGGGCACAGGGCAGAGGCAGGGCAGGAAACAAGGCAGGGCATGAGGGGCCTGAGGCTGGGGTCCGGTCTCCCCAACACCACCCCAGCCAGGGCACAGGCCATGCCCAAGGCCCCCCGGGAAGCAGGCAGCACCCAGCACAGGGCGAGGGGCAACAAGGCAGAGAGCTCCAGGCCTGGGCCCAGCAGGTGGGGCCCCGCAGCCCACAGGGCCTCCCAGGGCAGGTGCATGGCTGGGGAGCATCCCCCATGGCGCTGCCAGCCAGAACCCTGCACCCCAGGGCCCGCCGCACACCTACGCAGCACTAGAGCGACAGAGCCGGAGCCAACCAGGCGAGGGTGGGACGCCTCGTCAGGAGTGATAGGAGCTCCAGTGCCTACTCCAAGCAGCAGGGCCGCCCAGCCCCGCCCCGCGGTCTCCCCGGCCTGGCCACCTCAGCCAGTGGTCACCTTCCCCAGCACCCTCAACTACCCAGAGTGGAGCTCCTGCAGGGGGACAGCCTCGGTGGCCGCCCAGACGCCGCTCCACGCCAAGGCCAGAGCTGCCCTCTGCAGCCACGCAGAGCGGGCCGCGCCCGCCGCCCCACAGCTGGCACCTCCACTCGGCCAGCCATCACCCCTGCCCTTCCCACCCGCTGCAACAGCCCTAGAGTGAGGATGCACCGGCCACGCGCCCAGTGGGTAAGATGCGGACAGAGGACCTCCCCGCAAGGACAGCCCGCCGACTTTGGGAGGCTGGACTCAGCGGGAGCCAGCGTGGCCTCACAGCAGAGCCCATGGGGCTGACCAGACCCAGGCCCTGTGAAAGCACAAGACCATTGGCTGGGCCACACGAGGGAGCCCCACGGGGGTGGCTCCTGGGCACAGGGTGAAGCTGGGCTGGGCCTGACGATGTGACAGCTGCAAGGACCGAGACCCACGGCATGTGGATGGGAAGCGCACAGCAGAGGGCCCCAGCGAGCTTGCGTCCACCTGTCACCTGGGGCCTCACGCTGCCCACCCGTGGCGGGGGGTGGGGGTGGGGGGGGTGGCAGCGGCACACGGGGACGACCCAGCAGTCTTCGTGCAGGAGGCAGATGGGCCAGGACGCCCGCCTGGGGCACCGCAGGCCGCGAGGAGTCAGGTGGGGCCAGGGGCCCGGGACAAGTGGGCACAGGCCTGGACCAAAGCCGACGGCCACAGGGTAGGGCCGGCCTCCACAGCGCAGCCAGGACAGAGCAGCAAGAGGAGTGGCTGGGACTGGGGCACAACTTCAGGCACGGGCTAAAGGACCCCAGGCACCCAGCAATCAGGGACTGGTCACCAGGGGTCAGACGTGGGTTCTGGTCTCCAGGAGGGACCCGTGCAGGGACCCGAGCCCCGGTAGGATGCGTGACACAGCCAGCACCGGCAGGGCAGCCGGATGGGGCCCGTGGGCTCCTGTCCCACCGAGGCAGGGAGCTGACCTGGACGAGCATGTGGCAGATGTCCACGTGGCCGGCCTCTGCGGCCGCATGCAGCGGCGAGCGCTTGCTCTGGTGCTCCATCTTGAAGTTGGGGTCAATCCCGTCCACTACGGACAGACAGAATTTGACTGGTCGCTTCAATGGCAAAAACAAAGGCCCCACCGGAGCCACGTCTGGAGTGTGGCCCCCATGCCTGCCCAAGCGGCCAGACAGCCTGCAGGCAGAGGTCACCTCGCAACACAACACACAGCTCGGGTGTCCCAGCCTCACCCTCCCGGGACCCTGCCCCCCAGACCCGGCACTGGCTGAATGAGGCCCTCAAGAGGCTGCCGCGGGGTCCAGGCAGAGGTGCTCGGCCCCACACCAGGTCTCTGAGGAAAGTGACCAGATGGCTGCCTGCTAGGCACGGATGGTTTCCTCGAGAGCTAGCGGTCAGGGCTCTCTCCTGATGTAACAAGGACGAGGGATCACAGTCACTGCCCCGACCCCTGAGGACCCGCGCTGGGCTTGGGAAGCGAGACGGGGAGGACAGGCACCCGGGCCGCAGCAGCCCCCGGTGCACAGCTCCACCCTGGCCCAAGTCTCCTCTCCACCCGCATCCGGTCACCCCTCGCCGCTCAAGGTGAGCGCCCTCGGAGAGGACGTCTGCCGCGGTGGGACCTGACCAGAGATCAGCAACCGGCTGAGCGGCAGGGTGGGGCACTCACCCAGCATGAGCAGCACCTTCTGCAGCTCCCCTTGCCGCGCAGAGAAGTACAGCTGCTTGGGGTGGAAGCGGAGCTTCTTGGGTCTGTGGGGAGCAGAGGACGGCAGTGGGCCCCAGGCCGCCCCGCTCTGGTCAGCCCTGGCACCATGCACCTGTCCCGCAGCAGCAAGGCCGTGTCTCCCACAACCGCGAGGGCCACTGCGCGAGGGGACAAGGCCACCAGGGGACGCGCCCACACCAGCACCTCCTGGCCAGCAGCGCCCAGGGGAGGCAGGGAGCACCCACCGGACACCTCACTGAGGCCTCAGGGACCACCAGGGTCCACCTGTGGCTCCCGGGGTCCTCAGGGTGAGGGAGACGGCCCAGCCCGGCCCGCGCTTACTTCTCAGAGTCCAGCGCGATGAGGGCACTCTCCAGCGTCTCCTTCCCCGGCCCTGGGGTCAGGCCGGCGGCAGGCTTCACCAGCCCCGCGGGCCCCGCCAGGTCGCAGCCCTCTGGCCCCAGGGGCGCGGCGCCAGGCAACTTGTCATCCTCGGGGAGCAGGGGTCCCACCGTGCTTCAGGGGGAGACAGAGGGAGCCTCAGATGGGGCTGTCCCCCTGCACAGCCTGCGGGCAGCTCTCCAGCACCGTCGGGGTCAGGGCCTTCCAGACGAGACCCACGTCTCCAGGAACCGGTCAGGACCTGCCCTGGCGACGGCCGGGCTGGGTCTCCGCAGCTCTCCCAGCCCGAGGACAGCCGCAGGGGGAGGGACGGAGGCCATGAGAGTCTCTACAGCGGGCAGACCTGGGGGGTCGGGGTGGGCCCCAGCACCCTGCTGCGCGCACCTGCCTGTGGTGGTGTCGGCCCGGCCCTCTCCGGCGCAGCCTCTCTCAGGCCCGGGGGTGGGTGTGGCGCTGGAGGTGGTGTCGGCCTTGGCGATGGTCACCTCCCTGGCCTTGGAGGCCTCCTCCCCGCAGTGGGGACAGTAGCTGGCGTTGTTGACGCGGGAGGCACAGCCCTTGTGAAAACGGTGGGAGATGCTGCCCTCGGGCTGACACTCCATAAAGCTCCCCTGGGGGGGAAGAGGGCGGCTGAGGGTGGCGAGGCGGGCAGGGCCGGTGGTGGCCCCTCATGCTGGCTCCGGTCGCGGGGGGCGAGGGGTCCGGCCCCCCTCCTCTCCAAGGGAGGGTGAGGCGGGGCGGGCTGGCAGCGCCCTGGAGACGGGGCCTAGCGCACAATCAGGGCCGGGAGGGGCCAGGCCGGCCAGCGGGGCAGAGTCTCCGCGGGCAGCGTTGGGTGGGACGCCCAGGGCCTCAGGGAGGACCCCGGGGAGCTCACGAGGCCGGCAGGTCCCTCACAGCAGGCTTGGGATGTGGAGCCCGGGAGGGAAGGGTTACCGCGTGCACAGGGCCCAGCGGGCACAGCACGGCAGGAAGCCCAGGGCCTGCGTGCGGTCAGTGTGCACGGGAAGAGGGGGGACTCACGGCCGAGCAGAAGTAGCCACAGCCAGGGCAGCACTGGTGCTTCACCATGCGGCCCCGGTGGTCCTCGCACAGCACCAGGAGCGGCGCCTTGCTGGACGGACGCATCAGTTCGTGCTTGACGACGCTGTTGGTGCACCTGCCCAGCTGCCCAGGGACAAGCGTCAGAGGCGTGTGGTCCACATGTGGCACCCGTGAACAGAGGGCGGCAGGTGGACGGGCGAGTCCAGGCTGGCAGGGGGACCCATGGGGGCAGGGCCCCAACCCAGGGCCATGCCAAGGTGGGAGGAGCAGAGGAGGGGACACCACACAGAGGGAGCTCAGGGGTGGGACAGTGCAGGCGGCCATGGGGCAGCGGTGCCTGAAGGCCCCTGGCCGGCATCAGGGGCCAGTCCTTGCAGGGCCCTCAGGAGGACGGTGAGGGGGCAGCTGTGCACAGGCGCACCCAGCAGCGTGCACCCAACAGCGGGCAGACCAAGGAGCCCTGGACAGGATGCGCCAGACACCGCGGGGTCAGCCCCACTGGCGGAGCGGCGGCCAGGCCAGCGTGGGGCCTGGGGCAGTTTCAACACACTCGCCCGAGGCTGACACAGGGCGTGGCCCAGTGCCTGCTCTCGACCCACCCCACAGGGCGCCCCGACGCTAAGAGCCAGAGCAGGCCACGGGCCAGAGGGCGCCAGTCAGCCAGGACCGGCATTGCCTCCCACAGCAGAGTTTGAATCACTGGACACGCACAGACCCTGAGGGACCACGATGCTAAAGGGGGGCTGCGCCGAAGCAGGGGTGGGGAGGCAGGGCCTGAGCAGGGGCCCTCCGCAGCGTCCTCATGGACCGACTGAACAACGCCGGCCCTGCCCCGCCGGGTCTCAGCGGACCCCACCACACACGGGAGCCCCCCACCAAGTTGGGGCCGGAGCTGCGGGCGGCGTGCAGAGGCTACAAGGGGGATGGGGGTGGGGGGCTTCCTGAGAACCCCGAGGGCGGACACACCTGCCTCTGGATGGCGTCACCTGGCAGCCACGGCCCCCTCTCCACGAGAACGTTCTCTCACACACATGGGTCTTGCACTTGAGGGGCCCCAGACCCGCCTGGGGCTGATGTCCCAGAACCCGCCTCGCCGCCGCCGCCCCCTGGAAGCAGCAGCTCCCGGGAAGGGCCCGCAGGGGGCCAGAGAGGGGCCCCCACACGGTTGCTGCCCCCCCATGCAGGACGGGCCCTCACTGTACTTGGCCGCGGAGCCCAGAGGCCTGAGCTCCGGGTCGCGCGCGGCGGGGAAGCCCCAGCCGCCAGGAGCAGGGGGCGGGGCGGGGGCGGGGCGGGGGCGGAGCGTCCTCACCGCAGGCCCCCCACGACCCTCCACTCCGCCCAGCCGGGGAGCCCCGACGCCCCTCCCTCGGGCCCCCCGCGCCCATCAAGTCCCCCGCGGGTGGGCTCCGCTCGGAGGTCGGGGGCTCGACCCCGCGGCGTCTCTAGGCCCCGGCCCGGCCCACCCGTGGGCGCTGCCGCCTCGCCCACCGCCGTGAGACCCTGCACCCCCACACCGGGGAGACCGAGGCCGCAGCCGCCGGCCAGGCTGAGGGCAGAGGCCCTCGGTGGACAGTGAGCAGAACACCTTCCCAGAAATCAGCCCGCCTGGTCCAGGGGCTGCCCTGGCAACCAGCCCTTCATTAGCACAGGCCCGTCTGAACGGCACCTATGGACGCGTCTCAGGCTCTGGTGTCTGACCAGGACGGAGGACAAGAGATCAAAAGCCACCCGGGGGCCAGAGAGCAGGGTCCCGGGCAGGGGCATGCACACTGCCCTGTGCGCAGACTGCCCGACAGCGGGTCTGCGTCCGTCAGGCTCCGGCCTCAGGGGGGGGAGGGCCGCGTGGGGGACTCTGGCACGAGGGGCGCTCACCTGGTGGTCCACGCTCTCGGTGGCCATGCACTGGCTGTTGGCCAGCGTGCTGACCTCCCGGCTCTTGGGAGTCTCCATGCGGCAGCTGCACAGGGGCACCTCCTGGAGGCCGTCCGACTCGGCCGCGCCAGGTCCGCTGGCCAGCCCTGGAGGTGCAGACACAGGTCAGTGTCCACAAGCCCACAGCAAACAGGCTGACCGCCCAGGCTCACCCGGCAGAGGCTGGCCGGGGCGGGGTGGGAGGGGGCGGATGGGGAGGGGAGGGGCTTCAGGCTGCCCCTCCTGCAGCGCAGGCTCTCGGCAGCCAGGACACGGCCCCTGCCTGTCACAGCGGCTGCTGCGCCCAGTGGTCAGTGCACAGATGCAGCACCGCCGAGAGGACAGCAGCACCTGTCCCTGGACCAGGCCCACCACTCACAGTCACCCCTCCATGCGCCCAAGGCTGCAGGGGACAGGCCCGGTGTGTACCCCGACTCTCCCCGCTGCCTGAGGGGCCCTGCCAAGAGGAAGGGCAGCCCCGTGGCCAGCGGAGGGTCCTGCCTAGGCGGTGGCCAGTGGACAACCTGACTTCAAAATGAGAAAGACAGGCCTCCCCGGTGGCGTAGGTGGTTGAGCGCAGCGCTGTGAAGCCATCCGCAGCCTCTGCAGCGCTGCTTCGATGCCGGCTGGCCTTGGAGCAACCCACGTGGCGCGGCAGACCTCTCCCTTCTCCCCGCTGCCCCTCAGCAGTGTGTTTCGTCCGTCTGCCTGTTCTGCTCCCCGCCCTGTCTCTGATGAATCCTCTCACCCTCCTGCACCTCTGGCCTGTACCCTGGTTCTCATATAAGCGAAATAAAACTTTAAAAAATAAAAATAAAAAAAGAAATGAAATGAGGACGACGCCAGGCCACAGTCAGGGCCCAGCGTCTAAGCCTCCTGAGGGGACTCCTGTCCCAGCCGCGGCCACCAGGACCTCCAGAGCGGCCAGCTGCGCGCCCTCCTGCTGGCGCCGCCTCTTGGGCCTGCGCTGCTGCCCAGCTCCTGCTGGGTTCCTGAGCGTGTGACGTCCGCAGACGGGCTCCCCCAGGCAGGGGGAGGCGCAGGGTGCGGGGACGCTGAGTGGGGCTGGAGGGAGGGAGGACGTGGGCAGCCACTGGCTGCCCGGCCTTGGGCTTGCCCAGAACTCCTGGCTGGGCCGTGGGGGAGCCCGTGGGGAGGCAGCCGTGGTGGCCTTTGTCTTGCCTTTGCTCCTTTCCTCCCAGACCTCCTGGCCCCTCTGGCCCTCTCCTCTGGTCTCCGCCGGAAGGCGCCCTAGACACAGTCTCAGCGCCCGCTTTATGCCCACCCTGTTTGGCTGGGCATGTCCCCGGGAGGGACGGGCACTTCCCGGGGAAACTACGCTCTTTCTCTCCCTCCAGGGACGGTCTCTGCGCAGTCTCACACACTGGGGTGTGTTCTGTGACTTGATGCAGCAGACAGCAGACCGCGTTCACAGCAGGCAGATGTGGGGGACCCCAGGTGTCCCCTTCTACCTGCTAACACCCCCACAACAAGCGCACGAAGTCTGTTTGGCTCAGGGCACCCCAGGGGGTGGCTCTAGGCTGGTGGGCGGAAGCAACACCCCGAGAGCAGCCTCAGGCTCAGGGCCCTGGGGTGGGCCCGCTGCTCCCGCCCTGCCCTGCCCTGCCCGCCGCCATCCCAGGGCGAGAGGCCCGGTGGCCACTGCCCTCGGCAGAAGGGCCGCCCGAGAAGGGAGCGTCCCTGCCTGCCTGCACCAAACCCACGCCTTCCGAGACCAAGCTGCGGGCAGCTGTGAGGACTGGACACCGTGCCCGGCCCTGAGGCAGGACAGCCTCCCCCGCCTCCAGCTGGAGGTGTGGCTTCCTGAGCCAAAGAGGAGTGTCAAAGTTCCTCTGGTGCTCAGACGCCTGACAAGCTCGTCCCTGACCTCTAAAAGACGGTGACCCCGAAGGAGGGCCCTCCCGAGTGGTGCCGCCGCGTGGACATCAGCAGCTACGGGACCTCGCACTGCCCCAAGTCACGCTCCGAGCTGACTTCCCAAGAGACCTAGGTGGTGCCAAATCTCTGGCTGGGGGTACAGGTGTCCTGGTGGGGAGGCCTGGCGGGGGAGCACACGTGTCCTGCACTTGGGCCAACGCATCGAGGCCGCAGGACAGCTCCTGCCCCCATGACGGCCGAGGCTGCTGCACCCACGGGAGCCGGCCCCCAGGCCTCCTGGCTGGCCCGCGCAGGCTCCGGACTAGGTGGGCTGAGCTGTCCACGGGCCCCGCGGGGCTGGCCATCACCTTCTGAGGGCAGCGTGCCCGTGACCCGCAGATCCAGGGAGTCCAGGGACACCTCCACGTAGCCCGCGCTGTCCCCCAGGGCACCTGGCTCCACGCTTCCTGAGGGCGAGGCGCACACGTCGGGCCCTGCGGGCGAGAGCCCCGTCAGTCAGCGGCCCTAGGTCAGGCCTGCACCACCGGTCACTCCCTATGCGCAGGCAAGGCACCGGCACCGGGCGAGCTGGCAGAGCTGCCGTGGAGGGACACAGCAGAGCCTGCCCTGCCCAGGAGCCCAGTGGTGGGCAGAGCCAGCCGTGGGCGAGCACAGGGGCCCCTCCAGTTGCACAGCCCCTGCCCAACGGCAGCCCAGGGGGCGCCTGGAATCACCTGCGTGTCTCCAACAGGTACTGCTTTAAAGCACTGGAGCCCCGTTCAAACGACACCTGCACATGAGCCCAGCCCCTCACCACTTACCGTGACTCTTTCTCTGCCCAGGTGCCCCGCAGAGCAGGCATCACATTCGCTTGACACACAAGTACACATACTCACCTGCCTCATGCTCACCTGCCACAGGCTTACCTGGGCTCGTGCTCACCTGGGCACATGCTCGCCCGGGCATGCACTCGCCTGGGCATGCACTCACCTGGGCACAGGCTCACCTGCCACGCACTCACCTGGGCACATGCTCGCCCGGGCATGCACTCACCTGGGCATGCACTCACCTGGGCACAGGCTCACCTGCCACGCACTCACCCGGGCACATGCTGGCCTGGGCATATGCTCACCTGCCACGCACTCACCTGAGCATGGGCTCACACTCACCAGGCACACTGCTTGGCTTCTTTTTACTCCTCCTCCGCCTCTTCCTGGCGGGCTTGACCCAGGGGCTGTCTGGCTTTCCCCTCCTCTTGAGGAACTTCTTCTTGAGGCTGGACTCAGAGCTCTGGGGACCAGAGGGAACGGGCCGTGAGGCACAGGTGTAGTTCCGGCTTCGGGCACCTGACACTGTTTTCTCACAAAACGAAAGCGCTGCCGCGCCCTGGCTCCTGGACTAGAAGATTAACCTCGCCTCTCGACCCTCCGGGCCCCGCTTTACGGGCACCTATCTCTTCCCCACGCCACTCCAAGCTCGGTTACTTCACAGGCAAGAGAAAGAGAAAAAAAGAAGCCAAGGAAACTAAAATGAAGCTCGTAAGTCAAATACGTCGTCGGAGTCCTGCGCCAACAAAGCAGCCCGAGCACGCCCGGACCTGCGGACTCAAAGGCCTCGGCGCAGCACCGCCCGCCCACGCGCCGCTGGCCAGGGCAGTCGGGCCCGTCCTGAGCCTGGTGCCCGCCTCCAAGGCCGCAGAGGGAGGCGCCTGACCACAGGGTCCACGCCCCGCACCGCGCCCTGCCCCGCGCCGGCCTCCCCGGGGCCCCCGCACAGGAACCCAGGGCCGCCGTCCCTGTCCTGCCCGTACCACCACACACGGGCCAGCACACCGGCCCCGCACGCCCCGGGCACCGTTCCAAGGCCGCCGGGTCCGGCCCCCACGCACACGGCCGGGCTCTGCACCACACGGGCGGCGCCGCACGGTTACCAAGTCGGACTCGTCGTCCTCCTCCTCCTCCTCCCCGGTGCCGGCCGACTCCTGCTCCTCTTCAGACTCGGCATCCACCTGAGCCGGCGGCACAGCCAAAGAGAAACAAAGACCAGTCAGCGCGGGCGGCGCCGAGAAGCGCCCCGCCGGCCGGCAACCGGGCGGCCGCGGCCTGGGGAGCAGGCGGCAGGCGAGGCCTGGGCCGGTGGGCACCGAGAGCGTCCCAGCCAGGCCCAGGGGGGCGCCACGTGGGCTGTTTCCGGGGGCCCTCGGCAATGAGCCTCCTGAGACTTCACCCCCGGGGCCAGACCGCCCAGGACGGCCTCTGGCGGACAAAGGCAGCGCTTGCCTGCGGGCACCGCCCCCGGCAGGCAGCCCCCCAGGCCTCGCCGCAGCTGCCGAGACCCTCCCGCGTGGCCCTGGGTGTCCGTGCTGCAGGAGGCCTTCCTCCCCGGGGTCACGACCCCGGCACTGGCGTTCCCGTGAGAACACATGAAACCCTGTGGAAAGCTCTGGGTGACAGCTTCACTGCGCTGTCGCTCACGGAGCCTAAAACGCGTCCTTCCTGACGGCCCGGCTTTCCGCGTGGCCAGCACTAGGCAGCCCGCCCTCCCCAGCTCCAGGGCGGAGCCTGCACCTCGTCCCGGCGTCTAATTCCCAGCGACGGCCAGCACACTGTCCAGGAACCTCTGCTGAGGAGCTCGTGGTCTCTGGACCGGCGGCAACCCGTTCTCACCACAAACAGGCTCTCGCGGACACACAGGCGTGCGAGCGTGCCCCCACCGGCCACCCGCCGCCCACGGTCCAGGACAAAGGGCGCCGGCTCTGTTCTCAGACCCTCATCACAGGGAGCCGCAGAGCACCTGCTGCCAGGAGCCCTGGGGGCGGCCAGCGGGGAGTGGGCGCTGTCCCAGCATCTGCACTTCTCAGTTTTTTTCTGTGTGGAGAAGCCAGAAACGCGGGGGCGGGCAGGCGGGCAGGAGCACGTGGCATGGCTGACTCTGGCGCAGCTGAGGGGGGCTCCATGCTCGGCAAACTCCCCAGCCCAAAAGCCCATGCGCCGTGGGGGCCCAGCTGCACAGAGGGGTGTGCGGGGTCTTCTCCGGCCAGCCCCGAACGCCCTGAGCTGCCGCACCCGGACATGTGCTTTCCGGCAGGGCTCTGCCCCCACATGCTGGACCTTATCTAAAATGTTTCCTTTAAATGTTCATGAGATCGTTTTTGCTTCGAAAAGGTGGCACTTGCAGTTGCCAGCGAAGAGTCGGGCCAGCAGCCCGGCGCCCACCTCGGCAGCCTGCCCGGAAAGCGGGCGTGGGTCACAGGGAGGCCGCGGCGGCCGTCGCTGCAGGAGCCAGCCAGGCCGTGGCCCAGAGCCGAGGCCGCCCAGGTGGGCGCAGCCACACAGGGACGCTCAGGAGTGCCCGGACGCCCCGCACTCCCAGGTCTGCAGGGGACAGAGAGCTCCTGTGGACGGGGTTTCGTCCTTCAATGTGCTCCACCTGGAAGATGAGCCACAGCGTGTCCCGGGGCGGGAGTCATGCGACAGGAGTGGCCGCAGAGCCCCTGGAAACGGGCCCTGGAACCCCCGTCCAGGGTTGAGATCCTGAGTGTGGAGCGGAGAGTGGAAGGCAAGTCACGTGGGCCAGTCCCACAAACACAACACCCCTTTGCTGAGTAAAATAAGCCACAGGAGAGGAGTTGTCCATGCACACGTGGTGACCCAGTCACACAGGGACAGAGGTCAGGAGGCCACGCTGTGGCAAGGGGGTGGGGGGTGGCTGTGCGGCCCAGCGGGCTCACGTAAGCGGAACCGAGGATGCGAAGGCTTCAGACGCGGTGCCTGGGCTGGGCGGTGGCAGGGCCTGGCCTGGGCCCCTGGGCCGGGCCCCACCTGCTCGCAATCACCTCACTCCAATGAGAAGGGCCTGATTTCCAAGACCAGCTGGGGCGCCGGGCTCTCCCACCCACTGGGCATCCCACAGCATCCGCGCAGGTCAGCTGTCCCCACACCCTGTTTCCTGGCTCCGGCCTGCCCAGCGCCCTCGATGCACCCTCCTAGGGGCCGGCCCTGCAGCTCCGCAGCATACCAGGCCCCCCGGTGCAGACACGGGGCTCCCCACGACAGAGTCGCACAGTGGACACATGTGCATCTGCCCCACACCTGACCACAGAGGGGCTCCACATGGGTCAGGTGCTCGTGGGCCAAACAGGAAACAGCAACTTCCCAATTGCCAGTGCAAGCTTTTGCCCTAACGCGAGCGCAGAAGCCAGAGGGACACAGACCCTGGCTCTGGCAGGGCCGGGCAGTGGGGGCTGTCCAGCCCACCTGCAGGACAGAACCCCTCCCACAAAAGGGGACACAAAGAAGCGGCGTTTCTGGACGACTCATTTTTAAGCTCCCTTTGCAACCTCCAACGTCAGCATCTTCTAGCAACTTCTAACAATCACCTGAAAACGTGAGCAACCGTGATGTTTGCCCCAAACCTTGGAGAGCAGAAGTGCCGAGACCAGCTAAAGCGAACCCGACACGACCTCACGCTGAGAAAAGGCACATCTGGGCCTAGGGCCGCAGGTCTGGGCTGAGGGAGCTGCGCGGGAGCAGAACTGGCCATGCACCCAACAGCCGGCCCTGAGCCCAGGGCTCCCCAGGAAGGCAGGGGCAGCAGAGCCCCACCCACAGGCACTGCCCCAGCGCCGCTCAGCCTCAGCCCCCAGCACGAGGCCACGCCTAGGGAGGCCAAGCCACACGGGCCCGAGAACTGGCCATCCAGCAGCGCAGGGAGGCTCTCAGACCGGTCTTCACGCTCACTGTCCGCGAGGCCGCGAGGGGCCTACCTTCGGGGGCCGGTCAGTCTCGGACATGCTATCCCTGGAGGTGCGGCTGTCCTCCGTGGGGAAAGCCGCGGCCTGCTCGGCACCATGGTCCTCGTCCTCGTCCAGGTCCTCTGAGTCCTCCTCCTCTGAGTCCAGGTCCAGGCTCTCCCCGTTGACGTGCAGGGCGCCGCTGCCCAGGTCCTTCTCGCCCTGGGACATGCGGAGCCCCGGGTCAGGACCTGGGGGGCCCAGGCCCCGTGGGCAGCCCCAGCAGACGCCTCAGAACCGCCCGCAGGGATGCAGCCGCAGCCTCACCTTGGCGTCCGCGGCGGGGTGGGCCAGGCCCTGGAACATCTCCATCACCGTCCGCTGCTTCAGCACTTTGGTCTTCTTCTTGGGAACCAGGCTGTAGGTGCCCATTCTCCGCTTCTTCTTCCGGGACACTGCAGCCGCTGAAACGGAAGGCAAGCGGGCCAAAGAAATAGGTCAGAAGGAACAAGACAGGAAGAGAAATGCCCCGAAGGGGCATCTCAGGGGCCAGTGACCGCCCACGAGCCTGTCCTGCACACGCGGGTGGACTGCGAGCTCCTGGGCCTGGGAAGGGAGCTGGCGGAGGGGCCCCTGGGCCAGGACTGCGGCTCGAGCACCCGCTCTGGCTGTGGAGCGGCTCTGCTGGAGCGGGGACACGCGTCTGTCTCAGACCGGAAAGGCTGATCCCCCCGCACAGCACACGCTGACCGGAGCCCCGCAGAGCTGCTCGTGCCAGGCAGGGCGGGGCCGAGAGCCCAGGGCCACAGGGAGGCCGCGGCGGCCCCGATGCTGCCGGTAAATTTGGCAAAATGCAACAGAAGCCAAACTTGCAGTGCAGGGCATCACCCCACAGGAAGCGGCGCAGAAGGAGGAGGAGTCAGACCAGTCTCCACCAAGGGGTCTGCACCCCAAGGGCGCAGGCACCTCAGCACCAGGCAGGTGGCCCCAAGCAGACCCACAGGCAGCGCTGGGGCCTCCTTGGAAGTGACATAGGCCATGGCATCTGCACCCCCACAGCAAGAGTGTGTCACCCCCGGGCCCCTGCTGGCCTTGGGACACCCAAAGCAGTGGGCAGCAGAGACAGAAGGGCAGGAGCTGGGGACCAAGCCCCTTCCTTCACATCAAAACGGGACCAGGCGTGGCCTGCCCAGCCTCCCACGCACACCCTGGCGCAAGGCAGCCAAGCCCAGACAAACACCACTGGGTCCAGTCAGCGACTCCCGGGGGATCAGCCCTGGAGACAATGCCCCAGCTCTGGAAAGGCGCCCAGCAGCCGCTGGAGGGCAGGCCCTACTGGGCTGTGGCAGGCACAGCGCCCACGGCTGCTCGGAGCACTGAGGCGGCCCCAGAGACCCCGCGCCTCAGGGCACCAGCACACACAGCCACAGTTGGAGGGCTCGTCCAAGCGCGGGGAGACACAGCCGGCCGGCTCCCGGGGTCCTGCCTGCGGGAGACGCCACCTCCGCGAGGCGGGGCAAGTCCTCCCTCCCGCAGGGCCGGGCAGGAGGGGGCGGCCCCTGCATCCAGTCTCCCCCGGGACCCCACCGCGAGCCGCGCCCTACCTGTCTGCGACCTGGCGGTGGCCACGTAGCACTGGTTCTGAGGTAGCGACTGGTGAAGGGCCGGGTAGGGGGGCAGGAGCGGCTGCTGCCCGAAGTCGGCAACGCTGGCGCCCAGCTCCTCGCTCGGCTCCTCAGGCCCCCGTGTGTCCCGGGTGTCCCGGCCCGCCGCGTGCTTCAAAACAGAGACGCCGGCGACTCAGCAGCGTGGGGCCTGGCCAGGCTCCGGAGCGGCCACAGGCTGAGGGTGCCGAGAGGCGGGCGCTGGGGGCCAAAGCCGGCCCCGGGAGTTCGCCACAGCCAGCGCCACGGGGAGGAAACACCCAGAAGGGCCGTGGCTAACACCAGCGGAGCCTCTCCCCGCACCGGCCTGCAGCGACCGCCGGGCCAGGCCCCGACGCTCCGTGAGGACCCCCAGCCTGATCCACCCTCTGATGGACTCAGGCAGGGCTTAACCACACCCCAAGAAGCGCGGGGTCCTCCCCGACAGCGGCCCGTGCAGGGGTGCAGAGGGGAGAGCCGCCGGCCGGACTTGACCCAAGTAAGGCTGCGCAAGGGGCCTGCGGGCAGGCGGGACGCCTGGGCGCAGGGGCCTGAGTGCCCCAAGGACCAGCACCGACAGGGACTGGCCCCCAGACCCGCACGGGCTCGCCGGCCAGAGGCCCCGGGCGAGGGGCAGGGCCAGGCAGGAGCCGCTGCGGGGTGCGCGGGCAGGTGGGGGCAGGCGGCGCCCCGAGGGCCAGCGTGACACTCCCCTGCCGGCCACGCCCTCAGGGCGCCCAGCGGCGCCCCCGCCCCGCCCGCACGGGAGCCCGCAGGCCACCAGCCCGGGCCGCGTAGGACGGACGAGGCCGGGCGCAGCCCCGGGGTGTCCCCGCCCGCGCGCCCCGCCCCGCCCCGCGCGCATTACCGGGCCGGGCGCGGCCTTGGGCATGGTCTTCCGCGCGCGGTGCACCTTGGCGCCGGGGGCCGCGGGCCGCCTGTCCTCCGCCGCGCGCGCCGCGTCCCCGGGCTTGGCGGGCGGGGCGGCCGCGGGGCCCGCCCGGGGTCCTGGCCCGGCCGGCGCCCGCGGGCAGCGTCTTGGCGGCGTGGCCGGGCAGCGCGGGGGCCGGGGCGGCGCGCGGGGGCGGCGCGGCCGGCGCGGGCCGGCCCGGGAAGAAGCCGTTGCTGCCGGCGGCCGGCGGCGCGAGCCCGTCGGCGCGGACGTGGTTCTGCGGCCCCGGCTCGGCGTCCCGGTCCGGAAGCCCGTTCTCCGCCGCGAGGGCCGCCTCGGCCGCCGGCTCGGCCGCCGCGTCCTCGCAGGGCCCGTCCGAGTCTCCATCCGCGGCCGCGGGCGCCGGGCCGCCCTGCTGCTCCGCCGCGCCGTCGTCCGCCGCCATGGGGGCCGCTGCGGACAGAGGACCGGGTCAGGGGCGGCAGCGGGAAGGCGCGGGCGCTCAGGGCCCTCTGCGCCGGGAGCCGCCCCAGGGCCGCCCGCCCGCAGGCCCCGCGCGCCACCGACTCAAGACGGAGAAGCGGGGCACGGGCAGGGCCGGGCGTTTTGGGGGGAAACGAGAGCAAGGCTTTGGGATGCCCGCCAGAGCCTGCGCGGACCCCAACACGTGCCCTGCGGACGCAGCCGGACCAGGCAGCCCCCACCCCAGCTGGGCCACGGCGCCCTCTGCCGCAGGAGGCCGGGCGGGCCGCCTCAGCGACACCACAGGGACCTGGACACACCGCCCGGGGCAGGACATCCTCTGGGCGCCGGGCCACGTGCAGGACGCCAGTGGTCAGACCCTACTCGGGCAGGCAGCTGCGCTGGCCCCGGGCATCGGCTGGGCGAGCAGGCACCGCAGCGGCACCCAGGGCCATGCACTGACCAGCAGGGCAGACAGGAGGGGGCCATCGCCTGCGGCTGCAGCGGCTCCGCTCCCACCCCAGAGCCCACAGTGCGGCGCAGGCAGGAAAAACAGGAGCTGGAGGAGCGGGACTGAGGCGGTCACTGCAAGGCCAGCAAAGGAGACGCCGGGTGTCCACGAGCCAGAAGGCACCCCAAGGAGGGCGGCTCAGAGCAGGCAGGGAGGCCTGGCCAGCAGGGGGCTCGAAGGGGCTCAGTGGGGGGGGATCTCGGTGGCCGAGCCCCTTGCAGGGCTGAGTCTGGTCGCCGCACAGCGAGGTCCCGGCACAGCGTGGCCGGCCCGAGGGGAGGCCCTCACAGCCCACAGGCACTCCCGGAAGACTGAGGAGAGGCCACACGGAGTGGCAAGCCATCAAGTACCTCAGAGGAGCCCATGCAGCCGCGGGTGAGAAACGCCAGCCCCCAGCAGCAGGACTCACAGCTGCGGGCCAGGCGAGCCCCAGGCACGAGGAAGGGGCGGCCTCCCCCGGCCTCACAGGCCTCTCCAGGGCGCCCCTCGGCCAGCTCCAGCATTAGGCGCAGCCCCCAGCAGGCGGGGGCAGGCAAGCTCCACCGGGGCGGTGGGCCCCAGAAGGACACACACGACCGGGGCTGACCGGGGCGTCTGCGTGAAACAGCAGCCAAGGGTGGGCCCTCCCTGGCACCAAAACCTCTGGCAGAGACAGCCGGGGCCAGGTGGCCCTTTAGAGAGCCCTGGAGAAAGGACACCCACTCTGAGGTGGCAGACTCCCCAAAAGCAGAAAGAGCGCGTCCCAATCGAGCACAGGGCCGCCCACCTAATGGCGACTCAGACAGAGGCGCCCACAAGGATCCAGGGTACAGAGACCCTCCCCCATACCAGCCACGGGGGCCGAGCCCCACGCCAGGTGAGCCAGCAGCCGCAGCACCCACGGGGGGACACTAGCTGGGCAGGCGCTGCGGGCGCATCTCCCACCTCCCAACTAAATCCCGTTTGCCCGCCCCCGCATCCTTCCACTCTGGGGCGGGAGGCCCCCCCAACCCTGGCCATGTGCAGCCCCGCTGCCAGCACCAGGCTGACCCCGCCACCCCACCCGACTGTTGAGGTGTTGATCAGTTGTAGCTCCCGCCAGGGTCACTGCCTCCTCACTGACCCTTTGTCCTGTTGGCCTGTCCGTAGCTGCAACTAGGGTGTCAGGCCCCCACGATTACTCTGCTGCCGCCGAGGTCACTCCCGGAGCCATCACGCCCATGCTGTGCCCCGACACCCACCGTGTGCTCGTGCGTGACACGCTGCTGCTGCTGGGCACATGAGGCTCATGGCTGTCCGCAAGCGCCCGGCCCGTCTCCTACACCTTCGATGCCCCGACGCTCGTGGGACCCGAGGGGCGGCAGCTGCCCCCGCCTGTTTCTGCCGCGGGGCTACTAGTCTGGAGGGTGTGGTCTGGCCTCCAAATCTGCACGTCTGCAGAGCTACGCGTTTCCCATTGCCGCAAAAGCCGGGTTTATTTTGTGACCCGGCAGCACGCTTGGACCTGTCTGTGTTAGACAATTACGGGAACACAAACGTTGTCGCCGTGTGGGAGGTTTCTTCGGTGTTTTCAGTTTATCTCTGTTTTGCTTCTCCCCTCTCCGCGCTGTCGTCCCCCGTCACAGCACCCCCCCCCCGCCCCCGTCCAGTGTCTTCTGTGGTGTTGGTCTCCAGGCGGCCTGAGGCCTGAGGCCTGCATGAACACTGGCGGTCACGTTTTCACCCTCTCCTCCCTCGCTATTTATTTCAGGGGTCTCGCTGCTCCCAGAGGTCTTCTTGTGTGGTAAGAGCCCCTCCAGCATTTCCCACGAAGCAGCGCACGGTGGTGCAGTCTTCTGTTTTCTGCCTGTCAAGCTCTTAGCTCACCTTCGATGCTGACCGGCAGACAGCAGGCCCACCCGCTCCGGCTGCAGGCCCTCTCCTGCCGGGGCTCACACACGCGCCATTCCCCCTTGGCCTTCAAGGTTCCCGCCAAGAAGCCTGCAGCGAGCGTGCGTGGCCCTGCACAACGCCTTTCTCTGCACTTCTTGTACGGTCCTCCCCGCCGATGGGCAGCAGCGGGGGAGGCCTGCCCTCACCTGGGGGTGCCTCCTGCACCTGCTCTGTGGGCCTCCTGGACTGGGGCGTTTCCCTCCCCAAACTAGAAGGCACTCAGCATCATTTCTCTAAATAAAGCCTCCGCCTGCCTCTCACGCCCTCCTGTGCCCGTGACGCAGGTGCTGCTTCTCTGGGAACACGCACAGGCGCTTACACTGGTATTTATCCTCCTTGCTGACCCTCGTGATGGCCGCCGCCGCGTGCTCCTCTCCTCGCTCCACCCACTGCTGTGGCCCAGCGCTGCGCCTCTGCCCACCCAGCAGCGGCCATTGGCTATTTGACGGCTACTATTTCCACTGGAAGCTTCCTCTACCCTTGTAACTGTCGTGTCGCTTAAATGCTCTTCTCGTTCCAACATAGTTAGGACCGTGCCTTAAACTCGGCTTCAGGGACGTGACCTACTGACAGTCCTGCTGGGCTCAGATCTCGCAGGGTCTTGATCCAGCACCTGGAGTGTGTTCACCTGTCTCTGCGTTTGTAGTTCCTAAACTGGACGCGTGACCTTTTATTAAGAAAACAGATTGGGGGATCCAGGCGGGGTGTTGCTTTATACACCAATGTGCCTCTGCTCTGAAGTTCCAGAGCTTTCTGACGGTGGGGCCAGGGCACTGGGGAGCCAAGGGGTGCTCTCAGAGAGGACCAGAGCGACATCTTCTAGGGGCCCAGGTGCCTGAGTTGACACGGCGGCCTGCAGCTGACGCCACCCCTCAGCCTGCAGGTTCTGGGATCAGTGATGTCTCACCGGGTGGCCCACAGCCGAGCGGTCTGCGCTGGGCCTCAGGAAGCACCAGGATCCACCCGGAGGCCCTGGCACACAGGTCCAGCAGCGCCGACTCAGGAGGCCAACGGGAGGACCCCGGCGCGTCCTTCAGCACTCACACACAGAAGTCCCAGACCTGCCCGCGCCCAGCGACATTACAGCCGGGCGAGCCGGAGGCCACAGCACTCCCGGAGTCAGGACGCTGCTCTCCGGGGTGACCTGCATGCCTCGCACATGGCCTGCATCACTCTGTGGGTCTGGGTGGGTCTGAACGCAGTGTCCACCACCACAGTGCCACACCAGACAGTCCAGCCCCAACCCTGCACAGATGCCCCTTCCCAGCCCCCTCCAGCTCCTGGCAGCTCTGCAGCCCCCTCCACGCCTCGCCACGCAGCTGCCTTCTGCCAGGTCACTGGCCCAGCATGGAGTCTGCCCTCGCGAAGCATGGCCACGCCCCTGCTGCTATGCTGCGCCCGCGGTGGGGGGCCCAGCGGGCTGCGGGTGGTGGCTGCCGCTCTCGAAGTCTCCCTCCTCGAGCAGGTCCCGCAGGGCCTAGTGTCCGGGCAGGGCGAGGAGCAGCCGCCCAGCAGCCTAAGAAGCAGGGGGCAAACGCCAGGCCCTAGCCAGGCCGGGCCTTACCTCCCTCCGCCAGTAGCTCAGTGCGCGCGCAGCAGTCCTGCGTCGCCTCCCCCTTGGCCGGAACTGCCTGCAGGAGGAAAGGACAGTGTCACCCTGGGTGCTGGAGGGAGGCCCGAGCAGGCTGCCACCCGCCCTCAGCCCACACGGGGCCAGGAAGAGCTGTCCCGCAGGGAGGGCTGCTGCACGGCCGGCCAAGGCCCAGGCAGAGAGCCGGGGAGTGGGTGCCCAGAGAACATGCTTGCGGGTCACCGAGTGAGAAATTCAAACGCTGGGGCTGCCATCACAACGTCAGGTTATTTCCAGCATCCACAACCCACAAACCGCCACAGACCTGCCCGCTCGCCCAGCGGCCCCTGGGGTGGAGCTGCACCCAGCAGGTCCCTCAGGAGCAGCAGCCCAGCGGGTAGGGGCCCGGTCACCACGAGCCCCGCCACATGGGCCAGTGCCACAGGCCCCAGGATCTAGGGTGTGAGCCCACAGCCCAGGGCTTCTGGACCAACCCTCCCAGGAGGCGCTGCAGCTTGAGCTCCCGTGGATTCCCCGAGGCCTGGGGCCACAGGCAGAGCCCCTTGAAGCCGTGCAGAGGGGGAGCTACCGGGGCCTCGCGGCACAGCCCTGTCCCAACCCTGCGGTGCGGGTGCTGCCCCTTCGGGTGGGGATGCCTGGGGCACGGGCGCTCAGGAAGGAAGGACGCGTAACCACGTGGAGCAAGCCAGACGTGGGCCCACAGGAAGCCTCGGCCCCACACGCCTCTGTGTGGCTCCGGGAGCCGCCCGGAATCCGGGCGACAGGGCCGTGCCCAGAGGGGACCTCAGCCCGACACGCGCGAGACCCGGCAGGTGGCCGCAGGTCTCTGCAGCCACTTCAGAGACACTCCTGAAAAGCGCCCCGGGGCCCTTCACGCTGCCGTGTGCCCAGTCCGCTGCCAGGAGCCCGGCCGCCCGGAGAGGCAGGCGCAGGCCGGGCCCGGTCCCCCCGGCCACGCACGAGGACCCCTTGACCGGTGGGGAGCCGCGGGGCATCAGCTCCAAGCAGATCCCGCCCCCTGGCGCCCGTCCCCCAGCCTTTCCAGCAGCGTGGCCCCCCCACTTTCCATAATGCGAACACGAGGGAGAACCTCGAGTTTCTGGTGTGAGATGGACCCGTCCGGCTGTTCCTGGCGTTGACTTTCTCTAAACACACGTGTGTTTACTCGGCATGAGGACAGAGAACAGGGGGCCAGGAAGGCCAGAAAAGCGCTTTCAGTCCAGGGCCGTGGCAACCCCGGCAGGACAACTGTGCCCCCTGACCTCCCTTGGGGGGCCGGGGGCCACACAGGCCAGAGTGGGGGTGGGGTGGGGAGTGTCCGCTGCCCAGGGAAAAGGCGCCCTCCTGTGGTTACAAGCGGAAGCCCAGGCTGCGCATAAAAACCAAGATGTTTTTAAATAAACTTCACCAGATTTCTATCAAATGTAAAAACTCCCGTGCGACAAAGAGCACCGTCAAACACATAGGCTGAGGCCCATGATGGCACTGGCGGAAGCTCGGACACAGTAAGGTGAGTGGGGCCTCCCTGGGGATGCAGGGCTTAGTCTCAGGCTGTCCAGCCACTGTGGCCTGAGCTCGACCCCTGGCCAGGGAGCTCAGGGCGCAGCAGACCCCTCCTGTCTCCCTGCTGCTCCCCTCAGCAGTGGGTCTGCCTGTTTCTGCTCCCCACTCTGTCTCTGGGGAGTCCTCTCACCCCCACCTCTGGCCTGCACCCCAGCTCTTCCACATAAGTTTTCTTTTTTTTTTTTTTAAAGATTTACTTATTTATTTATTTATTTATACATGCACTGGCCACAGTCAGAAGTCGGGAGGGTGAGAGAATTCACCGGAGCCAGAGCGGGGAGCAGAGCAGGCAGAAGGACCGAAGGACACTGCTGAGGGGAGCAGCGGGCGGCAGGAGAGGTCTGCGCGCCATGGGGGACCCTCCTCCGGTGGCCGGGGAGCAGCCGGGGATCGAACCTGAACTGCAGAGGCTGCGGGCAGCTTCGCAACCCAGCGCTCAACCGCTGCGCCCCCGGGGAGGCCCTCTTCCACATAAATCTTTAACTGACAACGCACAGCAGTGTCGATGAGTGTTCTGCTGGCTACCACGCCTGCGGCTTACCCGGGCGGTGGGCAGGGCTGGCACTGCCCCAGTGGCCTCCAGGAGGGCGATGCCCAGGGAACAAAGCACAAGGTCCCCACCATGGGCTGCCCCAGTGGGGTAAAGTGCCCCAGGAGCACAGGTGCTGAACAGGCACGTGGCAAGGGAGCCAGAGCACGGGCGCAGCCGTGGAGACACCAGCCGAGCACCGCCAGTGGCTGGCAGGGGAGGGAGAGGCACTGGGCACGGCGCGGTGGGGTGGGCGCACAGGCCGGGTGCTTGCTCCACCAGGGGACGCCCACTCCCAGCGCCCCAGCAGACCCACGGGCGGGCAGACAGGCGGGCACCGGGCAGCCGCGGGACGCTCAGAGAGCGCGTGCAAGGCAGGCAGGCGCCGCCTCATGCAGCCCAGACACACAGGCGGCCGCGGGGCAGCAGGGACGTGTGAGATACAGGTGTGTCTTCCCGTGCAGGTGGAAGAAACACCACAGGACACGCGTCCGGGTCCCACATCCGGGGCGGGTAGCACAGGCCGCAGCCCAAGAGCAGCCCCTCTGCGCCGGTCCCTGGGGGTCCCACCAGGGTGTCCGGGGCTCACAGAATACCCACAGCTGCAGGCGCGGGCTCCAGGCTCCACAGCGGCCGTGGCCTCACCGGGCGGGGGAGCCACACGCGCACCGGTCTCGGGGCTTCCCCGAGCTACTCAAGGCAGCCGCCCCCAGCCCAGGAGAGTGGCAGCTGCCTGCCCCCCCCCCAGGGCCAGTGCTCCAGCAGGAGCGCCAGAGACTCCCCCACCGGTGGTCAGCCTCGCCGCCTGACGGAAGCCCCACACGGCACGACCCGGCCCTGGTCCCGCTTTCCAGAGACAGCCCGTGCCCGGACGTGCACGCAGGCCCCCAGCGCTCAGGGAGCCGGGCCCGCTGGCCACACCCCAGCGCTCAAGAGCCGCGCCTCTTTGTGTGACACTTTGTAATTATTTTTTCATTCCACTTTTTTGATAATTAAGTGTTTTCCTGCCAGCCTCCCAGCCCCCAGCACCCCTGCCTGCCACGTACCTGGTAAAACCCCAATAAAAGCCTGAAAAGCCACCGAGGCTCCGGCCACAGGGCTCCTGCTCCGTCCCTTGCTGCCGCCACAATGCGGAACCGCGAAAGCCCGAGACCCGCAGCGGCAGCCCCGGCCGGCACGGGAAGCCCGGGAGAAAGCCCAGGCACCGCCGCGCCCCCCACCCCCCAGGCGGCTTTGCCCAGGCCGGGGAGGGCAGCCCCTGGACACGGGCGCGGGGAGGGAGACAGCCACCCGAGAAGGAAGCTGGGCCGCTGACGACGAGCGCCAGAGCCACAGCACGGTGAAGGGCTGACACAGACCCCCCCAGACAAGGCCGAGGTGGAAACCCCGGGACGCTCCGTGGGGCCGCCGTGAAGGGGTTTCTGGGAGCCCTCTGGCGAGGGGCGAACAAAAAATACACAGTGGGGACGACCTCAAGCTGAAAGGCTTTAATTCAACTCGAGAAGCTGGAAGGGCAAAGACACCCCCGGGACGGGAGGCCCCGAGGCTGCAGAAAGCTTACAGAGCTGCCAGTTACCCAGCGCGGGCCCCGCCTGGGGGTCCCCTCACGCCCCGAAAACCAAGTTTGTCTCCACCCTCCGGCACCCGCGCCCCTCAGCTGCTGGACTGCTGGGCTGTGTGCTGAAACCCAGGGGCGCTGGCAGAGGGAGGGCGCCGAGACCGCCAGCCCACGTCCGCCGGACTCTCCCGACCCGCGCCTTTCAAGGGCCTGGGGCCAGCAGCCGAGTTCACTGGGGCCGGGGCGGGGCTGGGGGGCCTCTGCACCTGCTACGCCAGGGGCACCAGCTCCTGTTCTGCGCCAGCAGGGAGGCCGAGGGCTCCTCTGCCAGGTGGGGCCCCTCACGCCGCGCGCCAAGGGAAGGAGCCGGCTCCACCACCCCTAGGGGCGCCCGCGCCTCTTGGACCCGCACCTTTTCCCCAGCGCTCCAGGCAGCCGGGGCAGTGGCTGGCTGGGGGGGACCGGAAAGCACACACCCCAAGCCTCAGCAGCCCGTGCTCTCGGGCCCTCCCGAAGAGCAGGAAACGCGCTCCCACGCCCCGGGTCCCGCCTCGGCAGAGCACAGAAGCCCAATGGCCCTGGACTGGACGTTTAAAAACACTACCCTGCCCCTTTTCAAATCCAAAAGTTGAAGTTTTTTTAACACCTACGCTAAAATAAAATAAAAGCGAAGCAGTGAACGAAGCAGCGAACGGGAGACTCCTCCCTCGGCCTCCCCGAGACGCGCTGGGGCTCAGGCCTCAGAGGAGGCAAGCAGGGGGCCCGGAACAGGGCCCTCAAAGCTGCCCTAGCCCTAGACACGCTCGATGAGACAGGGGCAGACACACAGAACACGTGGCGATGGCGCGGGGCCGAGGCAGGGAACCAGGGCCCCGGCCCCCACTCCGCGCCCAGCACTGGGGTCTCCGACAGCACCAGGCCGCAGGGCTGACCCCAGAACATGGCCCACACGCCAGGCCCGAGGCGGCCGAGGGCCCGAGATGCTGGCGAGCGTTGGCAGGCTGGCGCCTGCTCCTCAGGCAGCCGCAGGCAGGAAAGAGAAGCATCGCCTCCGCCGAGGAGACCCTTGAGACCCCGCATGTGACCAGGGAAGGTGGTGGGCGGTGGGGACTCCACCCTGCGCAGAGCAGGGGGGCCGGAGAGGGGCCCGAGAGGGCTGACCCCCCAGGGGCGCGCGGAGCAGCGGACTTGGCCCAGGCCTCCCCGCAAGCGCACACCGTGGACGTTCCTCCCCACCCGCCTCCCGGAGGCCAGCCCCGCAGGAGGGGACGCAAAGCAGGAGCAGCACCCGGGCAAGCAGGGAAGCGGGCATCAGCGCCCCAGAAGACCCAGAGGACCCCAGCACCCGGCCCAGGCCTCCACGGGCACAGGGCGGAGGCGTCCAAGGGAGGCAGACAGCGAGCACAGAAAGTGGCTGGCACCAGCGGGAAGGGGCAGGGATGCCCGGCCTTCCCCGTCAGCACCCGGGAGATGGCCCAGCGTGGACGGAGACCAGGGACACGAGAAAGAGGAACGTGGGGACGGAGAAAACACGGGAAAGAGGCGCTGGCCACGCTGAGAGCAGTCAACAGCAGCTCGGGGACTGGCGAGGAGGGGGCCGAGGCCGGGAAGCGTGAGCAGCCTCAGAGAACAGAGGACGTGGAGGCACGGCCGGGACCGGCGCTTCCCTATGAGAACCGGACAGCAGCGAAAGGTGTTTCCAAAAAGTAGAGCAAAGGGGGCCTCCCTGGGGACGCAGGGGTTGAGGCGCAGGCCGTGAGGCTTTCCGCCGCCACCACAGCTCGAGTCCATCCCCGGGCAGGGGGTGACCCACAGGGCCGCCTGTCCCCGCCGCCCCTCAACAGACTGTCTCCGTGGATCCGCCTGTCCTGCGCCCCGCTGTCTCTGGGGAGTCCTCTCACCCCCACCTCGACCCTGCACCCCCGCTCTTGGATGCACAAATAAAAGAACACTTAAGAAAAAAAGCCCAAGAGACGCGGGGGAGAAGACCGTGAGCTGAGCGGGAGCCCCACGCGGCTGGCAGCGCGGGCGGCCCACCCCGAGGACGCTGGCGCGGGGCGGGGGCAGTGCCAGGGGGGCAGTGCCAGGGGGGCAGTGCCAGGGGCTCCGCGTGGCGCTGAACTTCCAGCACGAGGGAAACTGCAGGCGCTGCGGGCCGGGGCGTCCGCCCGCCGCGCGCTCCCCTCCTCGCCGCCGCGGGCGCCCGGGAAGCCGGGGCAGAGGACAGGAGCCCAGGCTGCGCGGGCGGCGGCGGCCCGCAGGCACGTCCCCGCGGGCAGCAGCGACGCCCGGGCCAGGGGGCGGCCAGGCCCACGGGGGCGCGGCCGGCGCGGCCCTGCGCGGCCCCGGCCGGAGGGCGCGCGGCGCGGGGAGCGGCCGCTCCAGGCGGGGCGGGCGCGGCGTCACGTGGAGGCCGGAGCAAGGTCGGAGCCGGGAGCGGCCCCCGGGGGCCCCGCGCGCGGGGGCGGCGGCCGGGGCGGGCCGGGCGGACCCCGACCTCCAGCCCGGGAGCCCGCGGCGCGCGCCGTCGGGCCTGGGGCGCACCCCGGCCGCGGGTCCTCGGCGGAAGGCGGCCCCGCGCCGGGCGAGCGCCGCGTCCACGAGCTCCAGGCGCGGCCCGCGGCGAGGAGGCCCCGCCGGCGCGAGAGGCGCCCGGTCGCCGGCCCGGACGCGGCGCGAACAAAGGAGCGGCCGGCCCGGCCCGCCCGCCCCGCGCGCCCCCCGGCGCCCGCCCGCCCGCCCGCGCCCCGCGCCGGCGCCCCAGGCCGGGCCGGCCCCGCCGCCCACAAAGCGCCGCCCGCGCGGCCCGGACGCGGCGCCCCGGCCCGGCCTGAGGCGCGCGGCGGCGGGGCGGGCGCGGCGGGCCCGCCCGGCCCGGCCCGGCCCGGCCCGGCCCGGCCCGGCCGGCCCGCCCGCCCGCCCCCGCCGCCCGCCCCGCCGCCCGCCGCCCGGCCGGGCCCGCTGCTCACCTCGGCGTCGGCGGCGGCCATGGCCCGGGCCCGCAGCGTGGCCCCGCCCCGCCCGCGCGCCATCGCCCCGCCCGCGCCTCGCGGCCCGCCGGGAGGACCGCGCACTGCGCCTGCGCCCGCGCCGGCGTGCGCGGCCCCGCGCCGGCGTGCGCGGCCCCGCGGCCCGCGCCGGCGCGCCCGGCCCCCGGCCCCGGCCCCGCGCGGCGGCGGGAGAAGGGCCCTGGGCGCGGGCGCGCCCCGCGGGAGGCGCGCGGGAGCCCCAGTTCCCGCAGGGGGCCCCTCTTGAGGGCACGTCTGCCGGGGCGTCCCAGGTAGGAGGCGCGGGCCGGCCCGCCCCCAGCTGCCCGCGCCCCCCACCGGGACGCGCGCGCTGCCCTCGCGCCGGGACCCCGCGGCCGTGGGACCCGCGGGCGCGCGCAGGAGTCACCCCAGGAGCCCGCGCGCCCCGAGCACCGCCTGGCGGCCCGAGACCGGGTCTGCATAGAGGCGGGAGACCCGGGGATCCTTTCCCAGGCCCCGCGCCAGGAAGGGGGTGCTCGGGACCAACGTGCCCACCGGCATCAGGCCAGGCCCGGCGCGGGCGAGCCCTCCCCACGCGCCTCTGGAAGGGCCCTCAGGCCACCCAGGTGGCGAGAGGCGGAGACGGTCCCTCGAGGCCTCGCCACCCGCAGCCTCTGCAGAGGTCGCGCGGGTGCCACCGCCCCCCCCACTCCCTGGCCCCACGGTGGTGGGGGCTTAGCCGGGGTCGGGCGGCCTGCAGGGATGCCTCGAGCAGGCAGGGTTGGCCGGGGGCAGGTGTGCAAGAGACACAGTGGACTCCCCAGGCTGTCCCCCCAAGCTGGAGCCGCAGCCCGGTACGCTGGGTGACAGTGGGGAGCCTGGCCGCGGGAGGGCAGCCACCCCAACCGCCTGGCACCCCGCCCCCGCCCCAGAGCAGGAAGTAGGCTGTCAGCCCGTGGGGCGACCGCACCTCTGGCCCCACCAATTTGTCACAGAAGAGAGGACAGACACCCAGCAGGGCCTGCCCTTCAGTGAAGGGCAGAGTCAGCGTGTGAAGGCAAAGCCTCGCCTCAGTGGCGGCCCTGCTGGGCGCTGGCAGGCCCTCCCCGGGCCTGGGCTTCTGCAGGCCCTTTGAGAGGTGTTGCCCAGCGGGACTCCCCCTTCTGGTGAGGTCCTCGGGCCCTGGACCCCAGTCCTTCCAAGTGAGTGTGGGCCGTGGGCGTGGACACCCCCACTGGGCGGGGGAGCCAGCCCCGGCAGGGGTGCCTGCAGGACCGTGGGGCCCGCCGGAACGAGAGGCTCCGCTGGGGAGGGACGGGGCGGCCTGCCTGCTACCATGAGGCTCCAGCTGGCCGCAGGGCCCGAGGGGCAGGTGCCGGGCGGGAGGCTGTGAGTGCATGACCGGCCAGGCCACGCACCCACTCGCGCGAGGTTTCAGACGAACACCAGGTCTCATGCACACACCCAGCCCCACGGCGCCTCCTTACTGAAAAGTCTGGTCCTGGGCTCCTGGTGGACCGTTTAGCACACCCACAGGGGAGCGAGGCGGGGAGGGGCACCAGGGGGAGGGGGCACTGGGAGGCGGGCCTGGGCCTGGCTCTACCACGAAGCACTTTATTCACAGACGCGTCCCCACCCCTGGCTGGGCGCAGGGCCTGGAGGCCACGGCTCTCTGGGGCTGGCGAGGGGCTCCCTGCTGCGGCAGGTCCTGAGTGGGCCAGGCCAGGCTGGAGCAAAGGCACAGGCCCCGGGCGTCCAGGCCCAGGGCAGGGTCAGCCCGCCTAGAGAGGCAGCGCAGGATCAGCTCCCAGGGGTCAGGCCAGGGTCAGCACCGCTGCAGCTCTGCTCATAGGACGGAGGAGCCTCTGTGGAGAGAGAGCCAGGTCCGCGCAGGCCGTGGCAGCCCCCCGTCAGGCCCAGGCGCGCCACTTACCATAGGGGCAGCTCCATGAGCAGTACTCGGGTGGGAAGATCACAGTGCTGGTGGGCACGGGCCCCCCAGAGCCCTCGGCAAAGTAGGGGACAGTGGCACCTGTGGAAATGCACAAGGGAGGGGGCAGGGGATGGGGGGTGGGGCTGCCATCCTGAGAACGGGGCTCAGGGGCACCAGGCACCGAGTGGCAGGCAGCGGGCGGTGGCTGCTGCTGTGGGTGGATCTTGGTGGACAGGGGGACGGGGCCTGTGAAGTGGGGACCCGCAGCCACGGCCTCGGCCTCCTCCTGGGGTGGTGCTGAGGGCACCAGCTGGGACGGGCCCTGGAGAGGAAACCCCAGGCCCGGCTGGGGGCTCAGGGGGACGTGGTTCACAGCAATATTGCCAATGAAGACCGGGAGGGTCACGGAGACTTCAGGCACCTTCAGGGAGACCTGGAGAGGATGGGTGGTGAGGGCCAGGCCCCCCCTCACAGCACCCAGCCTCCCTCCTGGCGGCGCCTGCCCCCCTACGTGCCCGCCCCCCGCACCTGCAGGAAGTAGTCCACATGGATGAGGCTGCAGCCGGGCAGGGCCGACTGGGCAGGGCGGGCACCAGCACCTGCTCCTGCCACCGCGCCTGCCTCCAGGCCTTCGTACCCGCACCTTCCACCTCCGCCACCGCCCGCACGTCGTAGATCCAGCGCTTGGCCTTGTAGGACACTTTCTGGGGAAGGGTCAGCCTGTGAGCTGGGCAGGGGCCCCCTCCCCTCTTGCAGGGCTGTGGGGTGGCCCGGGCAGCCAGAGGGGCGCCGACCTGCAGCAGACTGGCCACCACAGGGCTGGTGTCCTTGCCCGACTGGTTCTCGATGTCCACCTGCAGCCGGAGCACCTGCCCCACCACGTAGCCGCGGAGGTCGGTGCTGGCAGTGAGGCCCACGCTGCCTGTCTTCAGCAGCTTGTAGGAGAATTTCTTGGTGGTGGAGGCCACGTTGGGTTGCTGGGTGGTGGCAGCGACTGTGAGCCCACAGGATGCCCAGGGCCTGCCCAGCCCGGGCCCCGCCCGGGCCCCGCCCCCGGCCCGCCCCACCTCAATGTCCGGGATGGTGTTCAGGTTCAGCGGGTTCAGGACGTAGAATGCGAGGCTGCACTGGCGGTCCTTGCAGAAACGTGGGGTGTCGATGGTGGCCCGCAGCTGGTACACTATCCTCCCAAACGGGCCCTCGAAGGACGTGGGCACTGTGGCTGTAGAGAGAGCAGGCCTGGCACGACAATCCCCAGCCGGCCCACCCCTGCCCCCTGCCAGGCTGGACTCTCACCAGGAAGCAGGAACTGGAAGGGGAAGCTGTGCTCTCCAGCAGGCAGGCTCCCTGCGGGGACAGGAGGGTGTGGGTGGGGCCTCTGGCCCACCTCACACTGGACCTCAGCACCCCCCACTGCACGGTGCTGGGCGTAGGATGGGAGCAGAGCCCCCCAGCACAGAAGCAGAGCCCCTCAGCCACCCAGCCCATCAGGCGAGGCCCGCTGTCAAAGGGGGAACCCCACCAGGACCACAGCCTGGATGGGGTCAGCCCAGGCACTCAGGAGTCTCTAGCAATCAGTCACATACCCAGCCAGGGGCCGCCACGCAGGTCTGGGGCGGGCGGCACCCCCAAACTCACCCTTGTCAGCCAGCGATAGAGAGCTGTTGGCGTAGGTCTCCTCTGCCGCCCACGTGGTGTCATTGGCCTTGCCGGAGACCCTGCAGGCCCCCATGCAGCTCACACGGATGGCTGGGGGGCAGAGCACGCATGAGCCCAGTTCGGTGCTGGACTGGGTTCCTCCCTGCCCCTGCACAGGAACGTGGGCCAGGCTAGCAGCACCTGGGGCTGGACAGCCCCACCCCACGGGGCCTGGGGAGGTCAGTCGGGCTCCCTGCCCAGCCCCCACGTTGGATACTGCCGGGTAGCCAGGGCGGTGAGGCGCTGTCCAGCACAGGAGGCCCCAGAGGCCACCCAGAGACCCCTGGGCAGGACCTGCTTGCTTCCCTTGGGCCCCAGAGGCCCTGGGCCCAGCAGACCTGCGAAACCCCGCCCCCTGCAGGCAGTGCTCCTGACCACAGACAGGGCGTGGGCGGCAGACCTGACTGCCTCACTGCTGCCTCCAAGTCAGTTAGGCAGGAGGCCTCCTCCAGGAAACTAACTGCTGACCTCCAGTTGCAGGAATGTGGTCAGACCCGCCTGGGCAGGCCAGTGCCCAACAGCCTGGCTGGAGGGCAGGGCATGGCACAAGGGTCTGGCCTCCTACAGTGTAGAAGGCACCTGAGGGTGCCCCCCCCTGCGGTGGTTGGTAGCCAATTCCTCAGCCCCGCAGGTAAGTGTCCAGAGCCCGCTGAGTTGGGAGGGCAGCGGCTGGGCAGCAGGGAGCACAGCACATCAGGGCAGGGTGGGGGCTGTGATAGGTGCCACGGGCCCCCATCCCCCAGTGGGGCACTCAAGGCCATGGCTCTTCTGCAGGCCTCTGCTTCCCCCATCCGACAGCCAGACAGGGAAAGCCGACTCAGGACCCAATCTCTCTCATCGCCCTGGCTGGTGCAGGCTTCCTCCAGTCACCGCGGCCCGGGCCCCCTCCCCAACCCAGCAGCAGGGCCAGGGACCACCTTCTGCCTCCATGCCCGTCAGCCTCACCATCCCAATCCCGCAGACTTCTTGACAACTTCCCCTCGGGCCGGCCTGCGATTGTTGCCACCCTGGACATCTGGGCCATCAGGGTGCTCCCTCAGACCACTGCATGGAAACGGGGCAGAGGGTGCTGCCTGGCCGCAGGACAGCAGGGAGAGTCCCAGAGGGCTGCTCCGAGAACGGCGGGCGACAGGCATGCGGGGGCTCCCCACACTGGCCGACCAGGTGCAGCCTGGTGCTGCCAGTGACCACATGAGGAGGGCACAGGTGGCTGCCACCTCTGTCCAGACCACAGGCCATCACCCCGCAAGGAACGATGAGACCTTGTTAAGCCCCTCAGTTCAGGGGGGGTCAGTTACTCGGGGTGCCTTTCATGTAGCAGCAGGAAAAGGGAACAGGCATCGCGCCTCGCTGGGGTCAGGGGACGCAGTGGCTGCCCCATCTCTGGGTTGGCCAGCATCTGGTGTGTGGCACGTGGGGGAGGAGGGGAGAGAGGCGCCCGACAGTGGTCAGTCAGCAAGTCTGGACCTGGGGGGAACCGCCCTTAGTCTCACCCAGGTCCCCCAGGTGCCTTGGGGCCCAGCCTGGAGCCACAGCAGGCACAGCAAGTTCCTGCCCGGTGCACGGCAGCAGCCACAGGAAAAACAGCTTCGATGGACTCTGGGCTGCCTCAGACAGGCCCACACTCTGTGGCCTTCCTGAGGCCCCAGGGGCCACCCGAGCAAGTGGTCTCCACCCCTGCCCTGAAGTCAGCCCCATCCCCCTCCTCTGTGGGGGTCCCCCTGTCCCAGGCAGTGGGTCTGCTCCTGGGACCCGCACTGCAGGGCTCTGCAGCTGTGTTCTGGCAAAGGAGTTAAGGTAAGAAAAGCACTGGGGGCCACAGGGAGGCAGATCCTGAAGTGGCACGCACCCATCTTTAGGGCTTGGGGGGACTCCAGCCCCGAGAAACATGACTTCTGGAACTTCCCTCTAGAGCCACCACAGAGGCGTCCAGAGGGCAGCCTGGCAGCTGTGGTCTGGGCCAAGCGCCCCAAGGTGCAGAAGAACGCCCGGCAGGGACATGACACACGGCCTGGGCTGAGAGGCAGGGATCCAGCAGAGGTCACGCACCCTCTGTCCGGCACACCTGAGGGCCCAGGCAGCGCGTGAAGCCCCCGCCAGCGACTGGCCACACCCCGCAGCCCTCGCCAGCCCCCAGCCCCTAGTCCCAGCATCAGCAGAGGGGCAGGCCAGGAGCACGGGTCAGCGCCAGACGCCCACTGGGCCAGGCCTGGAGAATACGGGCGAGCCTGAGGCTGGGGGGGAGCCAGGGCCCAGTGCACCCGCCGGGCACACGCTGTCTGCAAGGACGCGGGCCTGCAGACGGGGCCTGGGCTGGGCCGGAGAGCCGGCGGGCCGGGCTCCAGGTGAGGCCCAGCAGGTGGCCGGCGCCGGAGCGCACGCGGGAGGCCGGGCCCTGCACGCGTCCAGGTCGGCGGGGCGCGCAGGGGGCCGCGCTAAGCCCCGCCCGGCCGCGGGGCCAGAGGCCGGACGCGGAAGGCAGGGGCCTCGGCCCGCCCGCGCCGCCCGCCGCCGCCCGCCCCGCCCCGCCTCGCCGCCGCCGGGGCCCGGGCGGGGCCGGACGCGCGCTCCGGGCGCGGGAGGGCGGGGGGCGCCCAGCCGAGCCGGGCCAGGCCGGGGCCCTCCCGGGGCCCGCCCGCCGCAGGTGCGAGTCGGCACCGGGGCCCTCCCGGGGACCCCGCGCACACCTCGGAAGGGCAGCGGCGCCCCCAGGCGCACGCGCACGGCCCCCGCCAGCGGCTCCCCGGGGCCGTAGACGACGCGCCCGTGGCTCAGGCGGATCTCGAAGAGCTGCAGCCGCCCCATGCCGCGCCCCGGCCGGGCGGACGCGCTCTGAGCCCGCGGCCCGCGGCGGCGCCGCCCGCCCGCCCGCGCCGCCCCGCCCCGCCGCCCCGCCCCGCGCGCCCCGCCCAATCCCCGGCCGCCCCGCCGCCCCGCCCCGCCCCGCAGCCCAATCCCCGCCCGCTGCGGCCGCCGCTCGCGCCCAATCCCCGCCCGCTCCGACCGCTCGCTCGCGCCCCATCCCCGCCCCGGCCCTGAGGCCGCCCCGCCCCGCCGCCCGCCTCGTCCAATCCCCGCCCGCCCCGGCCCTGCTCGCCCCGCCCCTAGACCCCCAATGACCGCCCGCTCCGGCCGCCCCACCCGCTGCGGCCCCAGCCCCGCCCCAGGCCCCGCCGCGCCCGCACCTGCCGGGCACCGGCGCCCGCGCCCGCGCGCTCCCCTGCCCGCGGCGGCCCCGGCGTCGGGAGGACGGGCTGGGAGAGGCGTCCACGCAGCGCGCGCGCGGGGCGGCTCCGCGCGGGAGACCGGGCGCAGCGGGAGCGCGGCGCCGGCCCGTGCCCAGGGCCCGCGCTGGCCGGCGCCGCGTCGGGGTCTTGGCGCGGGAGGAGGTCAGGCCCGCCGTCGGAGACGCCCGGCGGGCAACGGGGGAAGCCGCCCCTGCGGGCGCGAGCTGGGGGGGTGCAGGACTGAAGATACGTAGACCCTGGTGGTGACTCCAGCCAGGGCGCTGAAGACGTCGGAGTTGGGGTACCACCCGCAGGAACAACCCCGCAAAAGGGGAGGGCCCCGAGGGCAGGGTGTCCCCGGTGCTCGTGCCTGGGATGCGCTGCTGCCCACACCATGCAAAAGCCGGGCTCCTGAAGGAGGCGGGCAGGACGCCAGCAGGGAGGGCGTGGTGGGCAGCAGCGCTGGTACAGAAGGCAAGGAGTGAGGAACAGTTGCCTGCTGCCGAGAAGGCCCAGGCTGGGGGCAGAAGCAGTGACCTTGACCCACCTCTGGGGCTAGCAAGGCTGGGCGCACCAGGCTCGGCGCTGGGTGCCCTCCTGCCTTCCTATCACCACTTCCAGACCCTTTGCCGCTCGGCCTAAAAGCTGCCAACTTTCCCCCTCGTCTGTTCAGAATGGCACCCACCTCTATCTCCACTGCGGCCGGATTCAAGGCCCAGGCCAGGCCTGTGCATCTCCTGGTGGCCTCAGCTCCTGCTCCAACGGTCTCCCCAGTGCCTGTCTCGCAAGAACGCTCAGCGACTTCAGAATGCACATCAGCGATCCTTCCAGCCTCCTGCCTGTCTCAGCCCGGCGTGGCCAGGGCAGGCAGGGATGGCTGCCCTGAAAGAGCTCGGCCCGGGCCTCCCCGGTGGCGCAGCGGTTGAGCGCTGGGTTGCGAAGCTGCCCGCAGCCTCTGCGGCGCCGGTTCGATCCCCGGCTGCTCCCCGGCCACCAGAGGAGGGTCCCACATGGCCCGCAGACCTCTCCTGCCGCCCGCTGCTCCCTCAGCAGTGTACTTCAGTCCTTCTGCCTGCTCTGCTGCCCCCTCTGCTCTGGTGAATTCTCTCACTCTCCCATGCTTCTGACTGTACCCAGTGCTTGTATAAATAAAAAAAATAAATCTTTAAAAAAAAAAAAAAGTCTTAAAAAAAAAAAAAAAAAAGAAAGAGCTCGGCCCATCCTGCAGGGCTGGGGGCCGCACAGGGCTGGCTCGAGGCAGATGAGTGAGTGGGCATGCCCCAGAGTCGTTGCTGGATTCGCCCTGGAAGGAAAGGGGTGAGGATGCGGTGGGGGGGGGGGCAGAGCCAGCTTGGGATTGGGGAGTTGGAGGAAATTCATTGTTGGCCGACATGGGTGGACTAAGCTGTCTAGCACCTGGGCTTGCAGTGGTTTGGGGGAGGGGAACTAGATAAGTGGCCCGGGTGTGGGCTCAGGATCAGCTGGCTTGGCGGTGGAGGGTGAATTTGCCACCTCCAGGGTTAGCCTGTCCTCAGAGCACAGGCTCACCCCAGCTGGTAAGACCACAAGATGTCAGAGCATCATAAAGCACAATCAGAAAGCTCCCCCCAGCTCCTGTTTCCATGTCCCCTGCCCTCCAAGAACCCGGAGGGCTTCGTCCCGCAGCACCTGGCTTGCAGCCGCAGGAGAGGGGTCTGTGGTATAGCTTTTGGCTAAGGTGAGCCGTACTTTCTACAGAGAAACCCACAGAAAGTGCTTGAGCTAAAATGGGTGGGGAGGGAAAGGAAGCACCTCCAGGCCCTCGTGTGGCCCAGACAAGCAGCAGGCTGAGACTGAAGCTGCTCCTGTGGAAAGGAAGGGGGTTCAGACAGCGCAGGGGCTCCAGGGCAGCAGCCAAGCAGGCCCCAAAGTGGGCAGGAAGCCCTGCAGGGTGCAGACAGCCCTGGCCAGGACCCAAGTGCTGCAGGCCATGCCCAGGGGCGCTCACCAACTCTTTGAACAGGGTGTGTGTTCAGCTGTCCTGTGCTCCTTTGGGACAGTGGGAGTTTTGGGGTGGTTTGTTACATATCAGTAGAAAACCAAAGCACTTCTCAACACCACCAACTGCAGCTCCCCCCCACCTGCACCCATGCATTTATTTAAGTAAAGGCTTATTTATGCATACAAGAACTGGGGTACAGGCCAGAGATGTGGGTGGTGAGAGGACTCACCAGAGACACAGTGGGGAGCAGAACAGGCCTATCTATTGAAACCCACTGCTGAGGGGAGCAGCCGGGAGACAGGAGAGGTCTACTGCATCCTGTGGGTCATCTCCCTGGCCGGAGATTGAACTCGAGCTGCAGAGGCTGCAGAGAGTGTCATAGTGCTTTGACTTAATCCCTTGCGCCACCAGGGCGGCCCCTGCACCCATGCATTTCTTCTCCCCCACCCTGTTGTGTCAGCAATACCACACTGATTAGTGGGCACCATGGCGCAGGCTGCACAACGCAGGATGCTGTGGAACAAGCAAGATCCTGGCCTTTTTACTGATAGAATAATCACACAGCATCAGTTATGCTGGGCAGGACAAGGAGGAAAAGATGGAGAAACTAAAGAATGTGTTTTCGTCATCTAGGGCTTTGGGGGGACATTTGTCTGCCAACCGGGTGATTCCGATCTGCTTGACAACCAAGTGTTGTCTTCGAAACCAGACCCCAGACCCTGGCTGTGGTTCAGTGCTTATCAACAAGATGTCCGCTGATCAGCTTCTGGGGTCCCTTGTCAAACATTGGTTCTCGGCCCTGGGCGATCCTGGACACACCTCGTGAATCAGCAATAAGTTTACGCATGGGTCCTCGGCCCCCCAGGCGTTCCTTGCGATGCACACCCTTCCCAGGGTGATCAAGCTTCCTGCTCTTGGTTGATCTGAGAGGCACCTTGTAAGCTTGGGCTCCTATGACTGACTGACCAGGCAGTTCTGACCTTGTAAGGAATGTAGAATCTCATGAAATAATAATGGTGGCTGAACAGGCCAGTTAAGTCTAGCAGAGCCACCACCCCTTCAGTACCCTAAACCAGCCATCCTATAGACCCTGCTGGGACCTTCAGCCCCACCCTGCCCCCTCTGGCGTCTTCTCTCCCCTTCAGTTCCAATGCCACAGGCAGGGATGCAGAGGGCACAGCCCGGTGTCCTCCCAGCCTCCCCTGAGTGCCCACACTGCGCAGGGCACAGGCCAGTGTGCAGTAGGACACTGCCTGCCCCCTCACCTTGCCAGTGGTGTCCTCCTCCTGCTGCACCTGGTCAGGCAGGGTTGGCATGGCCTGTGCCCCCGGGGCCACTGGTTACCCCCCCACTGTCATCAAAGACCTGGTTTTGTGCTTAGTGGAGAAAGTAGAGAGGTCTCAGCAGGAGAACCCCAGTTCTGCACCCACACCCCGTGCCTCCCAGAACCTTCATGCCAAACCCTTCCCTGTGCTACTCCTGAGGCACCCGCGTCTGAAGCCTAGTCCCTGGCCGCCTCGGTGGGGGTGCTCTCCTGCTGTGCGTCGTCCCCTCCGGTCCAGGGGCCCCTCCCACTGGGGGGCCATGTCCTCTCCCTCCAAAACCCACCATCTCTCGACTCTCCACCTCCTCCTAGCTTTGCCTCCACTTCTCCCCTCTTTTTTCCTGCCAAAAACGTCTCAGCGGCGTCTGTTCCCCTGGTGTCCAGTCCCTTCCCTGCCCTCTGAAGGGACTGCCCGGCACGGGCCCCGGCGCCCTGGTGCTGCCCTGACCCGGAGTCCCCGCCGCGCTCCTCCTCTTGGTCCGCAGCCCGGGGCGAAGCGCCGACTGCACGGCTCTTAGCCCACACGCGCGCCACGCCGCCGGGCCGCCCCGCTCCGCCGCGGCAGGCCGAGCCCGCGAGCCCCGCGGCTCCGCCCGGGCCTTCCCCGCAGGCCGCTCGACGTGCGGGCGCTCGCGGCGGGGGCGCTTCGGCGGGCGGCGGCCCGGGAGCTGGCCGGGCGGGAGGCAGCGGGCCAGGCCAGCCCCGACAGCGCCCCCGCGCCGCCGCCCCGCCAGCGCCCCGCGCCCGCCCCGCCTCGTGCCCGCCCCGCCAGCGCCGCCCGCCTCGTGCCCGCCCCAACAGCGCCCGCGCCCGCCCCGCCCGTCCCGCCAGCGCCCCGCGGCCGCCCGCCTAGTGCCGCCCGACAGCGCCCCGCGCCGCCCGCCTCGTGCCCGCCCCGCCAGCGCCCCGCGCCCGCCCGCCTAGTGCCGCCCCGACAGCGCCCCGCGCCCGCCCGCCTCGTGCCCGCCCCGCCAGCGCCCCGCGCCCGCCCTCCCCGCCAGCGCCCGCGCCCGCCCGCCTAGTGCCGCCCCGACAGCGCCCCGCGCCCGCCCGCCTCGTGCCCGCCCCGCCAGCGCCCCGCGCCCGCCCGCCCCGCCAGCGCCCCGCGCCCGCCCGCCTAGTGCCGCCCCGACAGCGCCCCGCGCCCGCCCGCCTCGTGCCCGCCCCGCCAGCGCCCCGCGCCCGCCCGCCCCGCCAGCGCCCCGCGCCCGCCCGCCTAGTGCCCGCCCCGACAGCGCCCGCGCCCGCCCGCCTCGTGCCCGCCCCGCCAGCGCCCCGCGCCCGCCCGCCTAGTGCCGCCCCGACAGCGCCCGCGCCCGCCCGCCTCGTGCCCGCCCCGCCAGCGCCCCGCCGCCCGCCCGCCCCGCCAGCGCCCCGCGCCCGCCCGCCTAGTGCCGCCCCGACAGCGCCCCGCGCCCGCCCGCCTCGTGCCCGCCCCGCCAGCGCCCCGCGCCCGCCCGCCCCGCCAGCGCCCCGCGCCCGCCCGCCTAGTGCCGCCCCGACAGCGCCCGCGCCCGCCCGCCTCGTGCCCGCCCCGCCAGCGCCCGCGCCCGCCCGCCCCGCCAGCGCCCCGCGCCCGCCCGCCTAGTGCCGCCCCGACAGCGCCCCGCGCCCCGCGCCTCGTGCCCGCCCCGCCAGCGCGCCCCGCGCCCGCCCGCGCACAAAGCTTCCCGCGAAACTGACGTCGCGCGGCGGCCGCGCAGGCGCCGCCCCGGCCCCACCCCGCCCCCGCGCCCCAGCGCGCCTGCGCGCCCGCCCTCTGCCCATTGGCGGTTGCGCGGCGGCGCGCCCGGCCGGCGGGGAGCGCGGCGCGCGATTGGCCGGGCGGCGGCGGGGGCGTGTCCGCGCCGCGCCCCGCCCTCGGCCCGCTCGTGGAGGTGCGCGGCGGCGGCGGCGCGTGGCAGGTCGGCGGGCGCGCGGCGCGGCGGCCCGATCCCGGCGCAGCCTCGTCCCGCCCGGGCCCGCCCGGCCCGCCCCGGCCCGCCCGCCCGGCGGCCGCGGCCCCGCCCGCGCCCGCGCCGCCGCCCGGCCCGAGGAGCGGCGCCCGGGCCGAGCGCGCAGGCCCGGCCATGACCGACTTCAAGCTGGGCATCGTGCGGCTCGGCCGGGTGGCCGGGAAGGTGAGGCGGGCGGGGCGCGGCGGGAGGGCCCGGCCTGCGGCCGCCGCCCGGGGCCCCGGCGCCCGGCGCGCGCAGCCCTCAGGCCGCCAGGCGCGGCCCCCGCCCCGCCGGCCCCGGCCGCCCGCGCCTCCGCCCCTCGCCCGGCCCGGCCCGGCCCGGCCCGGCCCGGCGGCGGAGCTCCCGGCGGCGCGGGCCGGGGCGGGCGGCGGCGGCGGGGGCTGCCTCCCAGCCCGGGGCGCTCCCCGCGGCGAGAGGGACGCGGCGCCCTCCGCGGAAGGGCCGGGCCCGGCAGCCCCCGGCGCCGCGGGGAGGACCCCGCCCGCCCGCCCGCCCGCCGGTTGGGGCCGCTGCGCTCGGCTCCCGCGCTCGCCGGGCCACGCGGCCGGGCTCGGGCCCCGGAGGCGGGAGCGCCCAGGGGGCCTGGCGTCTCGCGGGGCCGCTCGCTCGGGGGCGCGGCCCGCGCGGCCCGGGTGACGGCCGGATCGCTCTCCATTGCAGACCAAGTACACGCTGATCGACGAGCAGGACATCCCGCTGGTGGAGGGCTACTCCTTCGAGGTGAGGCGCCGCCCCGGGGCCCGCCGCCCGGCCCGCGGGAGGGGCTGCCCCGCAGCGCTGCCCAGGCCTGGCGGCCGCCCCAGCCACAGCCCGGGGTGCCCGCCCCGCCCCCCGGCCCCTGACCGAGTCGTGCCACTTGTGAGAGGACATCAGCTTGCGTGGTGCCGCCTCCCACGGGGCCCCCGCTGCCCGCCTGCTCCTCTTCCCACGCGCTCCCTGCCCCTCCCGCAGGGCACAGGCCCCTTGGTGCCTGCCCCGCAGCGCCCACCAGCCCCGCAGCTCCTGGCCCACTGGGAGCGGGCCGATGTCCAAGGACACACCCCCTCGCTTGCCCTGTGAAGGGGCCCTGGCGGGACACACTGGCATGTGGGGCCCCAAGGAAAGGCTGCCATCCATCCCCGCCTCTCCAAGAGGGTTGGGAACGTGGCTGAGAACAGACCCTGTACGTGTCTCCTCAGGCGCGGATGGAAGTCGACGCAGACGGAAACGGTGCTAAGATATTTGCCTACGCCTTTGACAAGAACCGGGGCAGGGGCTCAGGGAGGCTCCTGCACGAGCTTCTGTGGTGGGTACTCTCCCGCGCCCGCCACCCGGGCCCCTCATGCACAGGAGGCGTCTCCCAAGCGTCCCAGTTACTGCCGACCCAGGGGCCCAAGGGGACAGCCTCTGCTGAGGTGTCTGCTCCCCACGAGCCCACCGGCCAGTGGCCGTGGGTGAGCCCCACTGCGGGAAGTCTGGGGCTGAGTGGCCACCACCCTGTCCCGAGGGAGCACGGATACACAGGCCCCCAGGGGCCGCCCTCCTGAGTGGCGGCCCGGGCAGGGGCCTGTCGAGGCTGCGGCTGCAGAGTCATCTGTTTCCAGGGAGCGTCACCGGGGGGGCGTCGCGCCGGGCTTCCAGGTGGTGCACCTTAATGCCGTGACAGTCGACAATCGCCTGGACAACCTGCAGCTGGTGCCCTGGGGCTGGCGGCCCAGAGCCGAGGAGACGCCCAGCAAGCAGAGGTGGGTTTGCGGCCAAGTGGGTGGCCTCAGGCGCGTCTTGCTCTGGCCCTGGTGCTCCTGGGCTGGGGCACGGCCTCCCCTGCAGCGGGTTTTCTTACGCGGGTGAGGCTCCGACCCCATGTTGGGGTTGCTCTTTCAATGCCTGGGGCTCGGGGATGCCGGCTCCTGCTGGCTCTGCAGCTGGTGTGGCCCAGCTGCCCCAGTCCTGTGTGTATCTTTCCAGCTGGCTGTCAGGGGTCAGGTTTCTGCCATCCATACCTGTCCTGAGCCACACCCCCTCGCCAGGCCACGGTTCACCACTGTCCCCCACTCTGCGGGTTGCCCTTCACACCGGCTCCTGTCTTGCTGCGGGGCCCACCTTGCCGCTGCCTCTATCCCCTGGCCTGGGTCCCGTCCAGGAGGCCCTTCCCGGCGTCTCACACTCTGGTCCTCTTTCTCTTGGGGTTTCTGTTGAGGGTTTTCCATTTAGGGCCTTCACCTGTTGTGGTTTCCTTTTTTGAAAGATTTACGTATGTAAACATGTAGGAGCTGGGGTGCAGGTCAACGGTACGGGGGTGAGAGGACTCCCCAGAGACAGAGTGGGGGGCAGAACAGGTGTATCCACTGAAACCCCCTGCTGAGGGTGCAGCGGGAGAGAGGAGAGGTCTGCTGCGCCCTGTGGGCAGGTCCCTGGCCGGGGATGGCCTTCAGGCAGCAGAGGCTGCCAACAGCTTTGCAGCTTTACAGCTGCCCCCGGGGAGGCTCCCACCTGTTATGTTTTGACTTTTGTAAATGGTGTGAGGTGCGATGACATTAGTGTTTACTTTAATTTTTTTTTTTTAAGATTTATTTATTTATACAAGCACTGGGCACAGTCAGAAGTGCGGGAGGGTGAGAGAATTCACCAGAGCCAGAGCGGGGAACAGAACAGACAGACTGGCGAAATACACTGCTGAGGGGAGCAGCGGGCGGCAGGAGAGGTCTGCGCGCCATGTGGGACCCTCGCCGGTGGCCGGGGATTGAACCGGCGCTGCAGAGGCTGCGGGCAGCTTCGCAGCTCAGCGCTCAACCACTGCGCCACCGAGGAGGCCCAGTCTTTTTTATTTTAAACTTGGAATAATCCTGACAAAAGGGGAAATCGTGGGAACCCAGATGTCCACATCATAGCAGGGTGTAAAGTAAGTCTCCAGGGACTTTGGTCCCTAGCGCCTCTGGCAGGAAATCATCGGCTCAGGGCCTCCCTGCATGCACACACTGGGCTGGGCCCTGGCTGCTGGTCCTGGCCATGCATCCTCTAGCCTCGGGCAGTCATCGCCTCCTGGGGGATGCAGCGCCCCCAGCCGGCCTCCATCTTCCCGGTGTGTCAGCTGACCTTCCCCTTAGTGCAGCCCTCAGGTCGCCCCAGTGGCTGGCAGGGGCCGAGGACCCAGCTCCTTGGTTCAGCCTCCACAGGCAGGCAAGACCCTGATCTCAGCAACACCTGCCCAGCCCCTTGCATTGTGGCCATGGTCCACCCTTGAAGTTCTCGGGTGTCGGGCGGCTCCCAGCATGGGAGAGGGGGGCGGCCGGCAGGTGGGGGGGGCCTCCCTGGTGGCTCAAGGGGTTAAGACTCAACTGAAGCTGTCCACAGCCACTGCAGCACGAATTCAATCTCTGGCCAGGGAGGTGACCCACTTGGCACAGCAGACTCTCCTGCCTCCCCGCTGCTCCCCTCAGCAGTGGATTTCAGTAGATCCACCTGTTCTGCTCCCCACTCTGTCTCTGGTGAATCCTCCTGCCGCCCCCCCCCCCCACATCCCTGGCCTGTACCCCAGCTCTTGTATGAATAAATACATAAATCTTTAAAAAATAAAAAATCGGGTGGGGGGGCCGGTGCAGGAGTCAGGCAGGGCGGCCAGCTTGTGAGCAGGGCCGTTGTCGCCTCCGTGTCCCCAGGGAGCAGAGCCTGTACTGGCTGGCAATCCAGCAGCTTCCCACGGACCCCATGGAGGAGCAGTTCCCCGTCCTGCACGTGACCCGCTACTACAATGCCAACGGGGACGTGGTGGAGGAGGAGGAGAGCTCCTGCACCTACTACGAGTGCCACTACCCACCCTGCACCGCCATCGAGAAGCAGGTACCCCGTGCCCTACCCAGCTCCTCAGCGGTTCCCTTGCCCCCTGCCCAGGTTCCATGTGCAGTTCTGAGCCAGGCTGTCTCTGCAGCTCCGGGAGTTCAGCATCTGTGGGCGCTGCCAGGTGGCGCGGTACTGTGGCTCCCAGTGCCAGCAGAAGGACTGGCCGGCCCATAAGAAGCACTGTCGGGAGAAGAAGCGCACCTGCCAGCCGGAGCCGGAGCCGGAGCGGTGACGGGCCCCGCAGGACGGCCGTGGGCATGAGGCAGCAGGACACCCAGGACGTGGCCACTTCCGGCCAGGCGCCTGCGGGCGGCCTCCGGGCCTTGCACTGTGCAGAGACAGCTGGGAGGCCCTGGACACTCCTTATTTATATGTTGATATGTTTGTAAACTCATGTACAGTTTTTTGGGGAGACGTGGGTGGGTAAGAAATGACCAAGAGAATCATTTGCTGTGACCCTTGGTGGCCAAGGCTGCAATGCGCCATGTGGCCGGGCGCCTGGGCAGCCACAGCGCAGAGGCCCTGGGAGGGTCCCACCAGGGCAGAAGTAAAGGGTGGACTTAGATGGCACCTCGGCCACCTGCTCTCTTCACCTTCCTGGGGCCGTCACTGAGTGAGGGGTGGGGTTCCCCTCCTGAGCGAGCCAGCAATGAGGTGCACGGCCTTTCTCGGCCTGGATCAAGCCCGGGTGGCCAAGCCCTGCCTGAGGGCATGAGGGTCTCGCGGCACTAGGCTGTGAGCTGCAGAGGCCCTGCCTGCGGACGGGAGGGGCTCCAGGTCCACTGCTGGCCATGGGCCCAGGATAGCCTGTCCCTGCTGAGGATGAAGCATCATCTGTGGAGCTGCCTTGGGGAAGCAGCAGCCGAGCTACGGGGGTCCTGCCAGAGGCTTTTTGGGAGAGTGATGTCCAGCCAGCCCGCCTGGCCATGTATCCTGGCTGTCCCTGGCCCCAAACACGGTGCAGCTCCAGCCACCTCCACTGCTGTGTTCTGGATGCTGCCGCCCAAGCAAGCCGTGCTGTGGCATTTCGGTGGCCTAGAGCTGGGTGTTGTGACCCTGAGGTGGTGGGTCCCATGGGTAAAGCCGGCTGCAGCCCCTGGTGGGTGCCAGGGTGGGGTGACGCTCCTGCCCCCAGGGGCTAGCTTGGCCGGCGCTGCCTGTGGGCTGCTGTGTGGGTCTTCTAGGCGCGCGGGGGCCGCTCAACCCGGCCGGCAAGGGTCTCCCTCGGGGGCGGGAACGCCTCCCCACTGGGTGGCTGAGACCGCTGGGCCCCGGGGGGCCTCCGCCGCTGGCGGCCGCGGGTAATTCCAGCGGGGCCGCGCCTGGCCCTGTCTGCACAGGTGGCCCTTCAGGCCGTGGGGTCCCGGCGCGGCTTCCCCGCCCCGCGGCCTGGGGCGGCCTGGCGCTCGCGGGCGTCTTTCTCTGCAGAACGCGGACCTTCGTCCCCAGCGCAGGCCCCGAGGGCCCTTTGGGGCGCCCGCGCCCGACCCCAGCGTCGGGGCCCCGGGTGGCCCCGCGCCCGACTTCCTGCACGTGGCCCCAGGCCCGCCGGCCGGCAGGGGCGCCGGAAGTCCCGCCCGCCGCCCCGGAAGTCCCGCCCGCCGCCCCGGAAGTCGTGAGTCTCGCCCGCGGAGTCGGGGCAGCTGCGGGCTCCACGCCGCCCCGGCCCCCGCCCCGCGCCGCCGCGCTGGCTTCCCCGGCCTCCGAGTGCTGGGCGGGGGGCAGCCGCCTCCGGCTGCTGCAGGCGGTGGACACCGCGTACACGGCGGACGCGGTGGAGTGGTGCCCGCTCGAGGGCTGCCGGCACCTGCTCGCCTGCGGCACCTACCAGCTGCGGGAGGAGGCGCGGCCCTGCCGCCCGGGCAGCGAGGTGCGCCCCGCTGACCCCCCCCCGCGGAGGCCGGCTGGGAGGGAGGCTCGGTGCCGCGGGGCGGGGCGCCCGCGGACCCGAGAGAGCCGGCCCGGGGCGGCAGGCCCGGCCAGGACTCCCGGGCACCGTGGGCCCCGGAGTGAGGAGCATCCCGGGCGGCCCACGCAGCGCGTCCACCCCGGCCGCGTTCCCCAAGAGACGGCCCAGAAGGAGGGTGCTGCTTCCGCAGCCCGCCCCCCACCCCTCGCCTGGGCCGCGGGCCGCTCACGGAGGACACGTCTGTCTCCTGCAGGACGGACTGAGGGCCCACGAGTTCCCCAGCCGCCTGGGCCGCCTCTACCTGTACAGCTTCAGCGAGGACAGCTCTGCTTGTCCCCTGACGGAGGTCTGGAGACGGGAGACCAACGCCATCCTGGACATGAAATGGTGTGGCTCTGACAACGCCCCACTCGCCTGGACCTCGCCTCCCGCCTCTGGGGACCCTTGCAGGGCAGCGTCCGCTGGCCCCAGGCCTTGCTGGGGACTCGGTGCCGCCTCTGTCAGCTTCTGAGCCCAGAGTCAGGACCAGCTTGGTTTCTGGCTTCACAGCTGGGTGGGAGTCTCGTGGGGCGGTCACGGTCGCCAGGGACCGCGAGTGGGGTCCGGGCACCCTTGGGGGCTGGCCGCGGCATGCACTGCGTCCTGTGTTCCGACTCCCTGTGAGCTCTCTCCCCAGGTGCCACGTCCCAGTGGGTGGCCACGTCCTTCTAGGCCTGGCAGACGCCGGCGGGTCCATAGAGCTGCTGCACCTGGCAGAGTCCCAGGTCAGTATGCGTGGGGCGGGCGCGGACAGGCTTCTTGGGCTGGCTCTGCATCTGACTCCAGGAGGGGCTGCCACTGGCCTGTCCCCAGTCTGACTGCTGTCAGGCGGGCCCAGCCCCGCTCCTCCTGGTTGGGCCAGAGCAGCGTGAGCCTCCTGTGTGACAGGGCCCGGCCCTGGGGCCCAGCGGGCTGGCTGTTCCCTTGTGAACTTCCCACGGTTTGGCCTCTACTTGTGGACGTGCAGAGCTGCTCTGGGGGGCGGGGTGGGGGCCCGGGACACCAAGGGGGTTGGGAGGGCAGAGAGCTGCTCCTCCCTACAGGCTGTGCGGAGCGGGGCAGGCAGGCCCAGTTCTTCTGCCCAGGGCTGAGGGAGGGCACACTGGCCCGGGGCCCGGGGCGGCATCCACTGCTCAGGCTCCAGCGCCCTCCAGCCCGCGGCTTTCCTCAAGTAGGGTGCGTACATGCTGCAGCCGCTGTCCCGCTTTGCCCTTGAGGGGCAGTCCCTGGCCTTGTCCCTGGACTGGTCTACCGGGAGAGCCAGCGGGTAAGGGTGGCACTGGCGAGGGCCGGGCCGGGGAGGGTGGGTGCCCCTCCTGTGGGCCACCTTAGTGGCAGCGCCCAGGCCAAGAAAGACATACTCCCGACCCGCGGGTGAAGGGAAGCAGTATTTCCTGGAGAGGCTGCTGTGGTGCCTTAGCTTAGCACAGCCCGCCCTCTGCTGCTGCGCGAGACCCAGCCGTGTCCTGGCATCGCCCACCGCGGTCCCAGGAGGCGAGGGGCCGGGCCCAGTCATGAGAGGTCAGCCCAGCCTGGCGGTCCCCTCTGCAGTGCCAGCGACCAGCCCCTGCGGGTCATCAGCAGTGACTCCAGGGGGCGCCTCCATCTGCTCAAGCTGAGTGAGGCGGACCCCGGGCTGCTGGACGTGGTCACGTGGAAGGCCCATCACTTTGAGGCCTGGGTCGCCGCTTTTAACTACTGGCAGACGGACATCGTGTACTCGGGTAGGCGCCCGGGGCGGGCGAGGACGGTCCTCGGGCGGGGGGGGGGGGGGGGGGAGGCGTGGCCATTCCCCGGCCGTCTGCTGGGAATGCCCTTTGTGGAGAGGGCGCCTTCTGGGCAGGAGTGGCCCTGGTGACAGCTGTTCCTCTGCTGTGAGGTGCGGGCGGCGCTGGCCCGGGCCCTGGGAGGTGTGGGGTCCCCTCGCCCACTCACATCCATGAGCCCCTTGCTGGCCTGCTGGATGCCGGGTTGGAACTCATCTCCCCAGCTGGTGTGGCGAGGGGGTGTGGCCCTCCTGCTCCTCACCGCCTGGCCCCTCCTTCACTGCAGGCTCAGCCTGGGTGGCTTCCTGGGCGCCCTTGGGGGCGCTTCTGCCCAGGGCCCTTGAACTCACCCAGGAAGAGTCACCCCCGGGTATTTCCTTGCTGACATGGGTCCTTCGCATGCGGAACGGCCACGCTCTGTCGTCATGCTCTCCTGACGGGTTTCTGTCCTCACAGGCGGGGACGACGGGCTGCTGAAGGGCTGGGACACCCGAGTGCCTGACGTGGCTGTCTTCACCAGTCAGAGGTAAGCCCACCTGGCACCTGCCCCATCGCGGCCACCCGTGTCCCCATCCCATCCCTGCCCCGCCGCAGCCACCCCGGCGTCCCCGCCCGCTTGCCCAGAGTTCCCTCCCCGCAGGCACGCCGCCGGCGTGTGCAGCATCCAGAGCAGCCCCCACCGGGAGCACCTCCTGGCGACGGGAAGGTGAGCTGCCCGCATGGCCCGGAGCCAGGTTTGGGAACAGGGTTCGGCCTAGACGGGCGTGGGGAGGGGGTCACCGGGTCAGCTGTCCGCGTGACTGCGCGTCCGTCCACCTAGCTATGATGAGCACGTGCTGCTGTGGGACATTCGGAACACGCGGCAGCCCTTGGCGGACACGCCCGTGCAGGGTGGCGTATGGCGGCTGAAGTGGCACCCCTTCCTCCCGCACCTGCTCCTGGCGGCCTGCATGCATGGCGGCCTGCGGGTCCTCGACTGCCAGAAGGCCGTAGGTGAGTGTCCCGCTCCGGCCCCAGCGCTGCCCCCGTGCGGCCTGTGCTCAGGTTCCCACCAGCCCTGCTGGTGCTTCCACCAGCTGTGTGGCTCTGCCCTCCCCCGCCCCGCCCCTCCCACCGCCTGGGGAGGGAGGCCGGGCAGGCCGCAGGCGCCGTATGGAGGCCTCTGTGTGGTGGTCGTGGGCACATGTCATGTTGTCTGCTTCACCCTCGATTCCAGGCCCTTCCGGTCCACCTGCGGCCCCGTGCCCTTGCTGCTCCGGGGCCTGCAGCGCAGGCTTCGCCCCAGACTAGTCTTCCTGGAGCGCCCTGCGGGGTGGCTGCCGCACACTGCCCCCAGTGCCCTCAGCTCTGCGGCCCAGCCTGGGGGCCTATTCCCACCTTCCAGTGCCTTCTCCCCAGGACCGACTCTGGCTTGTTAGCTGCTGTCAGCTGCGCTATTCCGTGAGTGTCCCTGGCGTGGTTTGGTTAGCGACTGTCTCTCTGTGGTCCCCCAGGTTTGTGAGTGCCCAGTGCCCCGCATGTTTCTGGGGCTCCCTGGGGACGCCTGGCTGTGGGTGTGGTGCCTGGGGTGCCTGCGGTCTCCTCTCTGCTCTCACGGCACCAGGGTTGAGCCTGGGAGCCGTGGCCCTGGCTGCTGGTGCTGGCGTCTCCTGCTCGGCTCGGCCGGGCACCACGGTCTCAGGCTCTGCTGTTGGGGCGCGTTTGTCCTGCCGTCTCTGCACAGCGCCTTGGTCTCTTCGCTGGTGTGAGGTGGTCTCTTTCCTCGAGGTGTCTGACATGTGCCTTGAAGTGACTGCTGCACGACGGCAGCCACCCCAGCTCCTGGCTGCGAACGCCACCTGCGTGTGAACGCCTGCGTGTGCACAGGCGTGTTTCCACGCGTGGAGGCGAGACTGCATTGTCCAAGCAGATGACGTGTGCACGTGCGGCTGAGGGGCAGGTGCCCACTCGCTCCCTGAGGCCTTGCTTTGCACGCGGTGCCTGCTGGTCACTGCGTCCTGACTTCAGCTGCTTTGCTGCCTTTGGGAACGGGCTGCCTCTTTGGTCACCTCTTCCAGATGGACGTGGTCTGACTGTTTGGGAGCTGGCGACTCCGTCTCTTTCTGGGTTTTTTTGCTATCTGTTCTTCGCTGGGTTTCCAGGTGAACCCGGTGTTCTCTGCAAAGAGGCGGGGCATGGCCCCTGCCCAGTCTGGCCCCCGCCCCGAGCGTGGCGCCGGGCCGTGTGTCTGTTACTGTGCCAGTGAGGCGCCCCCCGCTTTTTGTTTCCTTGATGTTCCTTTAAAGCCGGGAATGCTTCACCTTTCGTCACCTGCTTTTACAACCGCTGTCGGGTGGCTGGCGTGTGGAGGTCGCCACTGCTGGAGCGCCGGCATGAGGTTCTTCTCTGTGGCATTGTGCCCTGCTGATGCCCTGCTGTCGCGTTGATGCTCACAGGCTCTGTGGCTTTCTCTTGTGATGTTTTTATCAAGTAACAAATTTGATTTCTGAAAGTCAAAACCAAGCATGAGAATTTTTCTTTATTTTTTCTTGTAAAAGTTCAGAATTGCTTGGGTTACCTTTTCCCTCGAGGTCCGGTCTGCTCCTGAGGCTGTCTGGGCCAGGCAGGCACTGGGGGCAGCCCTCTGGAGGCCCCTTCCTGCCCTGCCTGGCCGGCAGGGAGGGGTAGACACCGCAGTGGCTTGTGATGCAGAGAAACTTCTTTCTTGGTGGTCACTTCCCTGTCGGCTGCGTTTTACTTTCAGAGTTGTGCGAACGCCTGGGCCTGAGCGGTTTTCTCCCAGACTGGGTCAGCCAGTGGACGCCGGGCTCCTGGCACTAGCTTCCCTCCTTGTGCTATCTTGGTCTCTTTTAGCTCTTGGGGCAGCGGGTGGAACCCGCCATTTGCTCCGCAGTGGCTTGTGTGCTGGCTCCCGGCAGCCTCCGGGCACAGGCTTGGGGCTGGCAGCACCCTCGCCCACCCACTCAGACTGCTGTCCAGGCCACCCTGGCCATCCACGCTGACTGAGGACCAGCCTGGTCGCCGCCTTTGAGCCAGCAACAGCTCCGAAGCCACACCCTGCGTCCTGGCCTGGGGCCCAGGGCCGACCCCGGGCCCCCCGCCAGCTGTGGTGGCGCCTGGCCATCGTGTCTGGCCGAGCCAGCCCCAGCCTGTCCTCCCTTGCGGGCGCTCTTCCATCCTAGCGGTGCCAGGCTGCGGCTCCTGCCTCCTTCCTGAGCAGAGCTCAGGTCTTTAGGTGTCTGCTGAGCTCGGGATGCCCCTGCAGGACTGCCCTGCTCTGGGCCCCACACCGTGTTTCCGGTTCCCCTTGGCCCAGCGCGCCCTCCCACTGCCCCTTTGCTGAGTCCCAGTCGAGCATGTCCCGCGCCTCTGTGCCTCTGGTAGGCTCGTCCGCACAGGCACACCCAGGGCACCCGCCGCGATCAGTGCCTTGGGAAACCCACTGAGGGTGGCCAGTGACGTGTCCCTTCTCTGCCCCTCACAGAGGACAAGCAGGACACGTGCACCATTTGCATGTCCCACACGCTGTCTGGCTCCCTGGTGTACGGCGCTGACTGGTCCCGGCTCTACTTTTACCACCTGCCCCAGGCCCAGCAGTCCCTGCTCTCAGCCTCCTGGCCCCAGAGCGACCCGGGACCCAGGCCGGACGGGATGCCGGCGGGGGAGCTGGCAGCATGCCCTTCTGACCGGCAAGTGGACAGGAGAGAGGACCACTCCAAGCTCCAGAAGGTGACCTCGGTGCAGCCGCTGCCCGAGGACGCGAGGAGCTGCAGCCTGCTGCACACCGTGGGGTCCAGCGTCTGTGGCAACGACCTCTATCTGGACATGGCGAACTTTGACCTCAGTCTTCTGGCCACTTGCTCCTTTTACGATCATGTTCTTCACCTTTGGAAGTGGGAGAACAGCTGAGCGTGGGGACGGATGTTGGTTTGGGCATAAAGAGCATTTCTGCCAGTGAAGCCGAGTGCGACTTGGCGTTGTCTGAGGGAACTGCCAAGACCTCGCTGGCGTCTGCGCTACGGCCTTGGCCCAGGGGTTGGGGGGTTGCCAGAGCTGTAAGCACCACACCCCGAACCTGCTGGGGCCCTTCAGGTGGCCATCTGGGTGGGCGGGGTCAGCAGTGGGGGCGCTGACTCCCTGGCATTTAAGCAGTGGCCATCTGAGTGATTGTAAACACACCTGGCCACACCTCTCTGCAGGGCAGCGGGCTCTACACACAGGTCAGTGCGCACACAAGCCTGTCCTCCTGACCCCCGACACTCCTGGGCCTCCCCAGTCCCACTCTGAGAATTCTGGGAGTGACTGGAACCACCTTGGGCTCTGCGGGCGCCCAGCAGCAGCTGTGATGAGGTGGGATCAGAGAGCACACTCTCTGACCCCTGGTTCCTGACTGCCAGCGAGGTGGGGCAGGCTGTGAAGACGCTAAGCCAGAATCACCCAGGCCCCGCCGAGCCGCCCTCAGTCTGTTAATAGTTCCTCAAGCAGCAGCCGTAGGTGAGACCAGAGAGACTGGGCAGCCCAACAGGCAGGGGGAGCGGTCCAGGCGACCCTGGTTTTGACGCCGCTCACTGTGCGCCTCTCCTGGAGCTCCACCCAGGGGTGCCGTTTCTTCACCCAACTCCCAGTCACTTTGGGACCCCGGGGACTGCTCAGTGGTGCCTGGACATGGGCCGCGGGTGGGCTGACCAGTGGGGTCACTGGGGCCATGGCCCTGTAAACCCTCCCCCATGGGCACTATGCTGCCCCTTCCAGGGCCCTGGGCTGGGCACTGGGGAGCCCGCTAGGTCATTTCAGGGACAGACGCGGACACCCTGGAGGAGCCAAGGTTTTTAATAGAAACAACGGGAGGCCGCTTCCCCGCGCCGGGCAGTGTCGGCCGGTCGGCGGGGCGCAGGCCCCCGGCCAGGGGGCACCGCGGAGGTCGGGGTCCGGGGTCTTCGGGCGGGGTGGGGGGCGGCGGCGGAGGTCGGGGTCCGGGGTCTTCGGCCGGGGGGAGGGCGGCGGCGGACGTCGGGGTCTTCGGCCGGGGGGGGGCGGCGGCGGAGGTCGGGGTCCGGGGTCTTCGGCCGGGGGGGGGGCGGCGACGGAGGTCGGGGTCCGGGGTCTTCGGCCCGGGGGCGGCGGCGGCCGCGTGGCGGGCCCGGCCCTAGCGCGGGAAGTTCTTGGGGTACAGCTGGAAGAGCTTGCCGTCCTGGCTGGGCTCGAAGCCGTACTTGTCCAGGCGCTCGGGGTCGAACGCGCCGTCCCGGAGGTCCCTCTCGATGGCGGGCGCCGCCGCCTGCTGGAAGAGCCGCTCGGCCGTCAGGGGCGCGTCCTCGCCCGCCGGCGCGCGGTAGCTCACGTAGGGCCGCAGCCGGCAGCCGGCCAGCTCGGGCACCACCAGCTCGGGCACCATGGCCGGCACCAGCACGAAGCGGCCGTCGCGGCCGCGCACGCCCGTTCCCTTGGCGCCGCGGCCCTTGTAGTGGGAGCGCGGGCCGCGCTTGCTGGTCCAGCGGCTCCCGCGGTCGGCGCCCCGCAGCAGCACGCGCGCCGCGGCGCTCAGCAGGCCCATGGCGCCCTCGCCCGCGCCCGGCGCAGGCGCGGCCCGGGCTCCCGCGACGCCGGCGCCCGCGGCAGACGTCAGAGGGGCGGGGCGGGGCCCGGCGCTCCCGCGACGCCGTCGCCCGCGGCAGACGTCAGAGGGGCGGGGCGGGGCGGGGCCCGGCGCTCCCGCGACGCCGTCGCCCGCGGCAGACGTCAGAGGGGCGGGGCGGGGCGGGGCGGGGCGCGGGGCGGGAGCGCGCGGCGTGGGGGCGGGGCGCGGGGGCGGCGCGCGGACGGCGGATCGCGAGGCCGGGTGAGTCGCCGCCGTGTCCCCGCTCGCGCAGCCCGGGTCGGCCCCGCGGGAGGAGCGCGCCAGCCCCGCGCCCGCGCCCGCGCGATCCCCGCAGCCACCGGGCCCGCACCCCGCCCTCCCCTGAGCGCCGGCCCCGCACCCCCGCCCGGTGACCCGACGGCCCGCGCCCCAGGGCCCCTCACCCCAGTCTCCGCCGGTCAGATGGCCCCGCACCCCGACTTCCCCTGGCCGACGACTCCGCACCCCGACCTCCCCGACCCGACGACCCTCACCCCAGTCTTCGCTGATTAGACGGCCCCGACCTCTGACCCGATGACCCCGGGCCGCCGCTGCTGACCCCGTGACACGGCGCCCAGCCTCCCTGGGGCACCCCCCCCCCGGCTCCTGAGTGACCCCAGTGGTCAGCGGCGGGAGGTCAGGCTCGGCGTCCTGCGCTGGGGCCTGGGCTCCCGCGCGCGCCACGCCAAGGGGGCGGGGCGGGGCGGGGCCGGCGGGCGCCTCGCGCTGTGGGGGCGTGGCCGGGGGCGTGGCCGGGCGCCGAGGCCTGGGTGAGGTGGGCGGGGCAGGGCCGGGGCCGGGGCGGGGCCGAGCGCCGGGGCGGGGGCGGGGCCGAGCGCGGGGGCGGGGCCTCGCCGCCCCTGACTCTGGGCTGCTTGCAGAGATGGAGCCGGAGCGGGAGCCGGAGCCCGAGCCCGAGCCCGGCGCGGGCGAGGAGGTGGGACCCCGCGACCGCCGCTGTGTCCGCTTGGCAGAGCCCGCTCTACCTCGCCCGGAGCCGCCCCGCCGCGTGGGGCCGCCCGAGCCCAGGGCCGGTGCGGGTGCCCGGCGCGCCGCGGGCTGGGGCTCGGGCCGGGGGCGGGGGCCCCGCTGGCGCCTCTGCCGCTGACCACAGGCCGCCCCGCCCGCAGGCCGGGCCGGGCGAGCCTGCCTCAGGGGCTGCTGCGCCCGCCGCGCCCGGCCGCCCAGGCCCGTCTGTCCCTCGCGCCCCGCATGGCCGTGTGTGGACACCCGCAGGGGAGCAGGCCCCCGCCCGGCTGCCCTGACGGGGTGTGGACACAGCAGGGCGGTTTCTCCCCGGTGCTCGGCCTGGGCCCTGGGAGCGGTAGCGCCCTAACTGTGGCTGACCCAGCGTCCGCGCCCCCCACCGATTCCCCCTTCCCCCTCTTCCCCGGGTCTGGACTTGTGGTGCCCGGGCTCAGGGTGGGGCTCCAGCACCTCCGTCTGCTGCCCCTCTCCTGGCCCTGCCCTGCGTCTCCTGCACGGCCGTGCTCACGGCTGGGGGTCTGCGCCCTTCGGCCAGCCGCACCCCAGCGCCCACATGACAAGAGGGTGCTTGGGTGGCCGCTGGGCCTGGTTGCCTGCTTTCTCCCTGTCCCCAGCCGTGTTCTTGCTGTGGGCAGCCCTGGCCATGCCCATCGTGGTCTCTGACCCTGTTGTCTTCTCCAGGTTGGCTTTTGCCTGGACACTGGCCTGTGGTCCTGGGGGCTGCAGCTGACGGAGCAGCACACACAGTCCCCCATGGTAACCACTCAGCCTGCCTCCGGGCGAGCGTGGCCTGGGGTCCCGGCCTGTGTCCCTGGGCTGCCCCTCGCCCGTGCCTGCCCGGCCCCGTCCAGGGAGGTGTGGGCTCTGCGGGGACCTTGCTGAGGGCCTTGTCTCCATCACCCAGCTGGCAGGGATGATGATTGGCGCCCTCCTGGCCCTGAGCCTGGCTCTGGCTGGTATCACAGTCTTCTTTATGTACCGAAGGGCTAGACGCTTGCGTGAGTATCCTCCGGCTCAGGCTCCCACTGCGGGGAGGCAAGGCCCAGAAGGAGGGCGCTGGGTGGGCACCCGCGTCTGACCTCCTGGGGGCGCTCTGCGGACCTGACAGCTGTGACCGGCTCGTCGAGTCCAGGAGCCTCAGTCGCTCTAGCTTTCCGACTCTTCTCATGCATGGCTTCCGTCGGCAGAGATGCCACTCCCAGCCCCTCCGCGCCAGCCTCTCGGCTGGGCTCCTGCATCCACCCGCTGCCGTCTGCCCTGGGCCTGCACCTCAGTGTCCCGGCCACGGCGCCACGGCCCTTCTCCCTTGCAGGGCAAGTGCAGCCTGCTCCGCAATACAGGTTCCGGAAGAGAGACAAAGTCATGTTTTACGGCCGGAAGATCATGCGAAAGGTAGCGGGGGCTGCTGGCGGCGGCCGTGCCCATCGCTCATGTGGCAGGGCTTGACAGGGCTGAGGCCCAGGCTGGTGCAGGGGGGTGGGGTGCCCCTGCCTCCTCAAGGCATATGTGGTTCCAGCGCCAGGACTTGCTGGCTCTGCCGGCCCCAGGGCTGGGCTACGTCCAGTGAGGGGGAGAGAAGGCTGGCCCGGGAGGAACGACTTGGTGTCCAGCAGGTGCCGGGGCTGGTGGGATAGGAGCGTCCCCTCAGGTGGCAGCGGTGGCTCCGAGGCCTCTCTCTGGGGTCACGCTCTTCATAGGAAGCTGCTCCCCGTCCTGCAGGGCCTCCTTATCCGTCAGGGCTGTCCGTGAGGGGTTGGGCACCTGCTGGGGGACGTTGTCCAGGAGCTGGACCTGTGGAAGGGAGGGAGCATGATGGACTGGACACGGGGCACCGCCCACCTGGGGCAGGGGCTGAGCTGGAGTCTGGAGCTGACCTGTCACGCACCCCACCAAGGCCCTTCAGGCAGCTCAGGGCTCCTCGGGGGCAGCTCAGGGGGCAGCTCGGGACTCCTTGGAGGTGGATGCAGGCCCGGGCAGACGGGGGCTGGAGAAGCCTTGCTCCACTGCTAGGCTCCTCGGGAACCAGCTGACAGAGGAGGGTCACCTCCCCGCAGCGGGTAGCAGCTGGGCCCCGGGGACCGCTGAGCAGTGCGCAGGGTGGTCTATGCTTTGGCTGGGGGGATGGTGCAGCCAGAGCCAGGGATGAGGTCAGCATGTGGGCACCTGACAGCGGGCCTGACCGCTGAAGCTGAGCATGGGGTCCACAGGCTGCAGACTTAGCCTCTCGCTCTCGCTCTGCAGGTGACCACACTCCCCCACACGCTCGTGGGGAGCACGGCTGCCCCCAGGCAGCGGGTGAGGAAGAGAACCAAGGTGCTGTCTCTGGCCAAGAGGTACTGGAGTGTCCTTGTGCCCCACCCTGCCCACCCTGAGCTCCTTCGGGCGGCTCCACCTGTGTGTCCCCCACTTTGCAGGATTCTGCGTTTCAAGAAGGAGTACCCTACCCTGCAGCCAAAGGAGCCCCCACCCTCGCTGCTGGAGGCCGACCTCACGGAGTTCGACGTAAAGAACTCCCACCTGCCGTCGGAGGTTCTGTACATGCTGAAGAACGTGCGGTGAGAGGGGACGCGGTGAGAGGGGACGCGGGCCGGCGGCCGCAGCCGGGGCTCCCTGTGCCCCCACGCACCCCCCAAGGCCGTGCACGAGCCCTCCGGTGGTGGGGGCTTGTCGGACGTCTCCCCCACCCCCACCTCCCAGGGCCTCCTCCAGCTGCTCCCAGCCCTCGCCTGCCCAGCCCTTGCCCTCAGGGGAACGCAGGGCCGGCGTGGGAGGCGGCCGGGCTCAAAGCTGGAAGTCTGGGTGCCCCTCCATTGCTCCCCGACGCCTCTCCTCTAGTCGCTGCCATGGGGGGGGTGTCTCTCGGCTGCCATTGGGTGCGCCATGCTGCCTGACTTGGCCTCGAGCTCTGTGAGCCGGTGGGCAGCAGCTGACGGGCTTCCTTCTTCCTCGAGTCCCAGGCGCCTGCCTGGGGCCGGGTGCCCGCGGCTGTGGGGCGCCAGGGCTGGGGCGATGAGCCCACACTGCCTGCTGGAAGCCTGTGCTCTGGTGTTTCAGGGTCCTGGGCCACTTTGAGAAGCCGCTTTTCCTAGAACTCTGCAAACACATGGTCTTCGTGCAGCTGCTGGAAGGGGAGCACGTCTTCCGGCCGGGGGAGCCGGACACCAGCATCTACGTGGTGCAGGACGGGCGGCTGGAAGTCTGCGTCCAGGGCGCGGTAGTGGGGGCTGCCTTCTCCCCGCGTCTGCGTCTTAACTGCGGCGCGAAGCTTCCCCGGGACCTGCTCTGGGCATGGGGCCTGGGCAGGGGCGGGCTGTCTGGGGCATCTCCTCACAACTGGTCATGGCCCCACGACCCTCTTGCCAGCTTTGCTCTGCCCCTCCGGACTCGTCCCGTGGCCGAAGCGCCTGCCTCGGCTGGCAGAGGCACAGTGTTTGCCGCGGGGCCAGGGGCCAGCTGGCGTCGCCCACGGGTGACTCTTCCCCCTCCCAACCGCAGGATGGCCCTGAGACGGTGGTTAAAGAGGTGCCAGCTGGGGACAGCGTCCACAGCCTCCTCAGCATTCTGGACGTCATCACCGTGAGTCCCCGCGCGCCCCATGGGCCCACGGCTGGCGACTTCACACTCGGTGCCCCGCTCCCCGGGGCTCACACGGGGTCTACGGGCATGGCATGGGCGGCCGGCGGGCAGGAACTGGGCAGCTCCGAGGGGCCTGACAGAGCCTCCCCACAGGGCCACACGGCGCCCTACAAAACGGTGTCCGCCCGCGCCGCCGTCCCGTCCACCGTCCTGCGGCTTCCGGCGGCTGCTTTTCAAGGCGTGTTTGAGAAGTACCCCGAGACGCTGGTCAGGGTGGTGCAGGTGGGTGTCCCCAGCGCGTGAGCGCCACCACGCGGGCCAGCCGAGGGCCACGCGGGTCCAGGAGACAGGCTCTCCGTGACAGCTGTGGTCCGTGGCCTCGGCCGGGCCAGACCCCGCCCCCCAGAGTCCTTTCTGTTTCACGCGTGTGGTGGAGCAGCCCTGGGTTCGCGGGAAGCGTCTTAGACGTGCAGGCCCCGGGCCGGCCCTGGGCACGAGCGTTTGGCGTCTCCACAGATCATCATGGTGCGGCTGCAGCGGGTCACCTTCCTGGCTCTACACAACTACCTGGGCCTGACCACAGAGCTCTTCAACCCTGTGAGTGGCGCCCGCAGAGGTGGGCGGGAGCAGCCTGACCCTGTCCGCCCCTCCCCGCCCACCCAGGCCGCCCACTCCTGCCCTATGCAGCCCCTCCTGCAAGTCAGGACTGGCCGGGGCGAGCCCAGGGCCGTGGAGAGCAGCCCTTGCAGCTAGTCGGCCAGACCCCGTGTCCGCCTCTGGCCCCGAGGCTGCGGGCCGTGGTGCGGGCCCTGGGTTCCCCCGTGGCCGGCATGAGGCAGCCCCCTGGTCTCCAGGGGTGTGTAGGCCTCATCAGCGTCCTCTGCCGATCCCTTTGCTCTCTGCGTCACCCTTTCATCTCGGTGAGGCGACGGGGCCTCTCGCCCTTTGGCTGGCCTCGGCTCTGCCCGAGTGGCCAAGATGGCGGCAACGAGCCGTGTGCTGAGACCACACGGCCGGGCACCTGTCCACGGCTGCTCCTGGGGCTTCCTTCCCGTCTAGGAGAGCCAGGCCATCCCCCTCGTATCCGTGGCCAACGTGGCTGCTGGGAAGGCCCGGAGGCAGTCGGGCTGCGGCCCTGAGGAGCGGCCCCCGGACCCAGGTACCACCAGCAGGTCTCACCCCTTCCCGCCTCACATTGCCTCTTCCCCGGCTTCCTTGACTTAGCCCAACCCGCCCCACCTTGCCCCTGTGTCCACTCACACCCTGCAGCCCACTCAGCCTAGGGAGCAGGCCCCCACCCCCGGCCCTGCCCTGCCCTTGCGGGCCCAGGCCTGGGGAACTGTGGTGTTTGCTGGGGGCGCTCCCCCCCTCCCCCGGTAACGGGCTGTGGCCTCACTGTCCCTGGGGCTCTGCTGCTGCCTCCCAGCGGCCCCCAAGCGCAGAGGAGCCCAGGGCTGTGGGCCCTGGCCAGTCTCCCTAGAAATGCACGTTGGCAGGCCTCCCCGGTGGCGCAGCGGTTGAGCGCTGGGTTGCGAAGCTGCCCGCAGCCTCTGCAGTGCAGGTTCGATCCCCGGCTGCTCCCCAGCCACCGGAGGAGGGTCCCGCATGGCGCGCAGACCTCTCCTGCCGCCCGCTGCTCCCCTCGCAGTGTCCTTTGGTCCTTTTGCCTGCTCTGCTCCCCACTCTGGCTCTGGTGGATTCTCTCACCCTCCCGCGCTTCTGACTGTACCCAGTGCTTGTGTAAATAAATAAATAAATCTTTAAAAAAAAAAAGGAAAGAAATGCACCTTGGGAAGTGGGTCCTGCCTCTTGCCTGAGCCTCTTGACACCGGGCAGCGTTGGGGCCAGACCCTGGCGTGGGCAGGTACCTGGGGTGGGTGGGTGGTACCTGGGGCCACCAGAGTCATAGGGCGGGCAGCCTGAGATGGGTGGTATGCATGGGGGGTGGGGGCCCCCGATGAGGCTCATCCCTACCCGGCAGACCGAGGGGGCAGCCGTGCAACAGCCTCAGCACCGCTGCTGAAGAGGAGCCTCTCCGTCCCGCTGCCCACCGTGCACGAGGAGCCCGTGGATGCGCTTGGCCAGGCCCTGGCAGGTGAGGCCTCCTCAGACGTGGGCCGGGCCCAGCACCTCCCACCTGTGCAGGCGAGCTGGGGTCGGGGTGCCCCGGCCCAGGCTCCCCCTCGGCCTCCTGCAAGTCAGGACTGGCTGGGGCGAGCCCAGGGCCGTGGAGAGCAGCCCTTGCAGCTAGTCGGCCAGACCCCGTGTCCGCCTCTGGCCCCGAGGCTGCGGGCCGTGGTGCGGGCCCTGGGTCCCCCCAGGACTGTGTGCCGGAGGGCGTCTCCTGCCCCACTGGCTCTCTGGCCACACCCTCAGCCTGCGTCCACCTGCCGCAGCCCCTACCCGGCTGCCCGCGTGGGGCCTTCCCCACAACTGCCCCCTCCCCACCCTGCCCCGCACCGCCCCGCGCCACCCCGAGTGCCCTCACGGTCTGGACACCAGCTATGGCTGTGGGCCCTGTGCCGGGTGGGGCCGTCTGTGTGCTGTCCCCTGGGGCCACCGTGCTCACCCCGACACTCGTGGGCTCGGGATGGCCACAGCGCCCTCACTGCCGAGTGGCGTCTGCCCTGGTGTCCAGTGCAGCTGCTCACGTGACACTGACCGTCCAGCCTGCAGCACCACGCAGCCAGCCCACCCCTGCAGCCTTGGAGCCCTGCCCGCCTCCCTCCCCCGCCACCCGCCCCCTCACCGGCTCCCGGCCTGGGGGCCGCGGGCACACGCTGCGGAGGGGCCCGCGCGTGGCTCGGCCGGAGCCCAGAGCGCAGGCCCCGAGCCCCCTGTGCCGGCAGGTGCCCCCGCGGACCCGAGGGCGACGTGCGACGGCGCCAGGGCGCCCCCGCCCGCAGAGGAGCGCCCCGCGAGCGGCGCGGCGAGCAAGGTGGGCGCCCTCCGCCGGCCGCGCCCCGCGCCCCCCGCCCCCCGCGGCGCCCACGTCCACCTGCCCCCCTTGCCCCTCAGGCCAAGAGGAACGTGGTCGTCGCCGAGACGCCCGCCGCCGTCTTCCGCTACTCGGAGCGGAGCCCGGGCCCGGCCGCGGGCAGCAGCGGCAGCGCGGACGCCATGCTCAGGGCCGCCAAGGAGGACCTGCTCACGCTCATGCAGCTGGACGTGAGTGGCCGCGCCCCCCGCGCCCCCGCGCCCCCCGCGCGGCCCCCCTGCCGCGGCGCCTGCGCCAAGACCCACGGGCGTCGGCCCTGCACCCCGCGCCCCCCCCCCCCCGTCGCCCCCCTCCGCGGCGCTTCCAAGTGGGGGGGGCGCCGGGGCCGGGGGCCGGGGCGGGGCCTGCTCGCCGGGGGGCTCCAGGCTCCTCCCCGCGCCCCCCTCGCAGCCGCCTCGGGACCCGTGGCCAGGGCTGTCCGCCCCGGTCCCGGAGACGCGGCTGCCTCCGTCCCCCGGCGCGCTCGGGGCTGCGCGCTCTGCTCCTCGGGCCGGCGGGGCGCTGCGCGAGCCCGGGGGGCGGGGGGGGGGGGGGGGGGGGCGGCGGGGGGGGGCCGGGCGGCGGGGGGGGGCAGGGGGGCCCCCGGCGCTCCGCCCACCGACCCCGCGCAGCCGCCGGCCCGCGCTCTGGGCCTGCGCTTGGCCGCCGCTTCTCGCGCTGCGGGCAAAGGCCCTTCGGGGCCGCCGCTCCCGCCGGCTCTGCCGAGAGCCCCGCGGGGTGGCCCCAGCGGGTCCGCGCCCGCCCCCCTGCTCGGGGGGCCGCGCAGGGCCGTGTCCAGCTGGCGGGCCCGCGCGGCCACCGCGGTGTCGCCCTCGCCCCCCGCGCGCCCCGCTCCCCGCGCCCCGGGCCCCTGCTCTCCCCACGGCCCTGGGCCCGCGCGCCGCGTTCTGCTCCGAGGGCCGCGTCCAGCGCGCGGGCGCCCAGGCGGGCGCCTTCCCAGTCTGTCCAGGCCGCGGGGCTGCGTCCCGCCTGTGGTCACTTGTGTCCTCGTGATCGTTCCACATACGGCAGGGCCCCGGGCGCGGGCCGTCGCAGCACCACGGAGCCATGGCCACCCGCGGCGGCCCGAGGCCGTCCCTGGCCCGGGAGCTGCCCACAGGGCGCGGCAGACCCTCCCGTCGCCCCGCTGCCCCCTCAGCGTGGATTTCGGTCCTTCTGCCTGTGCTGCTCCCCGCTCTGTCTCTGGGGAGCCCTCTCACCCCGCGCCTCTGGCCCGCACCCAGCTCCTGCACCCAGGAATCTGAACCGCGTCCCGCTCTCTCCAGACTCCTCGCAGGCCGCCGCGCTGTGCACAAGCCGGTGTTAGCCCCGTGTGTTTGGGGGTTTTCCGGCTGCTTCCGGCATCGAGCTGGGTTTCACAGCGGCTGTTGTGTGGCTTCTAGTTCCTGTAACTGACCGAGGTGTGTTTCCCGGCCCAGAGCGTGGCCGGCTGGCGAGTGCTCCTGTGGCCGAGGAGGTGTGTCGCGGCTGGACGAGGCCGTTCTTGGCTGTCCAGCACGCGGGGCCGCCCGGTGGCGGGGTTGGGGTGCGGTCGTGGCCACGCCAATGGGGTCGCGCTCTCCTCACAGCCGCCTTCCTCCCGTCCGGTGTTTCAGCGCTGCCGTGAGGCGCCCCCACATCAGGGCTTGCGTTTCTTCCTGGGGAGTGGACCCCTTCCTGCGTGCGGTGACCCCTTCCCGCGCGTCCATGCCGCTGCTCCGCCCTCCCTCTGGCTGGCCAGGTGCCCCGGCCCGCACGCCCCTGGCTCTGTCTTGGCGTCTTTCGTGGCTCCTGGGCCGGCTCGGGCTCCCTGGCCTGCTCACGTCTCCTAGGCTCTCAGCGCACCCGCGTGTTCGGCCCCTGAGGGTGATGCAGTCGCTGATGCCGACTGGCTCCTGTGCCTTCCGCCCTGTCCTCTGGTCCTGTCCTTGTCTACGACTCTCCTGCCTGCCCTCTGCAGTTTAAACCGAGCACTTTATGGGGCTCTGCCCTTCCCTCAGGCTGTTGATCCCTCCCTGCTTTACCCGCCTTCAGCGGCTGGGCTGCCGGTGGCTTGCAGCCCTCGTCTCCCATCAGCCCAGCCCACTCCACATGCCCCGCGCTGGCCCTACAGAAAGGAGGCAACGCCGGGGTTCCAACAGGCTGCTCCCCAGGACAGCAAAGACTGGCTGAACACCAGGACCGCTCAGCCTACTGACCTCCATGAGCAGTGGGGCTGGCATAGCCTGGCATCCCCGGTGGGCGAGCACTGCCCTGTGCTGCGGCGGCCCCCGCTGGGGCCGGCACTCCTGTCCGCGGGACCCCTCACCTGACTGTCCGCCAGCGGCCCTTGCTCTGAAGTGAGCTGGTCAGTGGGCATGTGGGAGCCCTTCTAGCCAGTCAGAGGCCGAGGAGGGCCTGGAGCCTGGCCCTGCAGCCATGTCAGGCCGCTGCTTGCTGTGTGGGAGGCCGTGGGGGTTCTGCCACCGTGGGCCAGCCAGGCCCCAAGACCCCAGGGAAGGCTGATGCTGTTGGCCGCTGTGGGCGCCACAGTGTCCATGTGTGGAACCAGTTTCCCTCTAACACTGCGCAGCCCTGTGTGTAGTGTAGGCCCTCGGGACAGCCCCTCGGCCCCTGCCCGCCTGGGCCTGCTCTCCCGGCACTTAGGCGCGCCGCACGGTCAGAGGCGAGGCTGCCTTCGCTTTCAAGAAGCTTCCTGTCCCCTCAGCCACATGCACGACCAGCTCGGTCCCGCCCCCTCTCGTCCCGCTCCTGGACCCCTCTGGCTGCGGGCGCCCCTTCCTCGGAGCCGCCCCGGCGCTGGTGAGGCGGGTCTGCTGCCCGGCCGGCAGTCTATGTCGGGAAGGTGTCTGTTCCGCCCGGAAGGGCTACTCTGCAGGGTGCAGAGCCCGGCCTGGGTTCCCGGCACTGGGGATGTTTCTCTCACCCCCTTTGCTTGGAGACTCTGGGAGAGGCCAGAAGTGACTCCTGCTGAGTCTCCGCTCTCGGAGAAGGTCTGCACTCTGGTTTCCGGGCTGTGCTGCCTCTGGCTCTCTAAGGCTGGGCTGGGCAGTGCTGGGCCCACTCGGGCTGCTCTTGCCTGGGGCTGGGTATGTGACGCTGGCTCCTGCTGCCCCCCCATCCTGTGTCCACCCCGGGTCCATGCACAATGTCTATGCTGCCCCCCGGCCGGGGCGCCCTCTCCTGGCTGCCTGTCTGCTCTTCAGTGTGGGGATCTGCCGGGACAGACCCTCAGACACAGACGCGCCACCTCCGACAGGCCAAGGGCGCCCGCCATGGGCACCTTCCCCCTCCATGCCCTCAGGGCTCTCCTCAGGCCATATCTGGGCCAGGCTCAGCTGCTCCTGCACCCCAGCACTAGCACGTGGGCCCATGTGGCGTGGCTCCGGCAGTCGGGGGTACCCCTTGCCCTGACCGTCTCTAACATGTGCGGCTGGTGTCGCACACACCACAGCCCTGCGCTGTCCAAAACGAGGCGGCCGTGGCGGCCCCACTGGGAGGGACACGTGATCTCGGGGGTGATGGTCGGCTGGGGTCACTCACCACTGGGGCTTGTGAAGGCCACCTGGGAAGGACCACCGGCTCCCGCGTGTTGCGGTTCTGCGCCCGTGGGGACCGTGGAGCTTCACCACGAGGCTCCTCCAGCCTCTGCAGCTGCTCTCCAGGACCAGCCGTCCCAGGCCCCTCCCCGGCGTCCTGTGTGTCCAGCACCCGCGTGGGCCCAGTGGCGTGCAGCAGGGGTGGCCCGCCGGCCTCTGGGGCCGAATCGCTGTCTCCCGGGTCACTGGCGGGGCACAGTTGGTGTGCCCTCACAGTGCCCACTCTGGTCTGCGGTATCTGGTTGTTCTGCCCGCACAAGCGGACCTGCGGGGTGCTGGGAGGGTCCTGTGTTCTGTGGCCGGTCGCCCTGCCCTGTGGCTCTGGGTCCGCTGCCCTCAGTGCCCCTGTGCCTGCTTGTAGGACCCTTCCCTGCTGGACGGCCGTGTGACACTCCTGCACGTCCCGGGGGGCACGGTGGTGTCAAAGCAGGGAGACCAGGTGAGCCCCACAGAGTAGGGGCACAGGCCGTGGGGCTCCCCCCCCCCCCCCCGCTGTAGAGCCGTGCCGCTGACCGCCCGGCTCCGGGCCTGGGGCCTGCTGGCCGACGCCCCTCCTCTTGTCAGGACGTGAACATCCTCTTCGTGGTTTCGGGGCTGCTGCACGTGTACCAGCGGAAGATCGACAGCGAGGAGGACACCTGTCTGTTTGTGACGCACCCCGGGGAGATGGTGGGCCAGCTGGCCGTGCTCACAGGCGAGCCCCTCATCTTCACCATCAGGGCCAACAGGGACTGCAGCTTCCTCTCCATCTCCAAGGCTCACTTCTATGAGTACGAGCGGCCACCCCCAGGCCCCTTCCCTGCGGCCTCCCCTTCCCCACCGTGCCCCGCCCCGCCCCTCCTGGGCCTCGCCCTTGGCGGTCTCAGCTGGGGCCTGTCTGTGCCCAGCTCCACGTCCGCCGTGCGCGGACACTGCTGTCCTCAGCCTTCCCGCGTGCGGGGTGTGTCGGAGCCCGCCAGCCGAAGCTCCAGATTGTCCCCCGAATTGCTCCTAGCCACCCCCACCCCCTTCCAGACTGTGGGCCGAGTACTGCTCCTGCCATCAGCTTCCAGAAGCCCCCAGTATAGCGGCGCCGCCCTGCTCTGCCCTCGCCCTGGGTGCCTGTTGCAGCCCGCAGCAGGGAGACCGCTCCGCCCTGCTCCTGCGCTGGGGCCGCCTCCAGCAACTGCCTGGGCACGACCAGCCCACCTGCTGGCCGCCTCGCGGGGCCTTCTCTGCGGCCTCTCAGCCTCCCCTTGAGCTTGCCTGTCCCGAGGGTCGGTGGCTGATGGCCCCTGGGCCCCGCCCACGGTCAGCTGGTCTGTGCAGCCTGGCCCCCGCTGCTGGGATTGTGGGCGCTCCTTGTGCCCGCGGGGGTGTCTGGGCAGGGGCAGCGTGGGCGGCCGCCGCCTGGGCGCTGGCTGCTGCAGGCGTCTGGCCCGCCCGCAGGATCATGCGGAGGCAGCCAACCGTGGTCCTGGGCGTGGCGCACACGGTGGCCAAGCGCATGTCCTCCTTCGTGCGGCAGATGGACTTCGCGCTGGACTGGATGGAGGTGGAGGCCGGCCGCGCCGTGTACCGGTGAGCAGAGGCCCGGCCTGCCCCTGGGTCGCCGCGGGGGAGGTGCCCCGGGGCCCGGCCCGCGCGCTGCCCGGGCGAAGCGCCCTGAGTCGCCGGCCGGGCTGGGCCTCAGCGGGAAGCAGCCGCCCGCCCCGCTGAGCCCCCGCGCCGCCGCCGCAGGCAGGGGGACAGGTCCGACTGCACCTACATCGTGCTGAGCGGCCGGCTGCGCGCGGTGGTCCGCAAGGAGGACGGCAAGAAGCGCCTGGCGGGGGAGTACGGCCGCGGGGACCTCATCGGAGTGGTAGGGGGCCCGCCGCCCGCCCGCGCCCCCGCGCCCCCGCGCCCCCGCGCCCCCGCGCCCCCCGCGCCCCCGGCTCCCCCGCCCCGCCCCCGGCTCCCCGGCCCCGCCCCGGCGCCCCGCCCCGCCCCGCCCTGCGCCTCCGCTGGCCCCGCCCCACGGCCCCACTGGCCCCGCCCCATCCGCGCCTCCGCTGGCCCCGGCCCCGCCCCGCGCGTCTGCTGGCCCCGCCCCCGCCTGCCAGGCCCCGCCCCGCGCCTCTGCTGGCCCCGCCCCGCCCCGCCCCGCCCCTGAGCTCCTTCCTGAATTCCGGGGCGTGGGTCAGGGCCGAGGGCTGGGGCGCTTGACCGCGGCTTGGCTCATGCTGTCTGGGGGCGAGGCCCGCCCTTCCGTCACCCCGTCTTGCCGGCCCCCACGCGCGCGGGCGGCCCAGCAGGCGCCTCTCCGCAGGTGGAGACGCTCACGCAGCAGCCCCGAGCCACCACGGTGCACGCCGTGCGGGACTCGGAGCTGGCCAAGCTGCCGGCCGGGGCCCTGACGTCCATCAAGCGCAGGTACCCGCAGGTGAGTGCGCTGCGGGCGCGGGGCGCCTGTGCGGGGGGCGGCCGGCCTGCGGCAGGGCTCAGGCCAGGGAGCAGCCCGCCCCGCGCGGGGACGCGGCCCGCCCGTCCGTCTGTCCACGCCACCCTGCTGCTCGCGCCGTTCCGCCCCTGGGCCCGGGGCGGGCGGCTGTCCCGGTGGCCCTTGGCTCGGGGGCTGTGTCTGCCTGGGCCCTGGTGCCTCGCGGGGCGCCCTCTGCGCTGCTCCCTCGGGCCCTCCAGGGCCGTGTCCAGCCTTTCCCGGTCAGGAAATGACCGCTTTGCAGGTTAGATTTCCCTTAAAAGCACCGTCAGCGCGGGCGGTTCTGCGGGGCTGTTTCTGAGGCCCTTCTTTTGGAGAACATGCGGGTCGGCGGTAAACGCTTTGATCCGGCTTGGCCTCAGAACGTGGGAAGGTTGCGCGTGAGAGGAGAGGACTGCACCGGACACGGCTCCGCGCTGCCCGCATTCGAGGGTCTGGGCCTCCCTGCTGCGCGGCCTCCAGCGGGCCGCCCGAGGCGGGTCAGGCCTGCCAGGCAGACACCTTGCTCTTCTGCTCTGGAGGCTGAGCCGTTGTCCTGCGCAGCTCTTGCTGTGTCACACCCCAGAACCGGCTTCCTTGCCTGGGGAGAGGGCCCCAGCCCCGTGTCTTGGGGCGCCCAGGGCCCACGGGCTGGTTCGCACAAGCAGGCCCATCGGTGTGGCGGGCAGCGCAGGTCCCCATGCAGCTGCCGCAGGTGTCCCAGGCTGGGTGGCCGGAAGTACCCCTGCCCTGCCCGGGGTGCCCCTGCTGCTGGCCGCCGGCCCCAGGTGACAAGAGAGGCAGACGTTGCCCTCACAGCTACCCCTGCCCAGGACCCATCCCCAGGGGCCAGGCCCCGCCCTTGCAGCCCTGAGCCTGAGGCTCTGCTGCCCAGGACCTTCCCGCTTCTGGGTTGCAGTGTTGCAGGGTGTGGCACGGGGGTCTTTGTCTTTGCCCCCAGGTCGTGACTCGGCTGATTCACCTTTTGGGCGAGAAGATCCTGGGCAGCCTCCAGCAGGGAACTGCCACAGGTGGGGCACCCTTCCACTGCAGCCCTGCCCCCCCACCCCAGGAAGACCCGGGGTACCTCTGGGCGGGCCTGTGGGGCACCTGCGACCTGGTATTGTTATAGGACAGGGAGAGGGGCAGCCCAAACCCCGCAAACCTGCTTATTCTACATGGGTTCTGCCATCCGCCGCATCAACACAAAACATAGGAGACTTTAATGGGAAGGAACTTTAATAAAACTAGGAAACAATACAGGTAAGGCAAAGAGTCTAGTTTCTAAATGAAGCACCCAAAGTTACCCATCCCCTCGTGGGTAAAACTTCATCCATATGGGGTCGGCCCAGAGCAAGGCCCCAAAGCCTGCCACAAGTCTAAAACATCTTCCAGTGGGGACCCACAGAAAAGGGTCACAAACAACCGGACAAGCCCGGAAGGAAAAGAGCAAAGTCAACATCCAAATAAAAGCTGCCATTGTCACCTCCCCATGGGTCTCACCCACATCTGTGTCACCCAGTCCACGACCAAAAGACAAGCGCAGTTTCTTCACGTGTCTCTAGGCTCCATGCGCCTCTTCCAGGTCTCCTGGCTCCATCCTGCTTCCTTTCTCAGTCTCTTCTTCAGCTTCTCCTCTTCCTGCTCAGCTCCACCCTCCCTTGGGTGGGGCAGGAAACCTCCCCCTTTCCTGGGGACCACCCTGTTGCAGTATTGCTGGAAGCGCTTGGTGGCACAGATCTGAGCGGGCGGCCCTGGTACAAGTAGGCCGGGCTGTTCGGCCTGGGGCCCATCCCGCCTCTGAGGGGCCCAGCCCAGAGGGCACTTCAGGACGGAGGGGCGGGGGGGCTCGGGCTGCCGTGCCAGCAGGGCCTGCAGGGCTCCATGTGCAGCAACTCCAACGCCTTTCCTGCTTCTTTGCTCACCCACCTGTCACCATCTGGCTCTGTGGCCCCTGCGGTGGCCCCTTTGCGGCCGAGGTGTACGCTGACTTGGGGGTGGGGGGCAGCAAGCCTGGGGCATTGGCCCCTCGACCCGCCTTGTCCAGATGAGCACGCCGGCAGGCATGCAGGAGGGGCTCTGGCACAGGTGTCCGCCTCGTGTTGCTCTCGACTGTCTGCGGCGGCGGCTGCCCACATCCCTGGACAGGCCCCTGCAGTGTGGAAGGCCGCTTGTGGGGACGCGTGGCTGGTGGTCGGGTTGTGGCTGCCCGTGTTGCTTTCTGCTGCCCCTTATTCTGCTGTCTTCCGAGTTACTTGAATGTTCCATCTTATCAGTCGGCATCTTCCCGAGTCCTTCCAGGGGTGACTGCTGTCCATACCGGCTGCCTGGTGTCCTAAGGCTAGCGCCCGCCACACAGTGAGCAGACCCTGGTGGCTGCCCACACTCACCTGAGTCTTGCTCAGCTGGGCCCTTCCGTGCTCGGGCTCCTGCATGCTGGGCGTAGGCCCTGGTGCCCACCCTCCTCCCCACAGGCAGCCATGGCCACAGGTCACCCGGGGATGCCTGTCGTGAGCCCCTGGGGCCAACACAAAACCCTCTGCTCTTTGCAGGTCATCAGTTTGGTCTGCACAGTGCGGGCAGCAAGTGGGACACGGGAAACCCGGCCAGCAACCTGTCCACAGTGGCCATCATGCCAGCATCTGAGGACGTGCCCCTCACAGCCTTCGCCCTGGAGCTCAAGCATGCCCTCAGTGCCATAGGTGAGCCACCGACACTGCCCCCCACATACACAGCGAACACTGCCTGCCTATGCTCCAGGGCTCGTGGGGCCTGTCCATGTGAGAGGATACTCCATCAGGCGTCCCTGCTTATCTCGATGTAACAGCTCCTGGCTGCCCCTCCAAGATGACTGGGGTGTCCCAGAGGAGATGGTGCTGGGGCACGTGCAGAGGGCCCAGGCAGCAGCTGCGCAGCACTGGCAGGGGCCCGGCTGGAGTCCTGAGCGGGGCTGTGGGCTGGGGGCATGGCCTGGTGGTTCACTCCCGGGCCCAGGTCATCCGTGTGTCGGAGGGTCTGGGAACCTGGCAGAGCGCCCTGCCCTCAGGGCCTTGGACGTGAGCACCGCAGTGCGCATGGGAGATGGGTTTCCTGCTGGACGGGCAGGGGTGTCTGCAGAGGAGACACAAATGCACGTGACTGTCATGGAGCAAAGCTGTGACGGGGTGACACCGCAGACACAGCTGAAGGTCCAAAACGGCTTGCAGAATTGACAGATGCCACCGCCAATGTTTAATATTTAAAAGCTACTCTAGGGGGTGCAGGAAAATCAGTGCCAAAGTGAAAGTCTGAACTGCAGGCGGCAGTCAGCGCCCCCCTGGCCCCAGGCAGCTTCGTGGCATATGCTCCAGGGGCCAGAAGTGCCTTGGTCCTCCCTGGCCTGGCCGGTGTGTCCCTGGGCCTCTCAGGGCTGCAGTGAGACATGTGGCTTCTTAGAAGCTGATTCGTTTCCTTTTTAAAAAACAGCTTTTCCCCTGCAAATAGTTATAGACTCACAGAAAAAGGCAACAGTACTGAAGAGAAATCCGCCTGTCAACATGCTGGACTGCGCTGGCCAGTAGGGACGCCGCCCCCAGGGCCTCCCCGCAGCCCCTGCCATCCCAGAGCCGGCGGCTGTGTCCAGAATGGGCTCGCTGCTTGCACGGTGCGCTCGGCCCCTTTGCCGCTCACCGTGGAAGGGCTCTGGGCCTCCAGTTTGGGGGTGGCCCAGCAGAACTCTGTGAGCACCTGTGTCCGGTCCGTGCGTGGTCTCGGGGGCTCTGACGGCCGATGCGGGGCATCCGGGCCTTCCTGGCCAGGGTGCTGGGCCAGCCAAAGACCCTGTGGGGAACCTGACTCCATTCCACGGTGGTGTGACCAATGTGCGTCCCGGCCTGCGGGGAAAGGCGAGGCTGTGGTGCTTACAAGAGCCTCCCTGCTACCCCAGTCCCTTGGCCGCCTGGCCTCTCCTGTGGCTCCACCTCAAGCCACTTGTGGCAGGTGCCTTTTATGCACCACGTGCTTCCGGGCTCGTGGAATGGACCAATCAGGTGTGAGCTATGAACAGATTGGTGCTAAATGGTCCAGTCAGCCACAGGACTGAAAAAAACGGTCCAATCAGACTTGTGGGTGGGGCACCCAGAGAGAGGATATAAGCCAGGGTCAGTGGTAGAGAGGGACATACGGTTGCAGCCTATAGGCCAGTGCTGTCCAGATGCCTGGTGACCAGTGGTGACCATCCTTACTGGCCAGTGCTGTGCAGACTCCAGGTCACTGGTGGCAACCATCCCTACTAGCCAGTGCTGTCCAGATGCCTGGTGACCAGTGGTGACCATTCCTACTGGCCTGTACTGTCCAGACTCTTGGTCACTGGTGGTGCCCATCCCTAAAGGCTAGTGCCATCCAGTGTGTTGACAAGCGGACGGCACTCTGCTTACTTCTGAACACGGTGACACAATCTGGGTGAGGCCACTTGTGGCCACAGTGAGCCCTTGTCCCCTGTGTAAGCCCCAAGGTGGTAATTCCTGGAGCCCAAGGCTTCCTGCAGTTGCGTGGGTGAGAGCTGCGGACGGTGGCCTGACTTTTGTCGGGCCCCAGCCTTTGGTCAGCCACAGCCCATAGAATTAAGAGCTTATTTTTTCAAAAGACATCATTGAAAGAATAAAAGAGGAAGCAGAGGAGCCTTGGTGCAGTGTCAGCCTCCAAGAAGGCCTCCAAACTCTGGGAAGGACAGTGCCCCTCAGCTTCCGGGCCTGCGCCGGGTCGTGGCCCTAGCCCTCAGCTCCACAGTCAGCAGGCTGGACCCTGAGCTGCAGGGGAGCGGTGGGGTGGGGGGGGCGCGACAGTGTGCCGCAGCCGGAGGGGACCCAGCCAACCTCCCGGCCTGGTTGCGGGGAGTCTGCCTCTGCCATTTTCAGAACCCCCCCCGCCCCGCCCCCACAGTCTCAGGCGCCACTGGGACCTTCTTGCTCATTTGGAGACGGGACTTAATTCAGAGAGGCCGTCCCTGTGCCCAGTGGGCTGGGTGGCTGCTCTCCCGGCTACAGTGCCCGGGCCTGCTTCTGCACTGACCGGGCCTCCTCAGGTGGAGAGCGCTCGGTCAGCCCAGCGGCCCTTCCGCCCCAGCTGGGCGTGCCGCTCGCTGCTGTCCAGAAGAGCCAGCCTCCGTGAGTTCCCTGCCCTCGCCAGGCTGCACTCACAGGCCTGCTGGTGCAGAGGTGGACCCAGGCCACATGCCGTCCATGCTGTGTTTCCAGGCCCCACCTTGCTGCTGACCAGTGACAACATTAAACAGCGTCTGGGCTCTGCTGCTCTGGACAGGTGCTGCCGCCTCGGAGGGGACAGATGGGAAGTGTGCCCACATCTGCCCCGCACTGGCCCCTGTTGGCATGCCCACCCACGCCCTGTCCGCACCCACATCTGCACCCCATCCTCATTCTCCTTGTCCTCACCCTCTGCCCCTGCAGCTGTGCTGTGGCGGGGAGGTGACGGCCAGGGTTGTCAGCCTGTTGTCTCCCCTGGGGCCCGAAACCTTTGTCGCCGGTGGCGGCAGCAGCCCCTGGACCCACAGAGAGACCCCACACCCCAGCCCTGCCCCAGCTCGCCCTGGCCCTGGAGCACCCACAGGGTGGGGCAGGGTGGTGGGCGCTGGCCTTGGCACCGCTCCGGGGATGCCAAGCCAGGCTCCTGCCTTGCAGCCTCCACGAGTACCGGCTGTCCAGCTGGCTGGGACAGCAGGAAGATGTCCACCGCATTGTGCTCTACCAGGCGGACAGCACGCTCACGCCCTGGACGCAGCGTTGCATACGGCAGGCTGACTGCATCCTCATTGTGGGCCTGGGCGAGCAGGAGCCCACCGTGGGCGAGGTTTGCGGGGGGCCTGGCGGGCCTGTCCAACACTGCCTGGGTCCCTGCTTGTGCGCCCCACCTCCGCGAGCCAGCCAGCGGCAGCAGCCCCCTCCCCTGCAGCTAGCCGAGGCCGAGTGCCAGCTCTGCCCTAGGCCACGGGCAGCAGCCACATGGCCTCAGGGCGCTGCATCCCATGGCTGGTGCCATCCCCGCTGCGCTGGGTGCAGCCCGGGCCCCCCCAGTTCTGCGCAGCCCCAGCTTTATGGTGGGGGCCGGAGCCTGTGTGTCCTGCCCCCTGTCCCCCCTCACCTATGCCCCCTCATCCTGGGCAGCTGGAGCGGATGCTGGAGAGCTCGGCCGTGCGCGCGCAGAAGCAGCTGGTCCTGCTGCACCGGGAGGACGGGCCAGCCCCTGCCCGCACTGTGGACTGGCTCAACATGCGGGGCTGGTGCTCCGGCCACTTGCACCTCCGCTGCCCGCGCCGCGTCTTCTCCCGGAGGAGCCTGCCCAGGCTGGTGAGGCCCGGCTGGGCAGGGTGCCCGGGGCTGGCGCTGGGCTCAGCTCTCCCCTCTGCGGGGTCTGCTGCTCTGGCAGAGCCCGCCAGACCACAGCGCTCTTCTGGTGGCCTGGAGACTGGGCTGCGCAGGGGCAGCACCCGCCTAGCCATGCTCGGTGGGCCAGGGTCGGGTCCAGGGTGGCTTCAGCCAGGGCCTGGGCTTGGCTGCCTTAGAGCCCAGGGGCATGTGGCTCGGCCTCTGCTCCTCCCGCCCACCCATGTGCTCTCTGCGGGGTCCCTTGAGCTAAGGGGGGCTGCCTTTGGGGTGTGGCCCAGGTGGCTTTCGGACCCAGGGCTCTCTGCGCCCTTGGGTGGGGAGGGAGACCGTTGCTCAGGGCAGGCGGTGGGGCCTCGCGGGGCGGCCCCGCCGACCTGGGCCTGCCGCACCCTCGCAGGTGGAGATGTACGAGCGTGTCTTTCAGCGGGCCCCAGACCGGCACTCGGACTTCTCCCGCCTGGCACGCGTGCTGACGGGCAACGCCATCGCGTTGGTGCTCGGGGGCGGAGGAGCCAGGTGCGTGCGCCCCTCCCACGCGGTTCCCAGGGCGAGCATGACTGTGTTGGCACCCGCGGTGGGCGGGGAGACCCCAGCCCCGCCTCCTGCCGGCCCCGCACCCCTGCCGGCCTGCCGGCCCGCCCCCAACCCACTCTGGCCCCAGCCCCGCGCAGCGCGCGCCCCGAGCTCCCACGCGTCCGCCCCTGAATGCTCTGCTCTTGCCCTTGCCAGTCCTCCCTCTGGGCGGCAGGTGAGTCTCTCCGTTCTGTGTGCGGCTCGTGGGGGACGGGCGGCCGCGCTCTGCCTGCGGCCGGTGCCTCTTGTGCCCCAGCTTCCTCTCAGATGTGCCCGCCTGTCCCCAGCTTGTTAGAGAAGGGCGCCCGGGCAGAGTGGGAGCCCGGGCACCGTGCCAGGCCAGGCTGCCCAGGTGCGGGAGGGGCACTCGTTGCGGGAGGGAGGACAGGCCTTGGGTGGCCCCGGGCCCCTCTGCACGCTCGCTCCGCTCGGCGTGTGGGCCCTGCAGGCGCCGGCCACCTCTCCCTGGTGTCCGGCAGAGGTGCCTGGACGTCCCTCTCTGGACAGCAGGAGGACGCGACCCCGCAGGGTGTTCGCCGCGGTCACCTGCACACGCCCCAGCCCGGCCCGACTCCCAGAGGCCGACGCTGGTTGGGGGGCTCCAGCAGCCCCGCAGGAAGGGCCCCGCCGGCTGATGACAGCTCCTGTGCTCAGTCAAGAAGTGGGTGCCGCCCCCCGGGCCCTGCCCCAGCCGGTCCCGGGCCCCCTCCCAGCGTGCTTGCTGCTGGGGCCGCGCAGCGCTGCTGGGCGAGAGCTGTCCGCCCGGGCCCTCCCTGCGGCGCAGGCCTGGCTGGACCGGGTGCGGGGCCTGGGGTCAGGGGCCTGGGGGGGGCCGGGCGGGGCACTTGCCCTGGGCTTCCCACGCGCATGGCCCGCCCCCTCTGCCGGCCCGCGTGTCCACCCTCAGCCGGCCGTGGAGCGCCCCCTGCCCACGCTCGGATGCCCCTGCTCGCACTCGGTGGGCCCCGCGGCACCGGCACGCCCCGGGTGTCGTCAGCCGGCGGGGACTTGCAGGCCCAGGCGCCCGCTGGGTCCGGCCGCGCCCGGCCCCGCCCCCTGCTGCTGACCGCGCCGCGGAGTCGCCTGGGCCTCGCTGGGCCGCCGTCCCGGGAGTGCCCCTGTCGTGCGCCCCGGGCCCCCCCACCTCGCCCATATCCCGGGCCAGGTCCCCTTTTCTTGCTGCGCCCAAGTCTGGCCGAGTCCATGCTCTCCGAGATTCTCAAGAGGAGACAAACGGGAGGTCAAAGCCCAGGGCCCGTGTGCAGGGCGGCGGCCCGACCCCAGAAGGCGGCTGCAGTGGACATCGGGGAGCAGTGACTCCCTGGGGGTTTCATGGCCGCCTCCCCCAGGCTGCTGCGGAGCAAGGCCTGTTCCTCCTGGGCCTCGGAGCAAGCCTGCTGACCCTTGCTCTGGGCCGACCAGACATGCGTGGTGTAGCTGTACCCCTCACGCTGGGCAGGGGCCGTTGGGCCGGTCAGCGTGGCCACTGGTCATGTATCTGCCCCAGGCCGGGCCTCTCGGTCTCTTCCCACCCACGTTTCCCGTCTCAAACTTTTTGTCCTACTTCTGGGTAACTCCTCAGATGTCCTCCGACTGCCGTCACCTGCTAAAATTACTCTGAGTGCTTTTGCCGACTTTCCCCCGCTGGCCCACCGGTGCCTCGCTGGGTTTCTCGGAGCACGTCCGGCCTGCGGCCTGCCTCGCTGCCCTGGGCAGGCCTCCGGCTGGGGCGACCCATGCTGAGCCCGCTCTGTCCTGCCCGGCTCTGCGCGCTGCACCTGCCCACAACACTCGTGCTGTGTTCTGGGTCTGCTCGGAGGGTCAAAGCTGCTGTCCCCGTCCTGGGACAGCTCCCTCGAGGCCGCGCTGGCCTCCCATGCGCGAGGCGCTCCCTGGCCAAATGCTCCGGCCTATGCCTTACCTGCAGGGTGTTGGGGCACTGCCGCCTCTCCGCCAGCCTGGAGGGTCCGTGTGCTGGGCGCTGGCAGCTCGGTGGGTATGGGGCCCTGCCATGGCCAGTGCCCACGCCAGCTATGCCTGTGAGTGCTCTGCTGGCCTGTGAGGGTGGCGGGCTCAGCATCCCCGGTTCAGCATGTGGCCAGTGGGTGCACTGGCCCTCACGCTGTCTGCACCTTGCGCACCCCGCGAGGGCTTACGCTGAGCAGGGTCTGGCCAAGTGGCTCCGGTTTCTGCAGGGGCCTACTCCAGCACGCTTCCCTGCGGGGCGTGGAGGCTGTCTGCCTTTCCTCCAGCGAGTGCGAGTCTGGCGGGTACGTTGGGTCTGTCACGTTCATTTTTCTGTTTCTCCAAGACTGTGCCCTCAGCCCAGTTGCTGTGGTGCTGTCAAAGCCCCGGCCTGTGCATTGTGTGCCCTGGTGGCCCAGAGCTGCGAGCGGGGTAGCTCCGGCAGCGCCGGGTGCACTGGCTGGTCTAGGCCCTTTCTGTGTGTGCTGTGGTGTCTGCTGTCAGTGTCCACTGAGCGAGGCGCTGCGTGGGCTGGTGGGTAGCATGGAGGTCGGGCTGCAGTGGGTGGAGCTAGTGTGGGGGTGGGGTTGCAGTGAGGGTGGGGCTGGCTTGGGGGCTGGTCGGGCAGGCCCACCCTTGGGCTAATGAGGGCGGTGCCGGCGTCCAGCATCTCAGGACCCTGGAGGGTGAGCAGGGCCGACTGGGTGCTCCACTCCGGCTCGGCGTGCCCAGGGGGAGGGCTGGGGAGGAGCGCGGAGTGGCCGTCCCTTCCCAGCCCGGGCCGCAGGGCGTGGGCGAGGCCGCTTGGCTGGTCACGACTGGGCCGGTTGGGGCCGTGCTGCGCCTGTGCGCCCAGCGCCGTCTTTGTTCTCGCTGGCCTGATGCGCTGTGTGGACCGTGCGGGGTTTGCCTTTGGTCTGTGCCTGAAATGCGCGGCCTTTCTGGACTGAGCGCCGCCCGCGCGGCTCTGACGCCTTCCCCAACGGGCTGGACTTTGTTCCTGCCCCAGTTTTCCCTCCTCCTGCCGGGCCCAGCGTCCTGGCCCTGCGGCTGCCTGGCGCCCACGCGGTCTCAACCGCAGCCTGGTCTCCCGGCCGAGCTTTCCCTCTGGGCCGGCGCCGAGTGTGGCTTTGTCTCCCGTGACCCCCGCGCCTTTTCCCTCGTGTGACGCTGCGCGCAGGAGTCTCCGGCGGGGCGCGGGGCGCGGGGCGCGGGGCGCGGGGCGAGGGGCGCGCCCTCCTGTCGCCAGACGTGGCGCTGCCGAGTCCAGAGCGCAGCGTCTTGGCGGCCGGGCCGGGCCCCCTCGGGGCTCCGAGAGTGGGGCCGCGGGGTCGTCCTCTCCCGCGTCGCGTCCTTCGCCCACCGCGGCGCCGGGTGCGGACTGTCCTGGCTCCTGGGGCCGCGCCGGCCTCCTCGCGGGCCGGCCTCCCCGCCGCGCCCCGCGCCCCCCGCCCCGCGCTGGCGGCTGTGGGCGAGCGGCCGAGGCGAGGAGGAAGGGGGCGAGGGCCGCGCCGGGTGCTGGCGGCGATCTGGCTTCCACGCAGGCTGCAGCCGCGGGCCGGTCCCCGCGAGGCCCTCCTGTGTCTGGCCGCGGGCCGGCCCGGGCCCTCCCCGCGGGGCCTGGGACCGCCGCTCGGAGCACGCCCCGCACCCGCGCCCCGCCCGCGCCCCCGCCTCGGGCCGCCAGCGCCGTCCCGCACTATTGCCGGCCGCAGTGGCCTCCTTCTGCCCCGCTCTCCGCCCCTCGCGGTGGGCACGGAGGGGCGTGGCGCGGAGGGGGCGGGGGCGTGGCGCGGAGGGGCGGGGACGTGGCGCGGAGGGGGCGGGGGCGTGGCGCGGAGGGGCGTGGCGTGGCGCGGAGGGGGCGGGGGCGTGGCGCGGAGGGGGCGGGGGCGTGGCGTGGAAGGGGCGGGGGCGTGGCGCGGAGGGGCGGGGCGTGGCGCGGAGGGGGCGGGGGCGTGGCGCGGAGGGGGCGGGGCGTGGCGCGGAGGGGGCGGGGCGTGGCGCGGAGGGGCGGGGCGTGGGGCGCGGCGCGGAGGGGGCGCGCTGTGGAGGAGGGTCGGGGCGCTGCGCTGCTCCCTGGGCGCTCAGCGCTGCGCTGTGCCCCCGGCACAGAGGCTGTGCCCAGGTCGGCATCATCCGGGCCCTGGCCGAGTGCGGCATCCCCGTGGACATGGTGGGAGGGACGTCCATCGGGGCCTTCATGGGCGCCCTGTACGCCGAGGAGCGGAGCTACAGCCAGACCCGGATCCGCGCCAAGCAGTGGGCCGAGGTGAGGGCCCGGGGCCGCGCCTTCCTGCCGCCGTGAAGAGGGCAGCGTGGGGAGGTCCCCGCCGCTGAGGGTCAAGGGTGGCACCCATTCTTGCGGTCGCCTTGGGAACAGGGCGCCACACTGCGCTGGCGGCTCCCGGGCCCTGGAGGGGGTGCGGGGAGGCGAGGGCGGCTGCCCTGGGGTAGAGGCCACGGGGGCTCTGGCAGCTGGAGGCGGCCCAGGCGGCTCTCGAGCGGGACATTGCGGGTGAAACCGTGAGTGGGGCCGAAGCGCAGGTCTCTCAGGAAGAGAAGAAAGGGTCGTCCTCTCAGGACAGAAGCTCCCAGCAAGGCCTGTGCCGGCACAGCCCCGGGGACATGGCACAGGCACCCCCTGCTCAGAGCCTTCTTACCAAAATGAGCCCCCCCACGGCAAGGCAGCTCAAGGACAGGCCCCGGGGGACCCAAGGACAGTCTCTGAGCGGCCACCAGGGCCCGGTCACCGCAGGCTGGCTGGTCCTTGCCCTGCCCTGCCCTGCCCTGCCCCTACGGGTTGGGCCACAGTGGGCTCGCCGCCAGGTACCCTCTACCTGCGGATGCTCGTGGGCTCGCACCCCACATGCGGGGTGGCGCTGCAGGAACTCCATGGCCAGAAGACGGGCAGGCCATGGTGGTCTTCCCTGCGGCTGCCCCCGCGCAGCTGCCTGGGCACCTGCCCTGCCCCAGCAGGGCTGAGGCCTCCTCACAGAGGGGACAGCTCATCCCGCCTGAGGGCCCTGCAGCACCACAGGGCTCGCCCGCCATCCCCAGGAGGCTGCACTGCTCTTGGGCGGCTCCGCTCAGCTGCCAGCACTCGCCCCGCTGCTGGGACCCGGCTCCCGCCCGGGGGCCTCATTTGCACCCTGCTCCTCAGGACATGACGTCGATGGTGAAGACCGTGCTGGACCTGACCTACCCCATCACCTCCATGTTCTCGGGGGCCGGTTTCAACAGCAGCGTCAGCAGCGTCTTCAAGGACCGGCAGATTGAGGTGTCCTCCCCAGCAGGGGCGCCCCAAGGGCCCAGGGGGCGCTGCAGGCGCCCAGGACGCTCAGCCCTGCTTGGCCCCTTGCGCCCAGGCCCACGGTGGGGCACCGGGAGGCGGCCTCTGACCCTCTCCTCCACAGGACCTGTGGCTCCCTTATTTCACAATCACCACAGACATCACGGCTTCCGCCATGCGGGTGCACACGGACGGTGAGCACTGGGCCTGGGCAGGCCTGGCGACTTGGGATGGGCCCCGAGGGCCAGGCAGGCCCCGGGGTGAGGGGACTGGCATGTTGGGGGAGCGGAGGGCGCACTCAGGGCTGGGCAGGGCTCCCACGGCTGGAAGCAGGGAGGTACTGCCTGTGTGGGTGTCCTTGGCAAGGGCCTCGCTGTGCCAGGTCTCTGCAGGGCCCCCAGGCTGCCCAGGGGAGAACAGGCCACGTGGGCCCTTCCTTGCCCCGGGCTGGGTGACCACAGGGAGGGAGTGTATGGTGGACACCTCTGGCCTCTGCAGGCTCCCTGTGGAGGTACGTGCGAGCCAGTATGTCCCTGTCGGGCTACATGCCCCCCCTCTGTGACCCCAAAGACGGACACCTGCTGATGGACGGCGGCTACATCAACAATCTCCCAGGTACTGTGTGGCGGGGTGGAGGGGATGGGAGGGATGGGGGCAACCCTGGCCAGCGCCCTCTCTGGGCACTCCTGCCTGCACCGAGGGGGTCGAAGCCTGTGCACTGCCCGGCCCCACGTGGCCAGAGTGTCTGGCTCAGGTGGTCGGCTCAGAGGCGTCGGGACAAGGGCAGTGAGGGCCTGTTCTGGTGCCATCGGGGGCTGACAGGCCGCGGCATGTCACTGGCGCTCACCTGGGCAGCTCTGGCAGCTGCCCAGAGGCCTGGCCTGGGGGGCTCCGTGCTGCCCTAGATCCTGCCTGCCGTGGCGGTCACCAGGCCTGCGGTCACCAGGCTGTCTCCTCCCCCAGCGGATGTGGCCAGGTCCATGGGCGCCAAGGTAGTGATTGCCATCGACGTGGGCAGCCGGGACGAGACGGACCTCACCAACTACGGCGACGCGCTGTCCGGGTGGTGGCTGCTCTGGAAGCGCTGGAACCCGCTGGCCACCAAAGTCAAGGTGGGCGGTGCCCGGCCTCCTGCCCTCCAGCCTGCGGGGAGACAGCTTCCTCCTCCCTCCCCCGCCCCCAGACCAGCTGGGGGAGGGGTGGGGCTGGGGACCCCGCCCCACACTGGTCCCCAGGCTGGGAAGACTCAGGGGAGGGGTGCGGGGTGCTCAGGAGGCGGCACCCACAGGTGCTGAACATGGCGGAGATCCAGGCCCGCCTGGCCTACGTGTGCTGCGTGCGGCAGCTGGAGCTGGTGCGCAGCAGCGACTACTGCGAGTGCCTGCGCCCGCCCATCGACGGCTACCGCACCCTGGACTTCGGCAAGTTCGACGAGATCTGCGTGAGTGCCCGGGCGGGGTGGGCAGGCCCGGCCGCGCGGCCGCCGGTCACGGGCCTGCCGTGCGCGCAGGAGGTGGGGTACCGGCACGGGCGGACCGTGTTCGACATCTGGGGGCGCAGCGGCGTGCTGGAGAAGATGCTGCAGGACCGGCAGGGCCCCCGTAGGATGAAGGCGCGGGACGTGAGTGTGCGCGGCTGGGCCGCTCCCCGGGGGCCACAGAGCAGGGGGCGGCCCAGCCCCACGGCCGCGAGGCCGACCGCTGTCGCCCGCCTCGCGCCCCAGGTGCCCGCCTGCCCCAGCGCCTCCTTCACCGACCTCGCGGAGATCGTGTCCCGGATCGAGCCCGTCGCGGCGGCCTCTGCGGACGGTGAGCCGGCGCCGGGCTCGCGCGCGGGGCGGGGGCGGCCCGCGGGTTCTGGGGTCCGGCCCGCGCCCAGCACGGGCGCTGACGGCCGCCGCCGCCCAGATGAGTCCGACTACCAGACGGAGTGCGAGGAGGAGCTGCCGGGCGGGCCCCAGGACGCCTACGCCGACTTCCAGAGCGCCCCGGCCGCCGCGGGCTCCGACTCGGTGAGCCGCGGGCCCGCCCGAGCGCGGCTGGACGGCGCGCCCGCCTCCCCTGACGGTCGTGTCCGCTTGGCTTCCAGGAGGACGAGCCGGCGCTGCGGCGGCGGCGGGACCCGCCCCCGGACCCGGACCCGCCCCGGGACGCCTCGGCCCCCGGGCGCGCTGACCGCGGCGGGGCGCGCTGACCGGTGCTCGGCGGAGACCGCGCCGCAGCCTCGGGCGTCCCCGCCCCCCCGGACGCGGGCCGCAAGCGGGCGGCTGGGGGGCGGGGGCTCTGGGCACCCCGTGCCAGCCCTGCGGGCGGCGCTGCTGCCGCGGAATAAAGGCGGAGCCTCGCGCAGGCCGTGGTCCCTGGGGCGCCGCGCGCGGGGCGCGGGGGGCGGGCGGCCGGGGGGTCGCGGGGGGGGGGGGCGGGCGGCCGCGGGGGCGGGGGGCGCCGGGCGCGGGGGCGCGGGGGGGGGGCGACACCGCCGCTCCGGGAAGGGCCAGCGCCGGGGAGCGGGGGGGGGGGGGGCGGGCCGGCGGGCGCGCGACCTCGGGGTCCCACCGGGAGCCCCGCCCCGTGACGCCGCGTGACGCCGCGTGACGCGGGGGCGGAGCGCGCGCGGGCCGGCGGGCTGCGGTGGACGCGGAGGGCGGCCGGCGCGGCCATGCGGGTCCCGGGCTGCGGTCCGCGCGCCAGCCCCGGCCCCCGCCCCGGCCCCCGCCCCGGCCCTGCCCCGGCCCCGGCCCCGGCGCGGCGCGGCGACCCCGGCGGAGGCGGCGGGCGCGGGGCGCGCTCTGAGCCCGGGATGCGCGGCCGCCCCGACCATGGGCGTCGCCGCCTCCCGGAGGAGGGCGCTGCGCAGCGAGGCCATGTCCTCCGTGGCGGCCAAAGTGCGGTGAGTGCGCGGGGCCGCGGGGGCGCGGGGCGCCGGGCCGGGCGGCCGCGCTGAGGCGTCGCTGTCCCTGCAGCGCGGCGCGGGCCTTCGGCGAGTACCTGTCCCAGACGCACCCCGAGGGCCGCAACGGCGCAGGTAGGGCCCGGCCCGGGCGCGCTGCCCCGCGGCCGCGGCCGGCGGGAGGGGGCCGGGCGGGCGCGCGCCCCTGCCCGCCCTGGCCCGGAGCCGCGGGCGGAGCTGCGAGTCACCCGTCACCATGGCACCCACCCAGCCGGGCTGTTGGCATGGCAACAGGCCTCCTGGCGCCCCGGGGCTGGCACCGCGTCTCGGGGGGCCAGCTGGCGGGGGGGAGGGGCGGGGCGGGGAGGCGCTGGGCGCGCGGCCGCGGCGGGAGGACGGCCTGTGCCTTCCGCGCCGGGCCCCACACCGCCGGGACGCGGGCCTGGGAGGTCGCGGCTCAGAAACACCCCTTTGGGAGACGCTGGGCCGTGCAGTGGGGGCCACAGCCCCGACTGCCCCGCCTGGGCCCCCGGGGTGCTCCCCGCACTCCGTGCAGCCGCAGAGCGCGAGGGCAGGTGGGGCAGGGGGCTGCGGCTCACCGGGCCCCTCTCCCTAGACCACCTGCTGGCCGACGCCTACTCTGGCCACGACGGGTCCCCCGAGATGCAGCCAGCCCCCCAGAACAAGCGCCGCCTCTCTGTCGTCTCCAACGGCCGCTGTGAGGGCAGCCTCTCGGAGGGGACCGGCGGAGGGAAGCCGGCCGGGGAGGGGCCCCAGCCTCGCGTGTACACCATCTCCGGGGAGCCCGCCCTGCTGCCCAGCCCCGGGGCCGAGGCCATCGAGCTGGCCGTGGTGAAGGGGCGGCGGCAGCGGGAGCGGCACCCCCACCACCACAGCCAGCCCCTGCGCACCAGCCCCGGTGGCAGCCACGAGGACATCAGCAGGCCCTGCCAGAGCTGGGCGGGCAGCCGCCAGGGCTCCAAGGAGTGTCCCGGCTGCGCCCAGTTGGTCTCCGGGCCCTCCCCTCGGGCCTTTGGGCTGGAGCAGGCACCGCTGCCCGAGGCCGCCAGCCGCCGCAAAAAGCTGGAGAGGATGTACAGTGTCGACCGCATGTCTGGTGAGGGCCGCGGGCGTGGGCGCCAGGACGCAGCGGGGCCTCGGAACAGGCAGGGGCCCAGCCGCAGCACGGCGGTCCCCGGGGGTTCAGTCCCTGGCCTGGCCTCGTCCCACACCCCAGGCTCTGTGCCGTCACCCGGGTCCCCCGCCTCAGCAGAGCGCTGCCCGTCTGGCGGTCAACTTTGGCCCTGCCAGCACGCTGAGTGGTCGACGGGGGCGCCTGGGATGATTTTGGGCGTTGAGCAGGCAGGAGACGTGGTTTAATTTGCAGAGTGGGCTGCCTTTGGGGAGACAGGGGGTCAGTTCCTGCCCCAGGCCCCCCAGTGGGCTCCCGCTCACCTCAGAGGACCACAGAGCTCTCGCCCCGAGGCTGCCTGTACCGGACCGGTCTCCCCGGCCCCCGGCCTGAGGGCGCTGAGGCCCTCACAGGGCAGAGCTCTCACCAGTGAGCACCTCCACCTCCTGGGGCACTTGCACCCCGAGGCAGCCGCCTGCCCAGCGCTGCGCTCAGGCCAAGGTGGCAGGCAGGGTGGCGGCCCCCAGCATGGCAGACCCCCACGGGGGAGGCTCTTCCCCTCCTCCTGCTCAGACAGGGCAGTGTCTGGGCTGCCTAGGTAGCCCTGGAGAGTCTGGCCAGTGTCCCTCCTGCCAGGGAGAGGAGGGATCCTCTCCGCAGGTCCCTGGAGACAGGCTGTGCTTTCAAAGGAACGCTCCGGGCTCTGTGGGCAGCCGGGCAGGGGGTGGGGAGGTCTGAGCAGCCAGAGCAGCATCACGACGTGGCGCCTGCACAGCTGAGCACACGCTGCCTGTGGCGCCATGCCAGCCGCCGCCTCCGCTGCAGGGCTGCTCCCGCACTGAGGACGCCCCCCCTTGACAGCCAGGCGGCAGGCTGTGTGGCCCGGGCCCCATCACGCCCTTGTGTCTTCCCAGATGACACCCCCATCCGCACCTGGTTCCCCAAGGAAAATCTCTTCAGCTTTCAGACGGCGACCACAACTATGCAAGCGTGAGTGGCGCCCGCGCCCTCCAGCCCCCGGGGCGTGCCCTGTGCCAGCACCGCAGCTAGGCCCTCACCCGCATTCCGGTCCCTGCCCGGCACCTTCCCAGCCGCCCGGAGCCCACCGGGGCCCACAGCCCGCTCGCTCCCCTCCCCGCCCCAGCCGCACCCTCGCCGGTGCCGGACTGCAGCCTGCCTGCGACTGGATGGCCTCGCTGGCCACAGCCCCGGGCACCTCAGGCTCCCCAGACCCATGCCCGCACCCTGGCGGGCGCCTCTGCTGCTGCCCCAGACCCACGAGCACGAGGGCTCTGTGTGGGCACGGCCCATACCCGGCCAGGCTCCTCTGGGGGCCCCGGGGTGGGCGGCGGGGGGTGGGGGGCAGCCGGCGGCGGCTCACCCTGTCTTCTCTCCCACGCTGCCCCCTCCCGCTCGGCGCAGCATCTCGTAAGTACCCGCGGGCCGCCTGGGCGCGGCGCCCTGGGGACCCGCGCCCCGGGTCTGGGCAGGCCAGGAGGCGGGGTCTTGAGTGAGGGGCGCACGGGCCGGCGGGCCGGGCCGAGGCGGGCCGGAGGCGGCCGGGCCCGCGGGTCCGAGGCCCCGCCGCGCCGGCCCGCCCCGCCCGGTGCCGCTGACGGGCGCTGGTTTCCCAGGGTGTTCAGGGGCTACGCGGAGAGGAAGCGCCGGAAGCGGGAGAGCGAGTCCGCGTCCGTGATCCAGAGGTAGGGCCGGCCAGCGTCGCCTCCGGGCCCGGCGCGGGTCTGCGGGTCTGCGGCTCGGCGCCCGCAGCCGGGGGGTGGTGGCGACGCTGGCCGGGCCCTGCCCTGGGGACGCGCCGGCGGAGGGGCCGGGGCTGGCGCGCCACGCTGCCCCGCGGCCGCCGGCCCGGCCCGGCCCGGCCCGGCCCCGCCCCAGACGCGCCGCCGCGGGCCGCCCCCTCGGCGCGGGCGGGCGGGCGGGCGGCCCCGGCCCGGGAGGGGCCCCGGGTCGCGCCTCCGCCGGCCGCCGCGGAGGGCGCGGGGGCGCGGCCGGGGCTTCCGAGGCGGGCGCCGGGAGGGCTGCGGGCTCCGCCCCGGGCGGCCTCAGCGGCCTGTGCTCCCGCAGGAACTTCCGCAAGCACCTGCGCATGGTCGGCAGCCGCCGCGTCAAGGCCCAGAGTAAGCGGCGCGCGGGGCTCCCCGGCTTCGCGCTGCCCCCGCCCGCGCCGGCCCCCCGCGCCCCGGCCGGCCCCCCGCGTGCCCCGCTCCCAGCCCGCACGGCCCCGGCCGGCCACGCCCCCACCCCGCACGGCCACACCCCCGCGCCAGGCCACGGCCCCGCCCCCGCGCCAGGCCACGCCCCCGCCCGCACGGCCCTGCGCCAGGCCACGGCCCCGCCCCCGCGCCAGGCCACGCCCCCACCCGCACGCCCCTGCGCCAGGCCACGGCCCCGCGCCCGCGCCAGGCCCCGCCCCCACCCGCACGGCCACGCCCCCGCCCGCACGGCCCCGCCCGCTCGCTGACCCGGCCCCTCCCGCAGCCTTCGCCGAGCGGCGCGAGCGGAGCTTCAGCCGGTCCTGGAGCGACCCCACCCCCATGAAAGCCGACACCTCCCACGACTCCCGCGACAGTAGGTGCCCGGCGCCCGCCCGCGCTTGGGCCGCCGCCCCGGGCCGCCGCCGCCGCTCGCCCCGCGGCCCCCGCACCCCCCGCACCCCGCCCCCGCCTGGGCGCTGGCCGGCCGCTGACCGTCCCGCCCCGCAGGTGGCGACCTGCAGGGCTCCCGCTGCGCCCTGGGCGAGCCCTTCGAGGACGCGGACTGGGAGGCCGAGAAGGGCCTGGAGGCGGCCGTGTGCGCCGCGGAGGGCTTCCTGCCCCCCAAGGTCATGGTGAGCCCCCCGCCCCCCGCCCCGCCCGCCCTCGAGCGCGCCGCTGCCCCGCGGAGGGCGCCCGCAGGGCCTGAGCAGCCGCCTGTCCCCCCAGCTCATCTCGTCCAAGGTGCCCCGGGCCGAGTACATCCCCACCATCATCCGCAGGGACGACCCGTCCATCATCCCCATCCTCTACGTGAGTGCCCCCCATGCTCCCCATCCTGTCGCGAGTGCCTCCCCCCCCCCGCCGGGAGCTCCCCCTGCTCTAGTGAGCGTCCCCCGCTGTGCTTCCAGCCTCTCGTGAGTGCCCCCCACGCCCCCCAGATGCTCCCCCCATTCTCTAGTGAGCGCCCCCCCCCCGCCCGGGCGCTGACCGCCGGCGCTGAAGGGCCTGTGTCTGCCCCAGGACCACGAGCACGCCACCTTTGAGGACATCCTGGGTACGTGCCCCGCGTCCGCTGGCCCAGCCCGGGGGGTGAGGGGTGCCCGGCGCTCACACCGCTCCCCCTGCAGAGGAGATCGAGAGGAAGCTGAACGTCTACCACAAGGGCGCCAAGATCTGGAAGATGCTCATTTTCTGCCAGGTAGGGCTCCCGCCCGGGGCGCCCCCACGGGGCTCCGGGCAGCCCTCAAGCGCCCTCTCCTGCGTCTGCGCAGGGCGGCCCCGGGCATCTGTACCTGCTCAGGAACAAGGTGGCCACCTTCGCCAAGGTGGAGAAGGAGGACGACATGATCCAGTGAGGCGGGGCCCGGGGGGGGCGGGCGTGGATGGGGCCCGGCGGGGCCCCGCGTGCCTGATCTTGCCCTCCCCCAGCTTCTGGAAGCGGCTGAGCCGCCTCATGAGCAAAGTGAACCCCGAGCCGAACGTCATCCACGTGATGGGCTGCTACGTCCTGGGCAACCCCAATGGGGAGAAGGTACACGCCCCGGTTCTGGGCCCCGGCGCCCAAGGAACGGCCTCTCCGCGGGTGCCCTTTGCTCTCCCCTCCATCCCCACGGCGCCCCCGGGCCTGACGCAGGCTGGTCTGGGCTGGTCCCCCCTCCTTCTCCGAGCTCACGGCCCCCTCCTCTTTCCAGCTGTTCCAGAACCTCAGGACCCTCATGACTCCTTACAGGGTCACCTTCGAGTCCCCCCTGGAGCTGTCGGCCCAAGGTGAGCCTGCGTCCCTCCAGCAGCAGGTAGGGCCGCGCCCTGGTTCTGGCACCCCCCGCTGAGCCGCCCACTCGCCCCTGCCCCAGGGAAGCAGATGATCGAGACCTACTTCGACTTCCGGCTGTACCGGCTGTGGAAGAGCCGCCAGCACTCCAAGCTGCTGGACCTGGAGGACGTCCTGTGAGGCCGCCACCCCGCCGCTGCCTTGGGTCCAGACCGGCCACCGCGGGCCCCTCCGATGCCGCTCAGGGTCCCTCCCGCTGCCCACAGGCCGCACAGGCCGCAGCCCCGGCGTGGCCGGGCGTTGACCGGCCCGGGCTTTGCTGGAGGCCAGAGGTCTCCTCCGAGGGGTTCGTAAGAACAAGTGCAATTCTCTGCGCCTGGGTGACCCCGAGAGCAGCACCGCTGGGCGGCTAGTTCAGGCCGCGCCCCCAGAGGCCAGCCCAGCCCAGCGCGCCAGGACCCCAGCCCCAGCCCTGCCGTATCGATCACCAGCACCAGGCGGCCGTCCGGGGCCGGTCGCCCGGCTGCCTGGCCCAGCTCCGTCCCCAGCCAAGTCCCCGACTGTCTGCGCTTTGCTCCCTGCTCCCCTCCCCCGAGCTCCGCGCTGGCGCCCCTGCTCCAGCACAGGGGTGGGTCGAGCAGGCCCTCCTGCTCCCCATCCTCTGCGCCCCCAACCCGTTGCTGCTGTTTCCAACTTCTGCCGCCGGGTCTGCAGACCCCTCCGCGCGAGAGGCCCGGCGGGGCTGGCCGGGGCAGGCCCCGGTGAGCAGGCACCCGCCGCGCGCTGAGTGGGGCCGGGACCCTGTGCTCCAAGCCTGGGCGCCGAGGGGCTGGTGGCTCCCCACCCAGCTGGGGGCTCCGGTTCATAGCTGGGGCTTGGGGGCGGGCCCCCACACAGGCCCGGGTCCAGGGGCACCTGGCTGTGCCCTGCGCCCAGGCAGAGCTGAGGGCGGCAGCCCCGAACCGTGTACGATACCCACAAGTGACCATTAAAAGCGACCCTTCCCGAGGTGGCTGCCCGGCCTTCTTTCTCCACATCCTCCCGGCCGCCTGGCCCCGGAAGCGCCTGCTCTGCTGTCCAAGCCCACTGCCCCGGTGTGGCCTGGGGGCACCCGGGGGGAGCCCAGAGACCCCTTCCCCAGTGGCAGGCACAGGCAGTGAGGGTCAGCCGGCTGCCCCGGGAGATGTGGGCGGGGAGGGGTGGGGAGGCGCCAGCGGGGCCCCAGAAACGGCGTCCGGCAGATACTCCAAGTGCAGTGGGGCTGCGACCCCTGCCCTCGGGCCGGGCACCTCGTCGCCCGCATCCGGGGACACTCCCTGCGGCCCCAGGCGGTGCACGCTGACCACTGGGGCATGGTCCCCGTGTCCTCTGCGCCCCCGCAGGCCGGGCTGGCTGGCAGGTGCCCCGTCCTGGGGCTGGCCGTGGCCGTGCGGAAGGGTCTGGGCGGGGCCTTGAGGTCTCCAGCGGCCGCGAGGCAGGCTCCTGGCCCAGGAGGGGCGGAGAGGCGCGTGGGCAGGAGACCCAGGCCCTCGGCCCTTGCGGGCAGTCTGGCGTGCCCGACTGAGTCAGTCGGCGCGAGTGCTGCTCTGCGCTGATAAAGGAGAAGGTGACTGCGGGCGGGCGGGGAGAGGCGGAGCGCTGGAGAGAGAATGCGCGGGGGTGGGGGAGCACAGTGCCCCGGGGTCCCCCCTCGGGTCTGGAAGGCGCCAGGTGCCCGCTGGAGAGGCCAGTGAGTGACTGCAGCCTTTGTGGAGCAGAGCTTGGCCGCAGCCCCTCCCATAGGGGTGCCCCCCGAGCCACCACCTCCCTGGAACCCACTTCCAGGCCAGACGTGTGGACGGCAGCTCCCGGGCAGCGGGACAGCAGGGGTTGGCCTGCAGGGCCCCGTGCCCAGTTACCCCTCGGTCAGGCCCCACCTGTGACACGTCCTGCCTGAAGACCGCCCAGAAGTGGGGCACAGCCTGCTGGCTCCCCACGGAGCCTGGCCTCCCTGGGTGGACACCCCGCCTGCCTGTCCAGGCTCACCCCCACGGCCGCGCCCAGCCCCGATAGTGCCCTGGCGCCCAGATCCCACCCTGGGGAGGACGGACCCGTGTGGCCTGCAGGCGGGGGCTGCGGGGATGCTGGCGTGGTGGGGGGTCTAGGGTCACATCGAGTGGTGACCCTGTTGTGGGAAGCGGCGTGACCTGGAGGCGGGGGTGGTGGGCGCCTTGGTGGGGCACATGCACCAGGCCCAGGTCACGGGCGTCCGCACCAGCAGCCAGGTCCGCGGCGGCAGGAGCTCGCTGGCTACTGCAGCTGGGCTTGGCCCCGCGCATGGAGGGCTGGCTGGGCACTCGCGGGATCAACGTGGCCGCTGCGGGCGGAGGGCACAGGCGTGCCGGTGGGCGGCGCGTGTCCCCTGCTGGAAAGCGCACCGCGCGGGGCCTCGCCCTGGAGTGGGCCGGGAGCTGCCCACCCTCCCTCTCGCCAGGGCGCTCACGGCCAGCGGCCGAGGCAGGAGGGACGGTGCGCCGGCCCCGTGGGCAATCTGCGTGCGGGGCCCGGGGACCAGAGACCAGCCCGGCGTGGGCAGGCGGGCCAGGCCTCACCCGGCAGGGGTAGGCGCCGGGCCGGCCACAGCACCTTGGAAAGCCGCGTGCCAGGCCCCGCGCTCCCAGGCCCTCACCTGCCCGGGCGGCGCACGCCGCCGGACACCCCGCCTGCGTCCAGGCCGCGCCAGGAGCCCCGGCCCTTAGCGGGGAGCGGCCTGCGCCCCTGGAGCCGGGTGGCGGAATTCTGGGTCGTGGCTGGAAAGGCAGCGGGCGCAGAGCAAGGGGCGAAACGGGTCCCGTGACAACATTAACGCTTCCCAAGCCACACGAGGCCGCGCAGACAAGCGTCAGCCCGGCCGCTCCCCCGACGGGGCTGATGGAGCGCGGAGACCCTGGAGACAGCGCGGCCCAAGCCACCGCAAAGTGGCCAAGTGCGGCTGCTTCTCGAGGACACCGGGTGCCGGCCGGCCCCGCTCCCGGGCACCGGCCCAGCGGTCACAGCCAGGAGGCGGGAGGAGGCAGGGCCTGCGGCCTGTGTGGGGAGGGGCCTGGAGCTGCGGCCCTGCAACCCCACCCCGACCCCCAGCCCCACCCCCGCAGGTGCAGCGCGCCATGGAGCAGGCAGAGAGCGGGGTGCTGGCTGCAGGGGGCGGTGCGGAGGCACCTCAGGGCAGGAAGGGCCATGGCACTGTCTCTCTAAAAAGCACCAAACGCAAAGGGTGGCCCAGCCCTCAGCCTGGCCCGGCCCTTCCCGCCCTGACTGGAGCATGTCCTCAGCTGAACTGGCACCCCCTCTTCGGTCTGGGGCAGGGCGGGGTCACAGGGCAAAGTCTGAGCAGCCTCCAGGGAGGGGCCAGATAACCTGGGGCAGCAGGTGGGGCGTGCCCTGGGCGGCGGGTACACACCTGGAGGGCCTGAGCTGACTCCGTGGAGCCTCCATGGCCTTCTGGGGCGAAGGTGGCCGCACACCCCCTCCTGGCTGAGTCACCCACGTGGCTGGACCCCGGCGGGTGGGCAGGGCCTGGCCAGCACCCACAGGTACTTGAGGGATAGCCGTGCAGCTTCCTCTCCCGCAGCCAGCTGTCCACAGGTCAGGTGAGAGGCTCCCGTCCTGGTTGAGGGGGTTCTCCTGGTCCGATTGGGGGTGTCTGCCCATCCTCTTTGCCTGCCCCTGGGGGCCAGGCCAAGGGCTCTCAGGTACTGGAGAAGGTGAAGCAGGTCCCTGGTCCCTGGCCCTGGGGTCTCTGTGCACTCTGGGGTGCTGGCTGGTGACACAGGCTGGTCTCCACCTGCCCCCTGGAAGGCCTATCCTGCCCACGGGCCCTGTGGGCACGTCCCAGGGCCTGCGTTCTCTCCGGCCTCTGGGGGTGCAGTGGCCACAAGCCCCCCAGAGAGGAGGAGCAGGCCAGGGCCTGTGGGGCTTGAGCCCCTGGCTGTGGCCACCGAGCTGGGCGCTAGCCAGTGAAACCGCATCCTCGGTGGGCTGCTGGCTGAGGAGCTGAGGAGCAGCCGGCAGCCCAGAGCAGATGAGGCCAAGGCCGGCTTTTGAGCCTGTGCCTGTTAAGAGCCCCTGGCCTCGGGGCGCTGGCAGGAACTCAGCGCTTCCTGGACCCCGTGGCCTCGTTCCTTGGGTCTCGCACTGGCAAGGACAAGATAGCCCGCGTGACCTGTCCCCACCTGACCCCTGCTCCAGGCTCCCAGAGAGGAAACCCTGGCGTGGAGAGGCCTGGGGTGGGGTCCCGGGTCCCTAAGTTCAGCCTGGAGCTGCCCTGCAAGCTGGGAGCAGGAGTCCGGGAGGGAGGGACTGTTCCGAGGAATGGGGGGCTGGCCTTGTCCCCCAATACCAGCCCAGTTCCCGCAGGCCCAGCTGGCACGTGTCACCTGGCCAGGCCTGGCTGGGGTCCTTGACCTTGCCTCTGCCCAGCCCTGGTGGGCACTGAGCCCCACAGGCCTTCAGCTGGGGGTCTGCTGCCTACTGCTGTCCACACCACCCTTCCCGCAGGTGCCACCTCCCCTGACAGGCCACCTCCCCCACCATGGGCATGGCCCGCAAGAAAGGGGTCCTCGCAGCCCTGCTGGGGGCTGCAGCCATCGCAGGCCTCACCACCCTCATCCTCCTGGTGCAGGCCACCAGGGTCCTCCTGCCTGCAGACACCAAGGTGGGTCAGGGCCCCAAGAGGGGAGCAGGCGGGCGTGCACCAGCCCCACAGCTCCCTGACCCTGTGTCCCCCCAGTTTGGGATGGTGTTCGACGCGGGGTCCTCCCACACGTCCCTCTATCTGTACCGCTGGCCGGCGGACAAGGAGAACGACACCGGTGTGGTCAGCCAGGCCCTGGTCTGTGAGGTGGAAGGTCAGTGGGCAGCCCGTGCTGGCTGGTCAGTGCTGGGAGCTGCCAGCATGGCCTGGGGGGCCCTGTCTGGTGGGGCCTGGGAGGTTGTGGGGTCTGGGGGCTGGCAGGGGGTGCAGGTGTGGGCGGGGCAGGTGGCCCGGCAGGCGTGGGGGAAGGGTGGAGGGTGTGCAGGTGGGGTGGAGGGAAGGGCCGGGGAGAGGGCTGGACGGAGGGGTGGCCCGTGGGCGGGCGTGGACAGAGGACGGTGCAGGGTGGAGCGTGGGCAGGTTGGGGGGCGGCAGGGCTGCGTTTTCCCTCCTCAGCGAATCCACCTGAAGCACGAAGGCCCGAAGAGGCTGAGTGAGAGGCCCAGGCTGGCCAGCGGGTGCCCCGGGCTCTGGAGGGGCCACCGTCGCCCGCAGGGCGGCGCACAGCCCTTGCCCGCCGGGGCCGTCGCTGCTGGGCTGGGACCGAGGCGTCGGCCCTGTGGCCCCTGGACCCGCCGGCCGGGTCTCACGCGGGGCGCTGTTCCAGGCCCGGGCATCGCCGCCTACGCGTCCCGGCCGGCGGAGGCGGGGGCGAAGCTGCAGCCGTGCCTGCGGGAGGCGCTGGCTCTGGTCCCCGAGGCCCAGCACCCGAAGACGCCCTTGTTCCTGGGCGCCACGGCCGGCATGAGGCTGCTCGAGTGAGCGGGGCGCGGGGCGTGAGCCTGGGGCGGCATGGGGGGTCACGCGGGGGTGGGGGGGTCACGCGGGGGTGGGGGTCACGCGGGGGTGGGGGTCACGCGGGGGTGGGGGTCACGCGGGGGTGGGGGTCACGCGGGGGTGGGGGGTCACTCGGGGCCGGGGGCGGGGGTCACGCGGGGTGGGGGGGTCACGCGGGACCGGGGGTCACGCGGGGCAGGGGGCGCAGGGGGGCGCGCGGGGGCCGGGCCAGCCGCCACCGGGCCGGTGCTCTCCGCGCAGGCAGAAGAACCGCTCGCAGGCGGACGGCATCCTGGCGGCCGTCGCCCAGGCCCTGCGGGGGTCCCCCGCGGACTTCAGGGCCGCGGGGATCCTGAGCGGGGCCCACGAGGGCGCCTTCGGCTGGATCTCGACCAACTACGTCCTGGAGCAGCTCATCAAGGTGCGAAGCCAGAGGCGGGGCCAGAGGGGGCGGGGCCAGAGGGGGCGGGGCCAGGGGCGGGGCGGGGCCACATGAGGGGCGTGGTCAGAGGGGCGGGGCCAGAGGCGTGGTGTGGCCAGGGGCGTGGCCGGGGCGGGGCCAAAGATGGGGTGGGGCGTGGCGTGTCCAGGGAGGGGCCAAATATGAGGCGGGGCGGGGGCGGGGGCGGGGCGGGGCGGGGCCGGGGCGGGGCCGGGGCGGGCCGGGGGCGGGGCCGGGGCGGGGCCGGGGCGGGGGCGGGGGCGGGGCGGGGCCAGGCCGGGGCGGGGCCAGGCCGGGCCGGGCCTCACTGCGGTCTGCGGCCAGTACTCCTTCTCTGGCGAGTGGACCCATTCCCCGGCGGAGAAGCTGGTGGGCGCCCTGGACCTGGGCGGCGCCTCCACCCAGATCACCTTCGTGCCCGAAGGCCCCATCCTGGACGCGAGCAGCCGGGCCTCCTTCCGCCTCTACGGCGCCAGCTACAGCGTCTACACTCGCAGCTACCTCTGCTTCGGCCGCGACCAGATGCTGACCCGGCTCCTGGCGCAGCTGCTTCCGGTGGGCCCCGGCCCGGGGTCTGGGGGTGCGGGCCGGCGGGCGCCCCACTCATGGCGGCTGCTCCCTGCAGGCGAGCCGGGACCTGGTGGTGGAGCACCCCTGCTACCACCGCGGCTACCAGGCCGCGCAGCCCCTGCAGCCCCTGCTCGAGTCCCCCTGCGTGCCCGCAGACCTCGGCCTGGGCCCCGGCCCCGGCCACAACCTGACGGTCAAGGGCGTGGGGGACCCGCAGGCCTGTGCGGGCGCCATTCGCCGGCTCTTCAACTTCTCCAGCTGCGAGAACCAGAAGGACTGCGCCTTCGACGGCGCGTACCAGCCCCCCGTGCGGGGCCCCTTCTATGTGAGCGCCCGGAGGCCCCAGCTTCCCACTGGCCGGGCCCGGTGAGCCCAGCCGCCGGCTGGTGGCCCTGGGTGGGGCGGGGGGGACTCCCGGTCTCTCTGGCCCACCCGGGGCCCTCAGGGCAGCACACGCCTCCCTCCGCCCCCCAGGCCTTCTCCAGCTTCTACTACACCTTCAGCTTCCTGAACCTCACCTCCGGGCAGTCGCTGGACACGGCCAACACCACGGTCTGGACCTTCTGCCAGAAGACCTGGGAGCAGGTGGGCGGACCCGCTCGCAGAGCAGGCTGGGGGCCGTGGGGGCGGCAGGGGCGCGGGGCGGGCCTCACCGGCTCGGCGCTCGCAGGTGAAGGCAGAGGCGCCGGGGCAGGAGCAGGACAAGTTCCTGCCCGGGTACTGCAGCACCGGCATGTACATCCTCACGCTGCTGCGCGACGGCTACGGCTTCAACCAGGACACCTGGTCTGGGATCGAGTTCCGCAAGCAGGTGAGCCCGGCCCGGGGCACCCGCCCGCCCCAGGCGGCCGCCAAGCCCTGACCCTGCGTGCCCCACAGGTCAGCGGCACCGACATCGGCTGGACGCTCGGGTACATGCTGAACCTCACCAACATGATCCCCGAGGAGGCGCCCGCCCAGCGGCGTGCACAGAGCTGCAGCGTCTGGACGGCCAGTGTCGTCTTTGCCGCGCTGACCCTCGTGGCTGTGCTCGGGGCCGCTGCTGTCCAGCTCTTCTGGCCCTGGGGGTGACCAGGCTGCCCCCACAGCCCGCAGCACCCTGCCTGGATGTTGGCGCCTTCCTGAGCCATGGGGACTGGTGCTGGAGGTGCCCGGTTCACTGCACAGGTGCCAGCTGTGGGCCGGTGGCCACGAGGGCAGCACTTGCGCAGCGGCACCTCCTGGACTCTCCTACGGGCCCTCCCCTGCCCGCGGCCTCACCGTGGCAGACTGTGTTCATTAAAGCTCTGACCCAGCACCCGGGCTGGTCTCACAGCCCCTGGGGAGGCTCACCCCACGCTGGGGAGGGGCAGCGGCACCTCACACGCGCTGGCCCAGAGGGACCACGAAGCACTGAACCAAATGCCCACACAGCCGTCCAGGGCCCTCCCTGGTGGGGACGCCAGGGTCAGGGGCGGAGCCCTAGCGCGCCTGGTGCCCAGCCAGCCCAGGGCCATGGTGTCCCCACGTGGGTCAGGGCCTCAGCGCCCCAGACCCCCGGGCAGGCAGAAGGGTGGCAGCTGGGCCTCCGCAGCCCACGATTGGGGGTGGGGGGGTCGGGGGCGGAGCCGGGGCTGAACGAAGCGGTGCGTCCCTGCGGAGGGGCGCAGAGGGGGTCTCGGGCACCCCGCGAGTGGAACACTGGCGTGGAGGAGCGGGTGCCCGGGGGGCGGAGCCACCACCGCCTCCGGAGACAGAGGCCGCTGCTCGCCTCCAGGGCCCCAGAGGCGCGGGCTGCGAGCCAGGGGCCTGGGCCCGCCGGGCCTCAGTGGGCTGGGGTTCGGGGCCCGGGGCTGGCCGGAGAGCCTGGGTACTGGCCCATGGAACTGGCCTGGCCAGGCAGGACGCCAGGGTCTGTCCAGCCCAGAGCATGCGGCCAAGGACCGCACTGGCCTCCTGGCGGTCTCCCAGCCCCGCCCGGGGCGTGGCCCCCGCGGACCTGGGGACACTGGCCCCGAGACCAAGATCCAGCTGGACTTGATCCCACACGGGCACTAGAGGGGCACCCCGTGGAGCCCCAGGTCAGGGGCCTGGTTCCGGGGTCAACTTAACTCACACCCGCGAGGACGCATTTCCCCCTTTTGACGAGCAGCCCCTGGGACGCGGGGCTGCTGGTCTCCAAGGGCTGGGCCGGTCACTCTGGCATGCGCTGGCCTGACCCGGGAGCAGCTGGCGGGGGCTGCTGTCCTCGCGCGTCCTGCGGTCGACCCCCTTATCTTCAGAGGGCACCGGCTCCTGGCCGCGGGCAGCGGCCGCAGCTCCCCGCCAGGGAGGGGCCTGTGCCTCGCCCGCAGGCTTCCCCGCCGCCGGTGTCCAGGAGGAAGTCGCGACAGGCGCCCCGGCCGAGGGGCGGGGGGCCCGGGGCAGGCCCAGCGGGGTGAGGGCTGCACCCCAGCCGGCGCCCGGTCAAGTCCCCGGCAGCAAAGCTCTGACCGCCAGCTGGAGACGGCCTCCCCGCCCCGCTCAGCCTCGGGGTCCTCCCGGCGCCGCCCCTGCCCAGGCCTCCAGAGCCCTCGCTCGCTCGCCTCCTCGGCCCGGCCGCGGCAGCCCTGCCTCTGCTGGGCGTCCGGGGCTGCGGCGCCCACGGGGCCTGCGAGGGGAGGCCCCCGGTCCCAGGGCTCCCCGGGCGGCTTCTCCCGTCCAGCGGAGGGGCGGCCGCTGCGGGAGGGCCCGGGAGGCGAGGCCCCGCCCTGAGCAGAGGGTTGCAGGCTCCTGCCCGCACTCGGGACGAGCCGGGGGCCCTGGGGCGGGCAGCGGGGGCTGAGCAGCCAGGGCTTGGCAGCGACCAGGCAGGCCCGGAGCAGGCAGCAGCGGGAGCTGCCGGGGAGAGGCGGGACACGGGCCTGCTCCGCCCGGGGGCCGCCCCGCACCGTCCCCTCGCCTGCCCAGCCTCGAAGAGCGCCGGACACAGCGGCGCTTTCCTGGGTCTGCCCACGAGTGGGCGTTGGGTCCGGGACCTCTGGGCCACGAGCGGAGGCCGGCCACGCCGTGGGTGGTCCCCGAGGTGCGCGCCCAGACGCGGCCGGCAGTGGGTGGCCCCCTGGCCCCCGCACCCGTGCGGCACAGCCCGGCCCCGCCAGTCCCGGGAACACAGGTGGGGGCTCCGGGGGAGCAGGAGTTGCCAGGGACCGCCGCTGCCCCTCCGCCTGGCCCTCAGCCGCTCGGCCTCCGCTCAGCGTGGCCTGGGGTCAGGGCCCCGAGGCCCCTCTGGATCCGTCTCCCGCAGGTGCTCAGGGGCCGGCGCGGAGTCTGGAGGGCCGGGGAGGGGCCCCCTCAGTGTGGTCAGCTCCGGCCGCTCTGCTGGCCTCTCGGGCCCGGCCAAGCCCACTCGGGCCCCCGCGCCAGCAGCCGCCCACACGGTGGTCACTCCCCGGAGGGGCGCCCCGCGCAGGCAGGGCCCTGGGCAGCCCGCGAGCCCCGGCGTGGGTGTGGGGCAGCCTGGCTGTGGGAGGCGGGCCGGGGCCTGGCCTGCAGGCTGGGGGGTCCTGGGCGCGGCCGGGTTCCCCCGTGGCTGGGTGCAGGGGCCTAGGGAGCCCCCCGTGGGGTGCCCGGGGTTTCCCTGCCCTCGGGGGGCCCTGCCGTGGGGCTAGTCCAGCCCTGGGGTCCCTCCCCCCTCTGGCCCAAGGGTGGGGGCAGGGCTGCCCGTGGGCGCGGTGGGCACTGGCTGCTGCGGGCGCGAGGGGGGCTGGTGGGGGGGCGGCCCTGGAGGAGCCGGTGCGGGGAACAAAGGGGCTGGCGGGCGCGGGCTGAATGGGCCGAGAGCGGGGGCGCTGGGGCGTCCCGTCTTCTGTTACTGCTTTCAAAGGCGTCTGGGCTGAACGCGCCCCTCGCTCCGAGGCGGGGCGTCCCCACACAAAGGGGGCTCTTGTCCGCAGGCCCCTCCGCGCGGAGGGCCATTGTGCGCGGCGGCGGCGCACGCTCCAGTGCCCAGCCCGGAGCGGGTCAGGCGTCCGCGCCGGTGGCAGCCCCGGCCCGCGCGGCCATATTTCATGCCCCGGCGGCCCCGGGCGGGATGAATGCCCGCTTTTGTCGGCCGCGCTGTGCTGTGCGCTTGTTCAACAGCTTATCAAGGGGAAGCGGTGGCTCTGCCGGGGAGAGAAGGCCCCCGGGCTGCGGGGGGCGCTGCGCCTGGGCGCTGGGGGCGGCCGGCGTCTGCGGCCCTGGGCGGCGGCCGCCCGGGCACCTGCCCGCCCTCCGGCGGGCACAGCGGGCGCCCCGTCCGCCGACCCCTCCCACGGCCCAGCGGCACCTCCAGGCTTCTCAGCGCTTTCCCCTGAAAGCAGCGGAGCTCCGGCCTCTCCGGTCAGAGGCTCCCGCTGCCCCGTCCTCCCCGGCGACCTCGCTCCGTCCTCCAGGGAGGGGCAGGAAGGTCCCGGAGGCGGGCCCGGCCCCAGGCGGTCTCCTTGGGCAGGGCCAGCCGCCCCACCTCCCGCTGCCTGTCCCCGCCTGGGCCAGCAGGTGACCTTTTCCCTGGGCCGGGGGTGGCCGCCTGGCCTGCCAGGCCCTCGGCAGAGGCTCAAGAAATGACCGGAGGCCCATTGTACAGTCCTGCCCCCACCCTCAGATGGAGACCCGGCCAGGGGGCCTTCCTGGAGGAGGGGGTTCGGCTGCCAGGATGGAACCAGGGCACCTCCCAGGGCTGGGTGATACCGGGACCCCCTCCCTTGGCCTGTCCCCAGGCCCCAGGCCTCCAGGGGCTGCGGTGCGTCATGAGGACCCTCCCAAGCCCGCCCGGGGGTCAGCCGTAGTGCCCAGTCCCACACTCACTGGCCACGCTGATGCAGCGCCCCTGAGCACGGCTCGGCCAAGAGAGGGCACCCTGGGTGTGTGGAGCGCCTTGGCGGGGCTGGACAGAGCGGCCGGCCAGCTGCAGGAGGCCGGGTGAAGAGGGCCGGCGACGCTGCCATCAGGGAGAGCCGCCCACGCCCGGGGGCGCGCTGGCCAGGCCCCCAGTGGTGGCTGCAGGGCCCAGCGCCTGGCGACCCCGGGGACAGGCCTCCAGCCTCCCGTGGCCTGGACCGCCACCGGGGACCTCCCAGGGCGGAGGCCGCAGCCGGGTTCACAAGGGCCGGACCCCAGCAGAGGGGGTGCGCCCGCCCCACGCCCCGCCACTCTGGGCTTGGTCTGGAGGGTGGCAAGACCCCCGCGGCCGCCCCTGACGCCCCTTGTCCTTGAACCCGCAGGGCCAGGGGTTGGCCCTGGAGGAGCCGGGCCAGGGCCGGTCCCAGCACCAGGACTCGGGGCTTCCTGCCCACCCGGGGCCCCGAGATGCCGTGGGGTCCTGGCCTGCAGCGGCCCTGCCCCCTCCCGGCTCTGGGTTCCCCCGAAGTCACCTGCGGCGCCCAGCCTCTCGGGGGTCCCCAAGTGGGGCCACAGCTGAACCAGGGCCTCGCCCCGCCCCCGCCACCCCCACCCCCACCCCCGCCGCCACCCCGCGCCCCCGGGGCCTCCCTCCCTGCGCCCCCCGGGCCGCCCTCCCCGCGCCGGGCGGGCAGCCGAGCCCTGGACAGCGGCCAGGCCGAGGCGCCGGTCAGCGCGGCCGGGACAGGCCTTTCCCAGGCCGCTATTTTGGTCCGCGCGGCGCGGGTTATTTTTGCTCGAGCGGGGGCGCGCGGGGCGCGGGTATTAATAGCGTGGCCGACGTGCGGGCGCTCGGGGGACCCCGCAACCGCACCAGGCCCGGAGCCGGGGGGCCTCATGGGCGGGGGGATGGGGAGCGGGGTGGGGGGGATGGGAGGCGGGGGGGCGGGGGGGGGGGGCTGGGGTGGCGGGGGGGGGGGGCTGGGGGAGCAGGTGTGGCCGAGCCGGCTCCGCAGCTGCTCGCCCCTCTCCCCGCCCAATCCTGGCACCAGAAGGCCCCCCTGGGGTGGGCCTCCTGCAGAGTGTGGAGGTGTCAGCTGGGGTTTTGAGGGGCGCTCCCCACAGTGCGGGTCAGTCCTGCTCGAGGGCAACGTCCAGTCGGGTCGTCTGAGCAGCGGGGAGACCACCCTGGTGGGGGCCCCTGTGCTTGGGGCTCTGGGCAGGCTGACCTG